AGCTTTGTCGTACCCCGGTCGCATTCCCACCCTCCAAAAGCTTTAAAATCTTATATATTTAAAAGAGGGTGATAATTGACCGTCCCCCACACTGGACCCAAAAAACGGACTTGAAAATGTGATCCGCGGTTGACCGAAATGGATGTTTTGAAAGCTTTCAGAAGCATTAATTTGTTCCTCCTGAAGGGTACCAAAAAGTTATTGAGGGGGATTGCCAAGTCATTGTATTTTTGCACCTGCTTCAGCTTGGTCATTACTCCACATAACATGCCTGTCTCCATCCTCTTTGTCTGCACTGCTACACATGTGCCGTGACGCACTGGTAGGACAAAAGTTGCGCTTGTTGAGCTTCCCACAGTGAACATGGTTGGTTTCTTCTTCTGCACACCCTTTCCCCGTAGAATCCTAGCATGGAGCTTTGTCGTACCCCGGTCGCATTCCCACCCTCCAAAAGCTTTAAAATCTTATATATTTAAAAGAGGGTGATAATTGACCGTCCCACACCTGCCACACAAAACGGACTTGAAAATGTGATCCGCGGTTGACCGAAATGGATGTTTTGTAAAGCTTTCAAGAAGCATAAACTTTGTTCCTCCTGAAGGGTACAAAAAGCTTATTGAGTGGGGATTGCCAAGTCATTTGCTGATTTTTGCTCCTGCTTCAGCTTGGTCATTACTCCACATAACTTGCCTGTCTCCATCCTCTTTGTCTGCACTGCTACACATGTGCCGTGACGCACTGGTAGGACAAAAGTTGCGCTTGTTGAGCTTCCCACAGTGAACATGGTTGGTTTCTTCTTCTGCACACCCTTTCCCCGTAGAATCCTAGCATGGAGCTTTGTCGTACCCCGGTCGCATTCCCACCCTCCAAAAGCTTAAAAATCTTATATATTTAAAAGAGGGTGATAATTGACCGTCCCACACCTGCCACACAAAACGGACTTGAAAATGTGATCCGCGGTTGACCGAAATGGATGTTTTGTAAAGCTTTTCAAGAAGCATAAGCTTTGTCATGTGCCGTGACGCAGGGTACAAAAAGCTTATTGAGTGGGGATTGCCAAGTCATTTGCTGATTTTTGCACCTGCTTCAGCTTGGTAATTACTCCACAACATGTCTGTCTCCATCCTCTTTGTCTGCACTGCTACACATGTGCCGTGACGCACTGGTAGGACAAAAGTTGCGCTGGTTGAGCTTCCCACAGTGAACATGGTTGGTTTCTTCTTCTGCACACCCTTTCCCCGTAGAATCCTAGCATGGAGCTTTGTCGTACCCCGGTCGCATTTTCACCCTCCAAAAGCTTTAAAATCTTATATATTTTAAAAGAGGGTGATAATTGACCGTCCCACACCTGCCACGCAAAACGGACTTGAAAATGTGATCCGCGGGTGACCGAAATGGATGTTTTGTAAAGCTTTCAAGAAGCATAAACTTTGTTCCTCCTGAAGGGTACAAAAAGCTTATTGAGTGGGGATTGCCAAGTCATTTTCTGATTTTTGCACCTGCTTCAGCTTGGTCATTACTCCACATAACATGCCTGTCTCCATCCTCTTTGTCTGCACTGCTACACATGTGCCGTGACGCACTGGTAGGACAAAAGTTGCGCTTGTTGAGCTTCCCACAGTGAACATGGTTGGTTTCTTCTTCTGCACACCCTTTCCCCGTAGAATCCTAGCATGGAGCTTTGTCGTACCCCGGTCGCATTCCCACCCTCCAAAAGCTTTAAAATCTTATATATTTAAAAGAGGGTGATAATTGACCGTCCCACACCTGCCACACAAAACGGACTTGAAAATGTGATCCGCGGTTGACCGAAATGGATGTTTTGTAAAGCTTTCAAGAAGCATAAACTTTGTTCCTCCTGAAGTATTAAATCCCATTAATCACCATTAAATCCCACCGCCATAACTCGATATATGTAGAGAATCCCAGCATTTCGACGATTTTTTCGTCGACGTTGTCGGCCTCTAAGGAGAGCAAGGCGGCCATCAGTTTGAAGCTCACCATCGCTGCATCACCTCTTTGCCGACACCGCAACGGGATGTCTGGCTGTTGTGAAACCATGGGAAGATCCATGGGAATCTCATGGTAAAAGCTAAGCTGATTGGTAAAACATGGTAAAATGGTGATTTAATGATGGTTAATGATGGTTAATGATGGTTAATGATGGTTAATAATGGATCTGGTTGGTGGTTTTAACCATCTGAAAAAATATGAAAGTCAATGGGAAGGATTATCCCATATATGAAATGGAAAACAAAAAAAAGTTTGAGACCACCAGCCACAAAATTTCATAGATTTAAGACAATATGATGTAATATATGATATGGGATTATATCTCTGGTTTAAAGCCATGATTCTGGGAAGATCAGGAGGTGATGTTTTTCGTTGATATTGCATGATATTACCGTGGTTTCGGTCATTCCAAGTTGCTATCATCAAATATTATCACCAGAAATATCATGAGGTGAAATAAATATTTATGTATATTGAAATTGAAAGTTGATAACTATATATATATATATATATAGATATGGGATTGAATGGGTGTGTCTCAAAATTATTGGATTTACCCTTTCACATGGCTGCTTCTGCAAAAGAATAAACATGGTGATACACAAAATTTAAACAATGGGTTTTGGAGGTAATTACCATATTTTCCAACAAACCCATATTTTTAGAAAACACACAAGCGTTCGCGTGGTTTATCAACTGCTTGCTATATAATTGGTATGCACATCCAAGAAGGGTGTCCACAGACATTTCCCATCTGTGCTGGCAACTGAATAGGTACAGCCCCAACAAAATGAACTGACTGATCATCAATTAACATGCTGATTAAATCAGAACGGAACACCTATTAAGATCAACAGACAAATTAGTCACCAGTCCCGCCAAACACAATGCTAAAAATACATCCCATGCAGATATTATTGTTGTTATTATCATCACATGAAGTTGAAGATGGTACCGGTTTACCGCCAAGTACCCTGCTTTCATCCCGACTCTTTGAGACCAGGGTCTTCCCGAAAGAAGCAGTTCGTCATCCCGAACAATACCGGTTGGTTGATACAGATTCCTATACTTGGTGATGATCATTACCAATACTGGTTGGTGGTTTTAACCATCTTGAAAAATATGAGTTCATCAGTTGGGATGATGATTCCATTTCCAACTGTTTCTGGAAAGTCATAATCCATTCCATGGTTCCTTAAACCACCTAAACCAGATTACCAATATCTTGGGTATATACTATAACCCCCCCGGGAAAAATTATAATCCACCGGGGAGACCACCGAATGCGACTTGAACACTGCTCATATCAACCACCGACATGTTTATCCCAGATGCGAAGCATGATGCTGGAATATGCACTAACATTTACCCCCAACATGGTGCTGGTAAGTGATAGCTTTCACCATGGCCGTGAATCCATCTCTAAGTTCTTTGATTAGGACTGCATGGGCCTTCACATTCTGATTTCGCGCAGTCATAGTTTCGGCCAGAACTCAGGGATTCGGCCATTTTTCGAAGCTGTTCGATCTCTGTCGCCTTTGGGATGGAGTTCTTCCATCTCCCTGCGACCAACGGATCTGATTGCCGCAATGTCCTCCTGTCCATGGAGGTCTATGAGTTCACTCAGCTTGGTAAGGCAGCTTGTAAATCCTTCCGTAAGCGGGTGGCATGGAGCATATGGATGAGAAACGATGAGAATATGATTCTTACAATGTGGGCCTCCCAGCTATGTTTCTTGGTTTAGTTACAACCCATGAATACTATGGGTTACGTTATATCACCCACTAACCCTAGTTAACCAAGTTGTGTTCTTTAACTTAGCTATCCAAATCACATTAATTCCCATTAAATCCCAGTAAAAAAATCATAGAATCCCATCCGATCCCACTTCATGTCATTAAATCAACATCTTCACCGGTAAAAAATCTATGAACGACGATGGCCCCAGCGCACCGCACCGCGTTGCCGTGCAGCCCAGTGACTGATGCACTGACTAACGCGGACAAACTTGTCTTTACCTCGTCATGACGACGTGGGGAAAATACCGTTTACGCTAGGCTTTTTTTAAAGATATTTTAACCAGCAAAAATGGTGACTTAATGAAATTTAATGGGATTCCATGTAGCTAAGTTTGTGCAACTTATATCGTTTTAATTCATTTTATATCTCACAATAACTATAGCCTATAGCTATATATATATATATATCATCATACATCGGAATTATTGGACTATGTTTATCAACTAGGTATCTTAAAGTCTTAAGCATCTTCCCCACCCTGCAGGTGTTCGCATGCCTTCACTAGCAAAAGTGATGATACACAAATAGGTGAAATATCTAGTAATTTGACCTGGCAATGGACAATTCCTGCATTGTGGTTGGCCTTCCCAACTGCACGTCTCAAACATTGAATCTTCTACTGCCAGGCTGGATGGCTGGAAGTGTACCCATGGTACACCTGGCAACAAACTCTTCCCGTTGAACAATGAGGCCATTTTTGAACTGACTTGTTGCGGAATCCCTTACATTTTTTGGACCTCCAAGATTCCAAGATAGATAAGAGCTGCAAGTTTGACTATATCTATAGTTACTATGGTTTATAAACCAATTTAGAACTGGGGGGCCCCACATTGTGGCTTAGGCTTAGTGGATTTCTTCAGGCCCATATTGGGTAAATATTAGGAAGATGGGATGATATCGATCATTGTTCAACGTTTCTGAGGTACATGGGGTGCCCAATTTTCGGAACTTACCCACCTTGCTGAAGGAAACAGGCAATATCAGGCAATGCATTCACCATTTGTTGTCGGATGCCACCACAAACGCGAATCTGCTTGGGGCAAAACTATGTGGGATACACAACTTAGGTGAGCTATGTCTGCTAACTTTCTGATGCACTACTAAATATATGGCAGTTTTATGTGGGTGTGTCTGAAAATCGATGGTATGAGTATCTGCCAAAATGTCAATGATTCTTTCTTGGAAAACTATGATAAACCGATTTCAAACCATATATAGAAACGTTGGGAGTCCTCGCAATTTTCAAACCATCTCCTTCCAACGGATTCAACATCGGATGTCGAGGTGCTGGATTCAACGGAAATCGTCAGCTTTCCATCGCTCAGTGAGGTCTTATAGCCCAGATTTCGAGCCATGAGACGCGTCTCGCGCTGCTGCCAAAATAAGTGGCCCAAGGGAGGCAGAGATACCTCGGTAGAGCTGGTGGACTGGTGGAACACATCCAATTGTTCTATGGCTGGTACGCTTGGTGGGGAAAAACCGTTCCAAATATACTTATTTTACCAAGACGAATGGTGAGAGTTTCCATGAGCCTGGCTCAGGCACATCTCTTGCTCCCAAGTCTGTCCAAGGTAATTGGTCTGTAGCTCGGGAGATCCATGGGATCGGAGGGCCACCATAGGCATCGCCCAAGGCTGCCTATTGGCCACTAGGCCTAGGCCTTCACCCTTCTGGTCATCAAACATGGCAATTGAAAATCCTATATGAGTATGGTTTTAATATGTTTTGATTTAAAAATTACTTATAAATGCTGACTTTTGCCTTGCTACGTTTGATTTTAGCAGAGGGTAAAGGTTGAGGATATTTCCTTCACGTTCTCGGCCCCTGGGGCCTCATATCTATGGCACTAGGGCACCAAACAAGCTGGGCCGATTCTGAGATGGCAAAGTTAGCGAACATAACTCCCACAACGATACGGTTTAGAAGATGGGGGGACCCACCTTGTAGGTTGTTTTACTTGCCTGCATTCGACAGTTTATGCAGTTGTGGCCTTTTACCAGTTATAAGTACTTATAACCCCATTTATGGACTGTATAATCCCATTGAAATAACACGTTATAAATAACAAATGGCCATAACTGTGGTTAGTACCTAGGCTATACTTTTTGACCCAGTTTTCAACCAAATAAATATTCACATTTTGGATTGAGAAAATCAGTTCAACTCCCTTATTCTTGTAGATCTATCGCTGGCCAACTCTGTGGTACACCCCATTCTTGGAGCCTACGGCCAAAACCCAAGCCTACAATGTGGGGCCCCCCAGTGATGTGAATGTTGGTGTATAAGCCCCAGTAGTTATAGTTATAAATGCCATAAACCATAGTTATTGGAGTTATAAACCAACTTAGCTATCTACGGGGCCTCACATTGTAGGGTTAAATGTTTAGGTCCTATTGTCCGTTTTGGGTATTCCCTGTCCCAAAAAAAACATATTTTCCCAATCATCCGTCCAGTTTTTCCATGAAATAAATTGTCGATGATGTTATTTTATTCATGTCCCCATACCCTCCAGTAAACTAAGATAGCTATGGAAAACGGCTCATGTATAGATGATTTACCTATTTCAATGGTGATTTTTCCAAAGCTATATTAATTTACCAGAGGGTAATATTATCATCTGGTCAGCAACCATGTAGAATAAATGCTCCTCAATAGATACCAATGGACAATTAACCGATAAAAAAAAAACAAACAAGGGCATGTTCATTCACATACTCAACAGTTACAACCCATATTTAACTAGTCTTGTTGGAGTTAAGCCCGCATATTTGTTTTGATTGCCATGGTTTTGTGGTAAACTATGGTAAACTTATAATACTAAAACATCCACCAAAATCCCCATACATGGATCGTACAGGTCATTTATTAGTCATAACTTCATAACTGGCTAATTATGTGGGATGATACATTCCCAAAATGGGGTTCGTACAGTACAAACATAACTGGTATAACTCGGGCCATGGCCATAACTCTATGAACCACCCCCAGATGGTACGATGTGAGGCCCCCTAGATAGCTAAGTTGGTTTATAACTCCAACAACTATGGTTTATGGTATTATAACTATAGTTACTGGGGCTTATAAACCAACAAACATCACTGGAGGGCCCCACATTGTAGATCTATTACTAGGTGGATTCCACATGATCACCTCGAGGAGAAACCGAGAATCCACGTCCACATGGTGTTTCTCCAGTTCTTCCTCCGTCACATTGCGCAAGAGTCGCACTTTCCTCGGAGACGCGCATCACTTGATAAAAACCCAGGGCCAGCCCAATGTCCCAATGTTTTGAGAGCTCCTTAACCACGAAAAATGCTGATTTAACCAAACAAAATGGGATTAAGACAGTAAACACTGAGAGTGATGTGAATTATGATGGGTAAATAACCCAGTTTCGATACATTGGTTGGATTTGACCCTTGAGTTCACAACCAAAAGTTATGGGTTGATGGGGGTTGCAGCAGATATTAGTTGATGGGGTGAAACTAAGCAACACACATTTCACTGGGGAGCAGCACCTTGTACCCAAGACAGCTGCAGGAGGATGTTTCATGCCACATGGCATCCTCACTCAGCATGCTAGCAATATCATTTTTTCATGTACAGTAACAAAACAAAAACACGCAAAATAATGTGTTGACCACTGTTGTGTGGCTTTTGATTAAGCAGGAAAAACAAATACATGTATATTGCTATCGTTGTAACTGTTCTTGGAACATTGTTTGACAGCGGGTTCCAGCCGTTTGCAACTGGAAAATCTTGCAAATGCCACCTGCTTTGCACATCTCAGCGAGTCATTGGACAACAAGTTGTTATAAAGTGGGCATGGCACATGGCCATTATCTTTTTCCCATGTTGAAACTGCATAATTTAAAAAAACAATGGACGTATATACAACTTAACACCTGAGATGCACATCCCAATCATCCCATACACACGCAACAATAAAGGTTTAATGAAACAATTAATTTCCAATTGAAACTGGTTTGAAGTCACAATCCAATTCCACTTAGCAACTGGGGTGCACATCCAATGGGGTTTGTTCAAAACCACATCACATCCAAGAGTGCAGTTTGAATGGAACAACGATGAAAATTCATGACATCCAGGGGAGGACATTACATTGATGTGAATCATCATCATCATCATCACCACCAGCCACCAAGAGAGAATAGCGTGCTGCAATAACCGTATTTTCCCAGTGCGATGCAACATGGACCCACACATGTATCATTCGCTGGCACGTGGAAGAAGAGGTTTCTGATCGGAAGTCGGTCAAACGTAGGTTAGCAATGGACCAACAAACCGTTTGAGGAATCAAACCGGATCAAAACAGCGATTTGTTTTCAACCCACGCCATCTTGAAGAATACCCTCTGGTAATTTAACATAGCTATTGAAAATTGCCATTTATATTGGATTTTCCCATGAACAATGGCCATTTTCAATAGCTATTTTGACATAACCAGAGGGTAACCCCGCTTAGCCGCTGATTTGAGATCTCTCGTGGAATGAATCAAGTCACTTGAACCAAGTCGGTTTGCACCAAACCATTTCGACCAATTATTGTCATTGGTCCCATGAATCGCATCAAGCCACTTAAGAAAAAACACATGAAACACCATAGTATACCACACTAAATTGTGTGTATCATGGTTTATTAAACCATAATATGGTTTGATATATGGTTCAGTGTGGTATATCAAATATGCCCATATCAAACCATATCAAACCACCTCACTCCAAAACATATCAAACCAAATCAAACCAAGAATTACCCTCTGGTTATGTCAAAATAGCTATTGAAAAATGAACATAGAAATAGTGGATTTTCCCATTAAAAATGGTGGATTTTCCACCATAGAAATAGTGGATTTTCCGGATTTTCTCATTAGAAATGATGATTTTCCATAGTTATGTGTTAAATCACACCAGAATTTTTTGTCATCCAAAATGTCTGGACAATGCCATCGCCCCAGCTGCTGGTACAAAATCATTTTCTCCAAGATCTTTGCCTCACGACACGAATGGCCCATTTTTTATGCACGTCTCGGTTGGGTTTTTCCATGAAAAGATGGTTTAGTCAACAACAAATATGATTTCACCAGCGAAATATGTGATTCAACCTGCACAAAATGTGAATTTAGCAGAAACAAATATGGATTCGAACAATTGGGGTCACAACGAACACATGAATATAACCAACACAAATTGAACTTCGGAATCTCACCCGATTTACCCAAGAAAATTGGGGGGAGACTCAACAACAGTCGCCAATTTTGCGGAGAATCACATCGTTGGCCACCTGATTACCAATATAATTGGCTAATTGGTGGCTCATGCCACTTAGTAAGTGGGTTAGTTTCACCTCAGTTATAAGTGGATTAACCCTACTTATCCCATTTGTAACTGGAGTTATAACCCACTTACGATTCGTGGGTAGTTCGCCACCAAGTATGAAAACTTTGACATTTTGGCTCAGGATTTTGTCAATGAGTTTGCCAGCAAAACTCTGAGGCTTAAGATTGGGCCGGCGACAAGCATCCTTAGAGGTTTCAACCGTTTTGGCCCAAAATACTCAGTTTTTAGTACTTATAACCCCATGTACGGACATTATCATCCCATTTATAATATTAACCAGTTGTAATTATAATATAACATAACTGTTGCCACTGGCCATGAAATACAAAAGGAAACTGTGGGGTCAAGAAACTCTCCTCGAGCCTAGTGAAGTGGGAAGTAGATGGTTTCCTGATGTCGGGGTACAGTACCACATTTTCAGTTAAGGGAAGGTAATGCAAAAGAAATCGATGGAACTTCGGGTCCGAGAAGTTTTGGATGTCAAGGTCTCCAAGTTCCAAGTGCCAAAAATCAAAAGACAGCATGGTTGACCATCTCAATTCTTCGCTGACTGGTGGCTTCAAAAATGTTCGTTCCTGGAAAGATCAATACCATCTGGTTATTTAACATTGCCATGGAAAATCACCATTTTTAATAGGTAAACCATCTATAAATGGTCATTTTCAATAGCTATTTTGACATAACCAGAGGGTAATTCCATTTGATTCCAGTTGACTGATATGTTTAAAGGTGGTCAGTGCGACCAGATTGTCATGAGTTCAGGGCAAACATGACAAGATTCTGGCGAAATCTTACTTGGACTGATGAATACACGTGGGATTTGCCATGGTTTTTGCTCCCATGCTTACTTAAACAATCATTAGAGGTCTGAAATTAAGGATCTCTGCAACAGCCCAATCCAGCAGGCGCACGCCACCGACCTCCGGGTCCTACAAGGTGGGACATCCCTGTTAGTTGATAACCTCCAAGAACTATAGTTAAATCATATCGTGCTATATCATGATATAACATGATATATCATATTATTATATGTTACATCATGTTAAAATGTGTTATAATGTGTTATAATGTTATATCATGTTATACAATGTTATATCGTGTCTTAACACGTTTTGTCATGTTTTTATGTAGATACGCTATATCGCCCATAGAACGATGTCCCACCTTGTAGTATTTAGATTTCATTCGATTTCAAGGGTTAGTCGAGTTCGAAGGTTTCCTGGTTTAAACTACGGATCTGGGGTGGTCATTTGGCCACTTGTTTCTTTAAGACGAATCTGATGAGGTCAATCACTGGGGTCTCTATGATTTACCAGAGGCAGCTTAGCTTCAGCTCAGTTACTTGTTGCGGCCACCCATCACCAGGCTCGCCGCCCTGCCAAACGCGCCATGTAGCGCCCACTACGACGGTCACGAGGGTCAGGATGGCCAGAGCAAACAGCCGCAGTTTTCCGCCTCGGTCAAGGACGATAACCGAAACGTGTGGCTTTCGTGGGCCAATTTCATTGGTGTCCCTGGAGAAATTGAGGCATGTGATTCAACCGACCAACACGAATGGGGAAGTAACAAAGAATGGGGATGTAAAGTATAGAACAAAGCCCAGCAATACTTGGAGTCGAGGTCCACAATGGTTTATCATTCCAGTGTTGGGACGGAAAAACGTAAAACCAGCCACCAGCATGTTCGTTCAAGCATGTGAAGCTTGGATGCCTCCTTTGAAGAACATGTTCTGCAAAGTGTGGGCCCCCTTGTGGCCATTTTTTAGTAGTACATGGTTATTCCGATGGGATTATACATACTACTTTTGACTGGTATGACCCGGGCCACAACTGTAGATACCTAAGTTGGAACCATAATCCAAGTTTCATGACAGACATGCCCCAAAAGATTCAGCAACTGTGCATCGAACTGGTGTGGTCGCATATCTAAATTGGCCCCGCCTGGCTACGGCTAAAACATGGGCGGCAATGGAGGCACACTATTGTTCAATCATTAACAACATTTAACAATCAAGGTATTGCAGGTAGATTATATAAATATATATATATACATTATATACCTACAGTTTCGAGCCCTTGCCACGTCTTGTTCTACCCTTTCGACTGCAGAATTAGGAGGTACATCTCTATCTATCTATCTATCTACCTATCTATCTATCTATCTATTTATCTATTTATCTATCTACCTATCTATCTATCTATTTATCTATATATCTATCTATCTAACGATCTATCTGATAGATCTATCTATCTCTATCTTTATCTTGATCTCTATATCTAGTCTATAATATAGACACATCTCTTTACAGTGTTTCGTGCACATCTCTGACCAAAAAACTCCTGCAATACTAAAGTGGTCTTCAACCATTTTGACCGTGACTCATATCTACATATGTCCACCTTAACCATAACCTCCCAATGAAGGCACCACTACTGCCGCGGCCCGGAAGTGCTTCGTCGGCATGCTGAATATCCTGCGATAGTGTGGTGCGGTGCGGAATCGCCAAGTTGGTGATGTTAATCACTCTAAGTTATAGTGATTAATTAATGGTGATTAATGGTGATTATATAGTGGTGATTTAGTTAACACTTGTGATTTCTATAGTGATTAATGGTGATGAATGGTGATTAATGGTGAAGAATAGTTGGGGTGAATAATGGTTCAAAGTGGCTAATAGTGGTTATATCAAGTTATTGTGATTTTTCACGGCATTTCATGGGACTTTAATTGGGTTTTGAATGGGGACTTTCCCAAGTTGGAGAAGATCACTGCAATAACGTTGGGATGATTTTAGATATTATATATCAAACTAGCTACAATTATGGCCGTTTACCAAGTTTTTTTTTAAATAACTAACTGGTTATGAAATGTTATAGCATGTCGTAAATGGAATTCTACATTCCAGAACTGAGGTTATCCATTCAAAAGGGATGGCATTCGACCAGCGGCACCATGTCTGCGCCAAAAACTGTTTGACCGCCGTCCATATCTGGCTGATGGTTGTCGTTCTCCGTGAGCACCGTGTGACTGCTGTTTTGAATGCAAGGTTTTCAATAGAGATTGAAGCATCTGAAACATCCGCATGTTTTGCGAATCAGCCGGCAGACATGTTTTTCAGCAAGGGGATTCACATGACAGAACATTGGGTTTAAGGCAAAGGGATTTAGTGGGATTACCACTCTGACAACGACAATCATGCAGGTTTGAGCAACAATAAATGGGGACTTAGTGGGACTTGACCAGTTTTAACCATCATCAAATTGGGCTGAGAATAAACTTGGAGACAAACAACAGAGTTGGTGATTCAGCTCCAAACATGAAGCTTCTGAAATTTCTGCAAATCTCAGAAACTGCTATACTTTCACTTCAACGGCCATCAGCTTTGTAGAGTGTAAGTGGCTGTTGGCACCCTCAAAGTTTCATGAGTGTGTTGTAGTCGCATTGCCAACTCGAACTCAAGCTCATTAAAGGGCTGCGGCAAAATTGGTTTGCGTTTTGGGCCTCGGCAGCATTTTGACCCTCATCCTTTGCTTCCGTTTTGAAGGGTGAAGACCTCCCCGGTCTTCAACGACTTCGAGAGTCTTGGACCTTAAAACCATGCGCCAAGGATGACGTGTTGGAAGGTTCCAGGAGAGGTTGGCAACGGAAATCTTTATCACTTTGATTAGAAGCTATTTCCAGCCACTTGATAATGATCCAATTTGCAGGTTCAGCAATTGAGAAACATGTTCTTCCAAAACGAAGGCCCCTAAACTGCCCCTAAGCTGCTACAATCGACTAACAGGTGGATTTGTTTTGGGAAGATACCTTGAAAATCACCACCTTAGTGCCATAGAACCTCCAAGTCAACTTAAGGAAGAGTTGCAACTTCCAAGTCGTCGGTGCCTGGTTTTTGTGATGTTTTTTTTTGCGGATTTCTAAGCCCTAACAAACTATACAATATACTTGCCATAAACCCAACTAGACAGGGTATGTGACACATAAATACAGTTCAGTGATTATGTAAACTTATTAATAAAATGTATGTGACATGTATGACCATTGTGTTTGTTGGCTTGTAAACCCGTTACATCAATACTATACTTATCCCCCATTAACCACAGTTATGTGAGTTGTGCTCACCAACTTGGCTATCGTTTGGGGGCCACATCTTGTACTATAAACCCAACTGTTAAGGGAGTGATAAACCAACTAAGCTAAGTTCGTTTAGCACCGCCCAAGTATCTCAGCAGCAACATTTCAGGGTCATTCCTATTTCTTTCACTTATGTACTTGGTGGCTCATCCCACTTAGTAAGTGGGTTATAATCCCAGTTATACATGGGATAAGTAGGGTTAATCCACTTATAACTGGGGTGGGATGAGCCACCAGGTAGATATACCCTGGGGTAAACCGGAAAACTCATGGGTAAACTCACCCCTTCGGAACATGATCATCCAGGGATCATCCATGAGGGTTCCGATTTTCAAAACTCGACCTGGTCGTTTTTAATGGGGCCAACCGTTGTTTTTTGTTGCTTTATGAAGCCCATGAACTACATACCCTATGGATCCAAGTACCTTCTTAGGAAGTGTTTGGAATATAATTTACTACAATTTGGAGGCTTGAGTACCTTCTCAGACAGTGTTTGGATCCATAGGGATATGTGTATATATATATATATGCCATAAACATCCATAAACCATACTTAAGCATACTTAAGCTGGTTATAAATCAAGTGAACGCTATCCGTATCCCCACAGGCCCGATGGCTCACGGGATTCCATGGCAACATGACACCAAGGGTACCCAACGTGCTGTATGTCTGAGCTTGAAAAGGAGAATCAACTTACGGTAATTTAACACTTGAAAAAGTGTAAAAAGGTGGACACAATTAAAATATGGGATGGACATAAATATATGTAAATACGATATAATGAGATACAACTAGCTCACCGTACTGAAACTGTTGATACCCTCCGGTAGTCAAACATGGTTGGGAACATGGGGAAAAACATCGGTACCTAAATGGCAATTGTCTATTGCCATCTTTGAGCAATGGGTATGAGCAACGATCACTTTCAGTCCATCCGATTAGTTTCACTGTTAACTATTATATACCAATTATCATCAATAATATAATGATATATGTAGATAATATATCATGATATATATATATATGTATGTATGTGTGTAATGTATTTAATGTAATATCTAGAATTACATAATACAAGGTATCGATGTAATATAATAATTTTATTGTGATATTGATTCTAATCATCTAATAAGAGTATATAATAATATGTAGTTTTCAGGGATTGCTTACTCCCATGCCGTATCCCAGAGTCCTTCAGCAAGGAAACTTCGTCCAAATCCATCTGGCCCAGTTGCCGACTTTTGGTGTTTTTCGTGAGCCAAAGCACGGTTCCGGTGGCACCAAAAATACGAGAAAGTCCTACAATTCCAAGGAAATTCCACACGCAACATGTTTGCGATTCATTAACTTGAAAATAGCCGAAACTTGGGTCATTTGAGGATGATTCCCCTTACTAATTAATCATTCCAGTGACAGTGTAGTACTAATCCAGATGTCTTGTCTTTCCTGAAAAGCAAATGCCTGATTTCCCACCAGTTTTAAGTGATAATCCACGCACGATTCGTGATTTTCTGGGCATGATTCCCTACATAAAACCTATTGTTTCTGGACATCTTACTAAGCTGTTTCAACATCACCTCGTTTGATGGGAAAACTCAGAAAAGGGAAACAATCAAACAATCAAACATCATCACAATGACACATCTGGTTGGTGGTTTCGACCCCTCTGAAAAAATATGAAATTCAGTTGGGATGATTATTCCCAATATATGGAAAAATAAACATGTTCCAAACCACCAATCAGCACATATAACATATTGGAAAAAGGGTAATTCGCACTGAAGAAAGTTGCAGTTAGTGGTTTCTTGTGCTGGGACCTGTTCGTCCTACGTAATTCATCTTTTGGATAAAGCATCGACAATGGACAAAATCTTGCAAAAGCACTACTAGGATGCTACCTCAACCTTCGAAAAAGAACATTCCTGTCTTGTACTGTATCTCAGCATATCTCACTTCTCACGGAAACCGACCGCTTCCTAACCTAACTTCATCGCTCCCAATGTCAGATATCATCACAATGTGTGTGATATATATATATATACACACTACCTGGACGTCCATTTGTACTAGAAAAAAGTGACACTTATTGAACAGTTGTCGTTTCAACAATTTCGACGACATTTCACAAAAAAGTGGTCGCCTTCCAAAAAAGTAAACGATCTTGCTAGTGTATTTTTAAGTGTACTATACTTGTTCAAATTGCGCTTGAGTTGCGCAAAATTGCGCTCGAGTTGCGCAAAATTGCGCTCGAGTTACGTTCTGTTTTTCTGCCCGTTTGTGCTTGTGGTTCCCCTAAAAAGTAATACATTTCAAAAACGATACGAAAATCACTATTTTAACAAAATTTTAACGACTTGCCATATTTCATGCGTTTTCATTAAAACTAGTACGAAACCATGGGGGGTACTTTTCTCTAGTACGATGTCTAGGTATCATATCCCTATGGATCCAAGTACCTTCTTAGGAAGTGTTTGGAATATAATTCACTATAATTTGGAGGCTTAAGTACCTTCTCAGACAGTACCTTCTCAGGCTAGAGTATAGTAATAAACAACAGAACAAAACTGACCTCTGTAATTACTTGCGATGGTCACATAGAAATGACGTTGGGACATTGTTTTCGCTGCGCCCTTTTTTTGTATTCCATGACTCGAAACATCACCAATACTCAAACAATAGTCATCAAAGGCACCAATGGCACCCGAAATCTCCCGAAATGATGGCCCGAATCTACAGTTATGGCATGTTTTATCCCAGTTGCAAGCACTAAATCACCCAATTTATGGAAGGTAAACCCAATTAAATTATATATGTATATATATAACCATACTGTACAGTAAAAAGAGTATTTCGGACCATATCTGTATAGTGACTGAAGACAGTTCCCTTTTTGATTAACCTGGATTAACCATGATGACAAGGTGCCCTGGAAAAACCGTTCTCAGTGATTTTACTGACCGGCTCTCCGCTTCTTGGTTGCTGTCTGGAGGTACCCCATGATCCTCTACAAGGTGGGGCATGGAGTAAGTTAGCTAATGTAAGTTGATTAGAAAATAACTCAATAACAAGGACTGATGTATGATAGTTTATGGTAGATATATCTATTAACTCGATTTAGTTAGCAAGTAGTGAGGTCTACAAAACATTTTTTTTCTGGGGGCACCCACCTTATAGGGTGGACATTCAAAAACGTGTCTGAACCCACCAGTCAATCAAAGCTGGCTTGCTGGAAAATACGCCATTTCTGTAGTTCGATCATTTTCCCGTTCAAACCTCCCTTGGGTTCGGGCCACGTTTGATGACATGATGGTCAACGAAACCTTTTTTTCTGGACACGAACCTCGTCCGCCACCCAGCGCAGTGGCACAAAGTTTCGGTCGCTCGCTATCCAGTGCGCAGCCGCCCGTATCGCAATCACAGTCCGTGGCGGCACAGTTAAGGGACTGTTTCACTTTGAGACCTTACTTGGTGGGCAACCCAATTTTCTTGGTTTATAACCCTCGTTGGCTATAGATACAGCCAACAGTTATGTTTGTTGGTTTATAACCCTTCATTAACTATACTTGCATCTTCAACAACGTGTTATATTTTCTGCTTTTTTCGAAAAAAGTCTTTTTGGGGTAGTACCACTTTTTTGACTTCGAGCGTTCTTTTGGGTTTTCTTCTTTTTCCCCACCTGCCAGGTGAGGGTTGTTAGATTTTATCAGAGCGCATGCCCGCCTCCTCCTCCTCCTCCTCCTCCTCCTCCTCCTCCTCCTCGACTAGCTGTCCTCCTCGCTGTCCTCCTCGCCTCCGCCTCTTCCACCTCCACTTCCGCCTTGCTCCACCTCCACTTCCGCCTTGCCAACCTTGCCAACTCGTCGCCAAGCTCTTTGCCAACTTCCCAGCTCAGTGCGCACCGCTGGACCTCAACCTGCGAGCTGCCCAGCTCAGCGTGCACCGCTGGACCTCAACCTGCGAGCTGCCCAGCTCCGTGTGCACCGCTGGACCTCAACCGGGGACCTGCCCAGCTCCGTGTGCACCGCTGGACCTCAACCTGGGACCTGCCCAGCTCAGTGTGCACCGCTGGACCTCAACCTGGGACCTGCCCAGCTCAGTGTGCACCGCTGGACCTCAACCTGGGACCTGCCCAGCTCAGTGTGCACCGCTGAACCTCAACGGCCAGAAAGAATGCCAGAAGAGATGCCAGATAGAATGTCAGATAATTTGCCAGAAGATATGCCAGATAAAATGACATGAGATGTGCCAGATAATATGCCAGAAGATATGTCAGAATATGTGCCAGAAGATATGCCACAAGATATGCCAGATAGAATGCCAGATAGAATGTCAGATAGAATGCCAGAAGATATGCCAGAAGATATGCCAGATAGAATGCCAGAAGAGATGCCAGATAGAATGTCAGATAAAATGCCAGAAGAAATGTCAGATAGAATGCCAGAAGATATGCCAGAACATATGCCAGAAGATATGCCAGATAGAATGCCAAATAAAATGCCAGAAGAAATGTCAGATAGAATGCCAGAAGATATGCCAGAAGATATGCCAAATAGAATGCCAGAATATATGTCAAATAGAATGCCAGAAGATATGCCAGAAGATATGCCAAATAGAATGCCAGAATATATGTCAAATAGATTGCCAGAAGATTTGCGAGTAACAACATGTATAAATTAAATGTCATGGTGCGGATCACACGAAGTAAAGCAATTGACCTTCTAGATTGACTTTTTTTGGCCTTCTAACATGTCTCATGGTCCTACACACTGTTATTTGGATTCGTTTTCAGACAACATTCTCTTGAATGACTTTTAGAACCAAATTGCCATCAAATGAAAGCGAAGAAGGTGATAGGCTCTTGGGTTAAATACAACATGCCAAAAAAGGTCAATCGCAAGGTCATCTCAGGGAAGCTCATTTGGCACAGGAGTTCTGTTGTAGCATCCTTCTCATCACCATATCCAACTCGCAGCAGTTGAGGCGCACTTTCTTTTGAGCAGATTGGTGTGTGCTTTGCTATTGTTGAAAGGTATTGATCCTGAAACTCAAATGCCTAACATATTAAATGGACAGGGCAAATGCCAATGAGGCGCCACAAGGATCTGCCAGGATTTGCTTTTGTGTTCAATCTAAGCGATGGAAAGGCCAAATCTCTGCAACGTTCTGGGGGTGCATGATTTTTTCTTTCACTTGGAAATTGTTTTGACTAGTGAGGCTCCTTTGAGTTTAGGTTTCCTCCATAGTGTCCAAGGTAATCAGTCATGGGTTTCTGTTGTGGTATTTCACTTGATCTCTCTGGGGTTAGTGAAGGCTACGAGGTAGCCAACCAAAACTTCATGACAGAATAGGGAAGAACATGAAAGAGCAAAAATTCAAGAAACAACGTTTTTTGTGGCGAAACGCCAAAAAAGAAAAACAATTTCAACTTCAAGCGATAATTTTGCACATCCGGAGGTTATATATCTAGATATACCATGATAATGTGGGTAAAACAATCTCAAACCATCCCCAATTTCACTTCATCAATACACGGCAACCATTCCCAATATTGGGTGGTTTATGGCATTGTTTTACCTGCATTATAGGTAAATCACAAACCCTAAACTTAAATTGGACTTATTTGCACCAACTATTTGCGATTCCGAAGCTTGGCAACTGTTGTTTTACCCAGGAGTCGGTGGTTTGCGACTAGCCGACTCGGGGGGGCACTCACCCACAAACACAATATTTCTGGGTAGAAACATATATTACCATCATATACCCATGGAAAACGGCCCATACTAAAAATGAGCTATGATAATTGACCTACAAAAAATGGTGATTTTCCATAGTAGTAGCTACATTAAATTACCAAAGACTAATACTAACATGAAACTCCAAACCTGGTCTCGAGATGTCTCGAGAAGATCATGTTACCATTGGATATGCCGAACATCTCGGCTTCCATATGGTTCCATGTGAAGTTTGCAGGGTGTGAATCCATGTGAAGTTATATACCATTAGATGATATCCCTACTAGGGTTGCTGATAAACCAGAAGATCATGTTATAAAAGTCCATCCCTCATGTTGTAACAGCACCAGTTGGAGTTGATTATTTTCTCACTGTGCCACCAGTTTTGTTGAAAAAGTAATGGATCTGTCTGAAGGTGGGGGTGTTCCTCAGAATCTATGTTCTAGCGGAGAACATTACAGTTATGGCCTATGGCCGTTTACCTCTTTACCAATTACAAATGGTTGGAACTGGTTATTTCTATGGGATCATACATTCCACAAATGGGATTACAAGTACTTATAATTGGTATAACTCGGGCCGGCCATAACTGTATGATGAACCCCAAATTTTGGGTTACCATATTTTCAGACAAAGCCGAAGGGCAGGCGGTCAAAGCCTTGGGCCCCACAAAGTTATGGATCGACTGTTGGATCGGGTCAGTATCTGAGCCTCTTGGGGATGCTTTTTTTGCAGCCAAAACTTGGCAATTTTACCGTTGATTTACTGGGATTGAATGGGATTTGTTGAGATTTCATGCTGATTTAAGGATTGTATGGAATTTAATGGTGATTTGCCAAATGTTTAATGGGATTTCCGGATATGAGATTTAAGCTAGCTCAGTTGGTGGGCGTGCAACTCCAATAACGCTTGGGTTTATGGTAGATATACAGTTATACAGTATTAAACTAGTTCATGATGCTTATAAATCAACAAACATGTCACTAGGGGGCCTCACCTTGTAAGAATTCAACCAAACAACATCTGTTGGAGGGAAGATAAATCTAGTCAACGGTGTGATCTTCGAACGTTGTGTTTGAAACTGGAGACCGTTGTTTTGGGGTATAGCAAAACTATGCAAAACCCCGAGTTGGAAACCTGCAAAACATGGGGTTTCCACGGGGAAAACCTGGGAAAACATCATTTACACCACCCTGTAAACACTCTTCTTTTGGGGGTTGCTGTACTCAATCTTGAGCTGTCTAAGACAAGTTGTGTTAAAATGAAAATCGTAAGCCCAACAATCAACATATAACAAAATCAATGGGTATACCCCACTCACTGAGCATTTGCACTTTTAACATATGTAAAACATCTCAATGGTTGATGATCATTTACCCGCCCTTGAAATTGGTCAAGTATCTGCCCATCCCCCATTCTTGGTAAACCCCCCCTATGGCCCTATGAATTTTGATCCTGCTGAAAGCAGGCCCCCGGATAATCTATGATCTCCAACTTTCTGGTGAAGTCCGAATTTCTTGCTGGTGAAGTTCGTGAAGTCTCTGCTGAAATCTCCTTGGAGTAGCCTCCCTGTGCTCGGATTCTGACCTATCCCTTGAGCAAAATTTCGGTCCGGATCCCAGAGTGATGGCAGAAGGCTGGCAGGGCGCTGGTCCCCATGAAAAACAACTGCTTGACTATAAGAAGTAGACGGCCTTCCAGGATGTGAATTAGAGACTCTAATCCCCAATAGACCAGGCGAATGACACCCTTTTTGACAAATCAGCTACCGGTAATTTCCTAATGGCTCAGCCGGGTTTGTCACATGTGGGATACACGAGACTGGCTGGATAAAACAACATATAAGACATGCACATCTGCTGCCAAAATTTTGAGACAACCTCAAAGGACCTTGATATAGTTACACTGCAAATCTTGGATTAAGCCTCTGCGAAGAAACAATTCGTTCGAACTAGTTCGAACAGTGTCTTCCCATTCTTGACCGGACAAATGACCCATTAAATTACACCAAATCATAACTGGTTGGTGGTTTCAACCCCTCTGAAAAATATGAAAGTCAGTTGGGATGATTATTCCCAATATATGGAAAAACAAAACATGTTCCAAACCACCAACAGATAAATTCTACGGGTTGGACCAAAGGAATCAGACATAGCTTGGAACAAGTCCCAAGCTGTGATGAACTCCTGCAGCCAGGTCAAGTCCGTCATTGATGGTTTTCGGGCAGGGTCATTACCATACTACGCTGTGAAGCGAGCCATTGAGCCATTCAAGATACCCCGTTTTCCAATCTCATTCTACTAGTTGGCTGTCCCAATCCTATGGCTTATTGGAATCCCCAGGAAATTGGGAGTAAAAGTCCCTAGTCCGTAACCAATCAACCAGTGTATTTTGGTCACGGCTCATTGCAAACCAAGCAATTGACAAAGTCACCCTGCCTCAGAAAAGAGTTGCCCATTACTTCATCACCCTTCAACGCCCAGCGTCAATACGACTTGTCCACATCACACATTCCAAGTATGTTTGATTCTTCATTCCCCGGCTTGACTCGTCAAATGGCTCGTTAGATCCCTATTTGATGATTAAGTTGACCATTCACTAAGTTGACTGGATACATCTTCCGAGCATCACATCCATTTTTTAAGAGTGTTTCAGAAATGAAGGTGTCCAAATTTATGTTGGATACTCAAAGACTCAAAAATGAATGGTTTATAAGGGAAAATCCGTGAACATCCTATTATTTTTTTTAAACAATGATGATTTAGGGGTACCACCCAGGAAACCTCCAAATCTAAGATGGATATCTGGGCGGAGCTTTTTTCAAAAATCGTATTGGATTGCCAGCAATGAAAAATTACATCCCCAAAAACTACTTGGAGGGATAATCCCACCCAAGTGATTAGTCATAGATATTGTACTGGAAAAATCGATGGGCCGGTTTGGTATACCAGATATAAACTTTTGGTACCGCTGTACCTATTGGTTGTTTGATGGGGGTGACCCTTCTATAAACCGACCAATTAACTAACTAACTCACCAACCAACCAACAAACCACAGTGGGTAAAGAACATGTATGCTCAAAAACCCTACAAGCTGGGTTTGCCACGTTATAAGTAAGTTTATGAACCCGACTCACTATAGACATATCTACCAAACCATTATAAACCATATTTGTTTGGAGTAACAACATATTACAAACCAAATTAGCTATTTTGAGGGCACCACCTTGTAGTAAACAAGTCTCCCTAGCTGGGGCTCTCTCATTTATGCAACTTTGGGATGATCATTTCAATGACCCCCCCCAGTCATGGTTGGTTGCTGGATGTCTTATGGCGTTTGCTCTATCACATTACATCCCTACCTCTTGATTTGATGCCTGCCCATCTGCCATCAAATGAATGAGGCACTACCCTCCTGTAAACGTTTACATAGATGTGGAAAAACCATGTGTAGATTCTTGTCCTCTGGAAATCATGGGCTTTCCACATCTATGTTAGTTGACCCTAGGGTAATATGGACTATCGCGGCGCGCGGTGGCCAAGATGCATCAAACGGAACGGTCAAACCGCAGGGGTTGCTTTGACCGGCGACCGGAAACACTGGCCATGGACCGGAACAACGGTTCTTGTTCACGGAAAACACGCCGCTTTTTGTGAGATGAAAACAGGCGAAATTGGTGCCCAACATAATATCTGTCAATGAATTCAAGCCCTGGTTTATTATTAAGATATAGGCGTAGTATACAACCTAACGCTTACATTTGCTTATATATATATTATATATATATAAGCATATCACACATGGAGCATATGGTCTGACTTAAAAACGAAGCAGGGTCAGGATACCTACATAATTTTGATTGTTTATCAAAATTTTGTCCATTTAAATTGCCCCTATCATGGAGTAAATCCATTATCTTTGGACACACCCATATCATATATCATATGGTTGGTGATAGATCCCAAGACATTGTTCCACGGTTAAGGGTGCCATGGGAAAGCCGCGTTACGCCATGGGAAAAAACAACAAACAACATAGGATTTTGCCCTCTATTTGCAGAAACTGAAGGGTGTCCCATGGTGAAATTGGGATACAAAAGGAGTGTGATGTGTCTATAGTACTTACCAAAAAATGATCTAAATTTGGGTGTCCCATGGCCTTCAAGGCCCGCCAATGATGCCAAATCACGCCCATTTCGGTAGCTTGGTAGCTCATTTTGTCCGATTCTGGGGGACCAACATCTAGGCCATAACGTGCTACATTAAACATACTTAAACATAAGGACTGACTCTAAATTCTTCAAGGTTCCTGTTCTTGGTCTGTCTGTTTTTTGTTCGGCTTCCATTCTCGCATCTTCCAAAGTTTCCCAACAGACATGGATCTTTTTGTCAAAACCTATGGATTTTCCCAATTTTGGGATCCTTGGGATCCTTAAATCCCAGCTATATATGTCGGCTTCACCAGGGTACCGTTGAATCAGCTCCTTCGGAGACTTTCATCATCTCAGCCTGGTTACCGGCAGATTCAGTTGCACCATGTGCAACTTGGGGGGAGGCCCCAAGTAAAGATTTCCCACTTGCTCACAAAACATGACTATGAAGTACAAATGGACCGCTCTTGTGCGAACACACATTAACTCAGATAGCTGACGTTACCTTTCGTGATTGGCTGAAGATAAGCCTGACAACTTTACATGGACCGTTTTTGTTGTACCAGCAATTTGCATCAATTTGCATCAATTTGCTGGGTGTCTGAAATAAAGTGTCCCAAAAACCGAAGTCCATCATGGCGCTAAACCAAAAACGACTCACACTTTCTGCCCAGCTCAAGTTCTCCGCAGCTCGATGGAGCTTTGGTGCCTTTCACTGGACGTTGGGACCGTTGGGAAGAAGAAACTTTGTGCCACTTCATCCCGGTAGACATAGCCCACGGCGGCCACCAGAAAGATCAGCATCAAGAACACAATGAACCAAATCACCATGGAATAAGATTCGCCCTCAGCTGGTACTCCTGTGTTGTTCATAGGAATCATCACGGAAAACACCGTTGGGTCCATTTTCTTGGGAAACGTCACTTGCAGCGTCACATTAACATTTTCTGCATCTGGAAGTGCATCAGGGTTCACTTCCAGCTTCAAGTCCACCGCAAAACTCCCATTGGGACCAATGGAAGAGCTGTAGAAAGTTTCATCAAACTTCACCAACCTCTCAGAAGGCTGATGAAATCGCCAATCACTGGTAGCTTCCAATACACTTACCTTCAAGAAGTCTTTGTCCACCTGAAAAATTTCCCCCTGCTGCGTCTCCAGATCCAGCTTGGGGGGTTCAAGGAGCCCCAAGGTGGGGCTTTTGAGGCGGAGAAAATGGGTATAATTGATGGATTCCCACAACTCCATCGTCCACTCATAAGTCTTCTCCACGGCTACGGCACAAGATGGACGAATGCTCAAAGGGGAAGAGAGGCCGAAGTCGATGAACAGCTGATCTTTTTCGGACTGAATCAGGCCATCCTTAATAAAATTGAGACTTACATGCCAACAATTCTTGCCTGTCGTTGGATTCTGCCAATGGGGAAAGGGGATGTCAAAGGGCAGGAGCACACACTGGAGGTCCATCACATCATCCTTCTCTAAGGTCACAATATGATCAGAAATCAAGGGCAGCCAAGGAGTTGTTGGGATCGGCAAATGGCCTGCCAGGGATTTGAATTAAGTGGATGTAGCATGTTCATGCACTGTCCCTCGATCATCTTGATGACTGGGTTGACTTGTTGGAATGTTTGTGTTTCAGACATACTAGCAGATGGTTTAAGTCACATCAGTTTGGCAGAAGTCACATCAACCCCATGGCACAGCGAGCTGGAAGAATCAATTGGGCAAAAATCACATTAAAACAACAAAATCCCCATGGCACACCGGCTTTTAGGGAACGGTTCTATATGTCAAAAATGAAGCAAACATTGCGCACGCTGACGCATCAACAAACGTATTTTCAATACATGTTTTCATAGGACATATGAAGGAATCACCATGGCACAGGGCATCCATGGACTTTCATTTTTTGTCCGGAGCAAACACAAATCCCCAAGTCTTAGTGACGGGCACCATCATCATGCCAACAGTTTTAAATCACTAATCCCATTGGCACACCGTTTTCCATATCCCCTTGAGGTTGAATGTTACCGATGTAGAACGTCCTTTTCCTCCTCTTTTCTCTCTGTAGCTTTGCATTTTTGTGTGAGAATCAAAAGGTGCGCCTAATGTTGAACATACATGCGTTCCTGCATGGGACTCTATAGGCACGGCTAATGTGCCTCTAGGTGTGCCCGCCCATGCCTCTCCTGGTGGAACTCCGCTTTCCAACAGTATTTTTGTTTGGCCTAAACACATTACGCACAAAGCCCCTCTTTCGCACACACACACAACTTTTCAAGGGCATTGATTCAAGCGAATCTTAAAAATTGGTTAAACGAATTTCTAGGGAACCATAAAATCCACAACCCAGTTAAACTTTATATTCAAGAGAATCTTAAACATGTCTCAACCGAGTTTCTAGGGAATCATCAAATCCGCACCCCCGTTAAAATCTATTTGTTTAAGAAGTTTAGGGTCTAGGGTTTTAGGGGTTTAGGGTTTAGGGTTGACGTTGTTGATGTTCTTGATGTTGTTGTTGATGTTGTTGTTGTTGATGATGATGATGATGACGATGACGACCATGACCATGACGATGACGATGACGATGACGATCACGATCACGATCACGATGATGACGATGATGATGATGATGATGACGATGACGACGATGATGGTGATGATGATAATGATGATGATGATAATGATGATGATGATGATGTAACATTCAACGCACGAGTAGCTGAGCTGTGCGTTGAAAGATGAAAGCCATGATCCTGGACATGTGCATTTTGTCCCACAAACCACAGACAGTGGTTTTTGATGTTCGCACACGTGGTGGACAGCGGCGCGGGCAAGAGAGGGGGTTTGCACGAAACATTACTCTACCACCACTGGGTAGTAAGCGCCAAACATGGCGACCAAGATTCCCTTTTTCAAGGGCAGTTCCTGCAAATGCTCCCGGTCAAAACCGCGAATTGGAGCTTAAAAAAAACACATCCTTTTTGCCCACAGCCATTTCCCCATGGCCTGAGTTGTTTCCATTCTTCTTGTAGTACTTCTTATAGGCCAGTCGGCCACAGGCTTTGCCCAAACCATACAGCGTCAGATTTTGGAAGTTTCCCTTCGCCCCTCTGCAGTCAATGCGAAAGGTGAAGGGCTGCGGGAGCGGCTGAAAGTTGGAGCTGGACTCAGCACTGCATTCCAACCTGGCATCATTAGAGCTATTGAAACTGGCCCATTTATAGTTGATTTACAGTAACGATTATATATACATGTTGATTTTCCGTGGCTATTTTGGTTTATCATGAAGTAGGTTGCCATGAAAGTTAGAGATGCAGAATGTACCCAGAAAATAAAGGGTTTGGATGGTGTGCCAACCTCAAATGTTCAGAAAATTAAAGATACCTTTGAAGCCTCAGAGATATCTTCGTCCCACCTGACTTTGGTGCCCGTGAACTTGCAACCGCTCTTGAAGCGTTTCCGCTTGCGTTTTTCCTCGGGAAAATCCATCAGGTCCGAGCGCACATGAACCCCTACGTCCGCCTCCGCGAAACCCACGGTGAGGTGCAGCGCGTGCAGTGCATGCAGTGCATGCAGCGCATGCAGCGCCAACGGGCCGCTGGCAGTCCACATGGCAATTTGGCCAAACTCATCGGGGAACCCTAATGGTTTGAAGAGATTTGAATTTGTCGAAAAGAATGACATTGATTGAAGGGATTTGAATTGATTCCAAATGGGGTGAAGCAGTTTAGAGACTAGAGATCAAAAGATTTGAACTGGTGGTAGCGCGGTTTACTTGCGGAACGAAAACTACTATCGTTTACTAAGTGCTGGGTGTTTTTGTGAACATCAACCACTGAATCACATCACTTCTGGGCTGGATGCCTGAAATTCCATATCATGATCACACCACAAGAAAAACATGTTCACTCGTCACTGTGATTTGTTTAACCCAAAGAAAGTGGCCATTGGTCTTTCCAAAATAGGGTACCCACTTGAAGTCTAATTACCATAAGCATCATATGGTGATAAGTATGACAAGTTTTGAAATCAGGGTTTTCCATGGGTTTTCCTGCAAAGAGTGTCGCGAAACTCAATTCGTAGCTCCAACTGGCTCCCTCCTATTCACCAGACAGCTTCAAATTCGAACAAATGATCGTTCACTGTAGCTAACGGTTAGATGCTTATGTGAATCGCAGAAATTGGGTGTTTTATCAACACAACGGGTGATGGAACCAATGATGCCAATCTTAGATTCCCTGCCAAAAAATCGGGATATCGATGCTTCTTCATCCATCAAAAACTAAACAGCTTCACATCAAGGGATGCAATTCTGAAAGCCTGCAGAAAACCAAGTATTTCCCAGACTTCGCTAGGGGGTGGTGCCTCAACCTTGGAACGCAATTTACCTAATACATGTTAAGTTCATATTAAGTTATTTAAGGTGCGTAATACCCCACAGAAAAGACACACCCAAAATCATCTTGTTTCCCCGATTGTATCCGATGAGGAGTATATAAACTAAAAACGCCCCATGAACGCTTCATTTGGGTGATATATCCAATCCTTCCCCCTATTGTATCTCCAATAATTCAGGGCTATGTAAGGGAATATCCCCACAAAATATTGCCAAAAATATGGTACTAACGTACCTCCATTTTAGGATCCTGGAATTCCCAATGTAACTGTGATTCATAGTGGTTAATAGTGACTAATGGTGGTGAATATCACTGATATAAATTAAACATACCCTCTGGTAAACTACCATAACTATGGAAAATCACAATTTTTGATGGGTAAATCCACGTATTTCAATGGCCATGTTCAAGTTCGCAAAATGCTATAGTCATTACCAGAGGGTACCCGGTAATCCCATATATCTTCCATTATGGTGAACTCCATTGGTTCAACATTCCCAGTTGAGACCTCGGGGCCGTCATGGCAAAGGAAAACTGTGGCTATACCTGGAGACAGAACGGTGCCGGTGGCCCGAGTCATACCAGTTACAAGTACTGAAATACCATGAAATACCACCATTTATGGTTTATGTATAATCCCATTGAAATAACGTTGAAATAACCGGTTAGAACCTATGGCCATAAACTGTAGATAGCTAAGTTGATTTATAGCTAAGTTGATGGGATTTAATGGAATTGAATGGCTTTCAATGGGATTTAAGATAGCCATGTTGGTGCAAATAACTACAACAATACGTTTTTATGGTAGATATAAGCTGTGTAGCTATAGTTAATGGGATTTACAGACTTCACATAAAAAAATTGGGATTCCACCTGGGAAATGCTGATTTAACCAACCCAAAATTTGCGGATTCTGCATGATTTTGCCTTTTTTTGGTGTATTAACTAGCCTAACGAGGATTGATGGCAGATATGCCTATGGTTCTTGATAGCCGAGGGCCCTTGGTGGGGAACGTAGATATGCCTATGGTTCTTGATAGCCGAGGGCCCTTGGTGGGGAACGTAGATATGCCTATGGTTCTTGATAGCCGAGGGCCCTTCGTGGGGAACGAGGTCCTATCTGTGATTTCGGGATGGGAGGAGTTTGAAACCCCGTGGCCCTGTGGATTCAAATGTCGCCGGACAAGAGAAATCGCATGGTTGAGAATGCATCTTTGCTCACTATTCTTGGATCCAAATGACTTCCCAAGTGAATGACTTCCCAAATCAAGTGGAACCCCAACTTTGAAAGAGAAGAAAACCCTAAAAAGATGCTGGTAGAACTCATGGTTTCATGTAGATTTTCCCTTAAACCCATCGGTTGGAGTGTAGGTTCACATACCCCTGGATATGGAATCTCCCAGGTGGGCAAGTGTAACGATCAAGGACAAAACGACAAAACGACCACCTAGTGAACCCAACCATCCGGTCACTCTGGTGGTAAATATAAAGGTTTAATCTGGCATTGTATCCAAAATTACCATCTGGCTATTTAACATAGCCATGGAAAATCACAATTTTTAATAGGTAAACCATCTATAAATTGGCCATTTTCCATGGCTATGTTAAATAACCAAAATGAATGCTTCAATCATGTTCAATCCACCTTGTGGTTGGTGAAGAATTCCACTGAATCTCGCTGGTGTATGATTTTCAGTTGGGACCATCCCATTCCTATCAGGGTTGCTCCCCTGGCCACCGCAGATACGTTTGGGCGGGAATCTAGGTAGCTAAAGAGATAAGATGACCAAATTCCCCCCCAACTGGGCCTATCATTTACCTATCATGGGCTGGAGCAACGCTGTCTAGGCCTCCTCCTAGACCCTGAAGCAGCAACAAACGGCCGGGTTCATAGCCAACAATATGCAGGAGACCTTCTAGTAATTTGATGTAGCGAACTGGAAAAATCAACCGTGGAAATAATAGGTAAATCATCTCCAGTCATGGCATGTTCCATGGTATTCCCCAGTCATATGCTAGTGCCCTCTGGTAATTTAACATAGCTATGGAAAATGATCCATTTATGGATGATTTACAGTACCTATTAAACAATTACCATTTTCCATAGCCATGTTAGATTACCAGAGGCTACAACTTCCAACCAACAGCACTTCCTGGCTATAAGTTTTCACTCGTCCGATCATTTTTCCTGGATGCCAAGATGTTTCGGAATCGCCATTGAACCCTGGATGCCATAGCCCATTAATGTCCAACTTAGTGTAATGATGTTAAATAGAAACCACCAAAAAGATGCCGAAAAAACATCTGTTTATCACTATTTAAGCAGGATTTTACCAACTTATTTTTTTGGGGGGGATGGTGGCACCGCAGGTGGGTCGGGCATCCCAACGGCTTGACCCGAGAGTTACTCCGTGACTTTTGAAAAGGGTCACAACTTGTTGTGGAGTTGTTCCTGTATCTCACCTTGGCACCGCTGCCCGGGCACTAGCTTGGCACACACACAAATATCAATATGGTGAAATCGATGGTTGACGCTCGAAAAAAATCACGAATCTATGTAGTTCACAGGGTATGGGGCTGAAACGCAACACAGATTTCACTGGGAGGCACCAACCTATAGATGCAATCCTGGGACCAGTATGGCCGCCCTCAGTTGCCAGTCTATGAAATGTTACCCTGTTACCCCCAAAAGTTGGGGCCCCCTCGGTAATTCATTTGGTCTATAATTTGATTCTGAATAAGTATGGCTTATGGTAGATATATCTATTGTGAATGGGGTTTAAAAACCAACTTATAACTGGGGGCTGACCTTTGTACTTGAGATGAATCACTTCGATGTTTTGGTTTCTTGTAGGAACTACACCTGTAGAGACCAACTCCGATCACAGACTTCCAGTTCATCACAATCATCCTGGTGCACATGACGCATGATCTGACAGGTGATACACCTTTTTTTCCCAAGACAACTCATATGTGTTGTTTTTTTACTTTTTTTTGGACTAATGCATGTCCATCCTCTCTAGTGGCTATGAATTACAGCATGTTGATGTATAATTATTGTGTTATATGTATATACACATATCCACTTGTACTGACAATTTAGTGGAAATGCAAATGAACGTGGTTTCAATAGCTGAGGGAGATTCACCAAATTTGTCGATGTGGTTTTGATGTTCTGCTCGCTTCATTTCTCAACTTGGGTACCCCAGATTGCTGGAAGGATAAGACGTTCTTTTCGCTGATACCTATAGACCCTCCAAGTACCCATAAAAATGATGTTTGATCGCATAATTGTCAAATTTTTAGGTTGTATATTTGGAGGGTCTAGGTAGACATGAGAACGATATAAATATATATATATATACATATATATATATATAACCCACTTACCAACGCGATTCACCACAGGGCCACAGGCTTCAACCAGTCACTCACTTTGTGGGCGACCTTTCCTCAGCGCTCCAAAATGCTCGGGAAATGGTCGACGTGGATCCTCAATTTTTGAAATGGTGGCTACTATAAAACCATGACTGAACATAATTCTACATATCCTGATAATATATACTATACATATTATGATACGTGTACATATATATATATATATTTAAGACTTTCCAACTAGCAAGAATTAGAGGAGGTCAAAAATGTATTTAAAAGTGATTTAAAAGTGATTCTGGTATTTGCTGGAAAAGTGATTTAAAAGTGGGTTTGTAAGTGGGTTAATTTATGAAAGTGATTTAAAAGTGATTTGTCTTTTTGGGGGCTCTCGCTTTTCCAGCAAATACCAGAATCCAGTATATGCTTATGTCTACACATGTGCACAGTTTTGACCTCCTCAATTTGTTTAAGTTTGGGATGGGAGATTTGAAACAATTGCTGCTGAGGCATTTGTTTAGGCTGGCTGTGCGTAGAATCGGCTCAATCAGGAAAGCAAGAGGTGGACTGTTTGGGATTGTTTTTTCCGGTTTCACTGGATTTGTCACTCCAATTCGGAGTGCTCCATCCGATGGATCTAAGTGATCCGCATGATCTGGCAGATTTGGGTGGCATTGGGGAGTTAGTTTCTGAACTGGAGGCTCAATTGTCGCAGGAATCAGCAGAAGCAGAGGAAGCTGAAGCATGCAGGTCCCACAGTGACTCTGAAATAGATGAAGAACCCCTTGATCTTGAACCAAATCAGACTCCTTGGTGGGTTTCCAGCCTTCAAAGGCACACGCAACACTTGGGGCACCCTGAGTGTCAAACCAGGGGACCAGTCAAGATCCTTTCTGCGTGCACTGGCGCGTGTGCTGAGGGACATGTTTTGCAGGTCACTTGCCTATGCCAAGATTCGATTTAGTGTCATTTTTCCCAACAACTTAACCAACCACAAACCATGTGGGTGCCCGAGTGTAGGTAGATTCTGCATAGAAGAGTAGTAAGTAAAGCAGTACAGTAGGAGTAGGGTAGGGAAGGGGATAGACGAAGACAACATGTGGAGGTTGGCTAAAATTTTTGTTCATTACTTAGGACTAGCTTGTCAATCACTATAGGCCCTATAGCCAACAAAATTATGGTTCTGTTTTTTCGGCCACATTTTTTTGGCAATGCATCTGTCAAGGCATCGGTGGTCACCAAATTGAAGTGTCAGCAGTGGATCGCACTTGGAGAGAACATTGAGAATCGTTTGCGCAGAGATTCCAAGCATTTGCTTTTGAAGCAGTGCATGGAAGCACACAAGCTTTTTTTCCAAGAAGCCACTGCCATGGAAAGTCTTTGCTACAAGCTGGCAGAGGCAGGAGCAGGATTGAGCTTTTCCGAGAAGCTCTACCACGAGCTGAACCACAAGGTAGTGGCAACCCAGATTGAGGAGTGCACGACTGAGCTCCTAGACACAGTCAAGATGCTTGTGTGCCAGTCCCTTCGCAAACTGGATGTTGCATTTGAGAGCGTCGCCAACATTGTCGGGGAGTGGTTGCAGAAGTCATGGCATGACTCTTGTGAAAACCCAGATCTTTTGGAATCAGTTGTGACAGCTTCAGCCAACACGATTTCCAAGATCAGGGTGAAACCCTTGAAATCCGCCCTTGCCGATTTGGAGAAGGAGATTTAAAGGGTCACATTTGTTTGACTGGCTGGCAAACTCATAGTATAGCTAGCAGCTAGTAGAATATCTATTTGTGGTGGTGGTTTTACATACATATTTGGTGGTTTATCGAGTTGGGGAATTTCTTGAGGTATTCTTTTGCATTACACTATGCCATATGCCTCACTTTGCTATGCATTGCTTTGCCGTGCTTTGCTATACTACACTACATTACCCTTTACTAACTACACTGCACTATACTATCAATTTCTTCAGAATCATCTAAATTTAAAAAGAATGTAGAATGAATCTGGAATCTAGAACCTCTTGAACTTGAACTTACTCAAATGCACTGGGGGGGCTGTATACGACCAGTAGTATATGACTCGTGGCTTGTAATGGTCGTAGGTGGGACTTGTGCATTGCTGCAGGACATCAGCCAGTCGGAGGAGTTCTTGGCTGCGTTCACCTCTCTCTGCGACCAGTCCAAGATTCCAGCTGGCGAAGACCTAGCGAAATTGGCTGAGAGCAAAGCTTCCAAGCAGGAAGGCATGGGGAAGGCTGCGGTCATCCTGAGCGAAAGTGTCATCATTTTTTGCCTCAAGGTCATCAACAATGACAAGGAGAGTGCGGGTGAGAAGGAGAAGAAGAAGAGCCTCCTGGTGTCTCAGTGGGCAGAGGTTGAGGCAGAAAGCCAGGGCAGATCGGAAGATTTGGTGCATCCCTTTGTCGAAAACATGGCGATCAAATTGATGAAATCGAAGCCTGAGTCGAAGTCTAAAGCAGACCTTGAGTAGACTCAGTGGGCCTGCGGGCATGTGAAATCGAATCAGTTTAGGTCCAGGCTTGTCAGTTTCTTGTGGCTGGCTGTTTGAAGGACAAGGCAAAAGATAGTTGTTTTTCATCTTACCACGTGCTCGTTCTATCATTTTATCATGTCGACTTTAGGCTTTAGACTCTAGTTACTAGTTGAGTCTTGGTTTTAGATTTCTTGGTTTTAGACCTCGGAATTTGGACCTAGGCTGAAGCCATTTTGGCAGTGGGATATCAACAACTCTAGGTTGGCCAGGTACAGTAGCAGCTTCAGCGCTGCATGATGATGGCCGCGCAAGGGTTGCAATACACTTACGTTTCCAGGATTGGAAAAAGGAAAGGCAGCATGCAATCAGCACAGTTCAAAAAACACACCTTTGATTCAAATTTTGCAGGTGATTACCAGCAACTTTACTGATTAATGCAACAATTATTTACTGTAGGACTGTAGGTTCTACATTTGGATTTTGTGCAGGTGTGCTTTGTTTCCTGGGAAACGGATTGCCTGGAATTATTCTGGGGTTGGGTACAGTGTGCAACTTAAATTCAGCATATGCCCCACTCCACTGAAAAACATTCAGGGATATGTATATACAAATATTTATGGATATATAGATAGAGATAGAGATAGAGATAGAGATATATATATATATAATGTATGTATATATATATATGAAAAGAGGTATTCATTGAGAAGTATTTATGTATGTGCACGAACATGTCAAACTTCCCAATCACTGTTAAAATCACGTTTGAATCACTTGTGGCTACATGTCCCCACAATCACTTTTAAATTTTAAATCACTTTCATTTTTCCAATCACTTTTCAAACCACTTTAAATCACTTGTGGCTACATATCCCAAATCACTTTTAAATCACTTTCATTTTTCCAATCACTTTTTAAACCACTTTAAAATCACTTTTGCCTACATATCCCAAATCACTTTTAAAACACTTTTAAATCAGAAAAAATAAATTTTGGTACTTTTCAGATTCTTGCTGTTTCAGAAGGTCTTAAATATATATATATACAATATATATATATATATCCACTTGCCTTTCAATGGTTCATAGTCCCAACAAAAAAGGTGCTATCATTGAAGATTCGTAGAAGTCTGATGAACATCTTCCAGGACCCAAAATCAAACACACTTCTCTTGGAAGGTCATGATGTCCCTTCTGGCTTGGTTGTCAAAAATAAACAAACATAGCACCTACCAAAGTGCAATATTCGTAACTATAGTTCTTAACTAAAGGTATAAAGTCAATGTAGTAGCAAACATTTTTTTTCTCACAGTTTTGGGTTCATAAAATCCTCAAGTTGTTTTTCTTCTTGTGCAGTTATGGCCCTTACCTATAACCTCATTAATAAAATGTATAGTCCCAGCTATTAACCAGTTATAACTAATAAATGGCCACAAATAACTGTGTATATCCAACCAATTTGACCTCTTATCATTTTTTCATGAGCACCGGCGCTCCAGTGGATGCACCCCGAAAAAAAAAATCAGCACCCACTTCTGCGATGATCCCGGAGAGTTGTAGCTGAACTCCAGGCCCCAGATAATATATATTAATGATATTTGTGAATATATTGTGTATATATTGATATATTCTAGTACAGCCCCCATCTTATAAATCAAATAGTACATAATAAAGTGTATGTATATATATATATATTAAATTAAATATTACATAATAAAGTGTATGTATATATAATATATGTATATATATACTATGTCATATATATGTGTGTATTATATTTCTGTATTATATGCACCAAGGTATTCTTGACAACCTTACCAGGACCCCTGCGAGAAGGACCCCCTATATATATATATATATACGTATATATATATATAACTTATATATATATATAAACCCATCCAACTGCTGATATATCCATGAAACACTCACCATTTAACCTACCTCTGTTTACCAACTTAGCTGCGTAGCATGTCGGCTGAACCACAGCCTTTGATGGTTTAGCCAGGTTAGCCCATGGCTTTTCACTCAGACCACCAGTTGCTAATAATTTCCCAGGAAAACCATGGAAAACCTCTGGATTTCTTGTAAAAACATGTTAATAAGATTAGTAAGCCCTAGTTTGTCTTTTGGTTGATAGACCCGGAAAAAAACCAAACATTGTTGGGGGGTCAGAGTTGGAAGGGGTTAATCCCATTATTTGTCCCATTCTAAATCATTGTTATAAGTATACATAATGTCCTATGAATTATCCATCCCATTCTATCTATGATTTATCCCGTTCAAAATCATTCTTAATCCACATGATTATAACTACAAATTACAATATATGTTCATACAGATTCTTGGTGGGTTCTATCCCCAAATCCCCTGCATATATATCCAAACGATGGTTGTTAACCCTGATCATCCGTCATGTTAAGCCCTTGAAAAATGAATTCCCGTTAAATCACTATTAAGACCCATCATATGACCATGAAATCATAAATAAAACCCATCATATCATCACCATAAAATATCACCATTAAATCCTGTTCACTCACCATTTCGGCTGGTAACATAGCTATGCTATGCTTTCAAAAGAAATCACCATGAAATCGTCGTTAAATCACCATTATATCTCCATTTAATGCCAATATATCCCCATGAATCCTATAAATCACCATGAATCCCATTAAATCACCATAAAACCACCAGTAAATCGCCAAAGAATCACCATATCACCACTAAATCCCAATGAACTCCCATGAACATCCCATTAAATCAGCACTACATCTACATCCCATGAAATCACCATTGAACAAAGCACCAAAGGAAGGGGGCAATGAGATCACCATAGAAATAGTTGATTTATCTATTCAAATGGTGATTTGCCATAGCTATGTTACATGTTAGTTTACTGGAGGATATATCACCATTGAATTCCGTTGAATAAACATGAATAAACCATGGGCCACAGTTATGCCCCTTTTACCAGTTATAAGTACTGAACTAACCCCACTTATATAACGTATCATCCCATAGATTCATAACCAGTTATTTCACCATCATTCATCACATGTTTAGCCACTATTAACCATCTTTTCACCACTATTGATCACCATTAATCACTATAGAAATCACCAGTTTTAACTAAATCACCATTATATAATCACCATTAATCACCATTAAATCGCTATGAAATCAATATAACTAGTCTATTACATCACTATAGAAAGCACCAGTTTTAACTCATAGCCATGGCCATTTCACTGCAAGCTTCTCTGGATCGGCCCAGGATGGTTGCACCATGCCAGCGCGCCGCCAATCCCCTGCACCGCGTCAAACATGCCCGTGACCGTTGCCGCGATGCGTGAGGAGCAGGAGAAAGGAACCTGGGACAGGATAGAAACAACCATATACTGGTTGGTGGTTGAGCTACCCCAATGGTGGTTAATGGTGGTTAATGGTGGTTAATGGATATATATGAAAACATATGAAAGTCAGTTGGGATGATTCTTGACAAGATATGGAAAAATAAAAAATGTTCCAAACAACCAACCAGTATAACATTCAATGGATTCGTTTGAGGGAATTTTTACAGGACAACCCTATATTTCATGGGAAAATCGATGGTTTCCGGTTAAGATTTTCCCTTAAACCAATCCATTGAAACATGGTTATAATTATAATGATAGTAAATATGTCCTCACCCATAATGGACAAGTAGTTGGTAGCCATCGCGGCATGGTGGTTTGTAAACCCCAGTAACTATCGTTATATATCGTTATATCGCCCATAAACCCCAGTTTAGCCAAGTTATTTTCACAAACTTAGATATCTAAATCCCATTTCCCATCACCATAACTTTGCTGGTCAAATTCCCTATTCGAAAACGTTTTTTCCCCAGACCTATATGGCCCCAGATGGTTTTTCCGTCCGTTCCATGGTGGAAATCCCATGGGCAAGCCGTGAGGCTAACGTGGTGTGGCCGCAGCCAGACGCCGCGGCGGAGAGGTACGTGGCCACCTGGCTGAAAAAAAGAAAGACATACGTTTCATAGGTGTGTAATCAACGAAAATGGTTGTCGTCTGTATGCGCACACTATATAAAATATAATAGAATATCATAGAATATAATATGATAGAATAATATAATAGAATAATATAATATAATATTATATAATATTATATTATATAATATAATATAACATAATATAATATAATAATGTAATATAATAGAATAGAGTAGAATAGAATAGAATATAATAGAATATAATATAATAGAATATAATATAATATAATATAATATAATACAATATAATATAATATAATAACATAAAAAATCATATAATATAATAATATAATATAAAATAATAATATAATAGAATAATATAATATAATAATATTATAGGGTAAATATATAACATAACATAATATAATATAATAATATTATAGGGTAAATATATAACATAACATAATATAATATAATATAATATAACATAACATAATATAATATAATATAACATAATATAATATAATATAACATAATATAATATAATATAATATAATAATATGATATAATAATATAATATAATAATATGATATAATAATATAATATAAAATAAAATAATATAATATAATATAATATAGAATAGAATAGAGTAGAATATAATATAATATAATGTAATATAGTATAATAAAATTAAATATAACATAATATAGTAAAATATAATATATGAATTTTGTATGTATAAATATATATATGTATTAATGCATGAAACAATATAATCGCAAAATAATTGCATGTTGGGTGAGAAAACTAGTTGTGGTCTCAATTCCTGCCAAAAGTGTTAGTGTGGTTCAGCATGAACATGTTTGAACAGACAAATGGAACCACTAATATCATATTTTCTGGAAAACAAACTGCACATGCTATAATATGTTGCGATTGCTGGGTGCAGGGTCAGGGCGCTGGCAAGGAAAACCTTCTTGGAAGGGAAAAAACCTTGCACATAGAAAATGAAATGTGGTGAATGCACGTGTGATAGGACACCAAAACAATAGGCACAAACCCTTCTTGGAAGGGATGACCTAAGGGAAGAAAAGGCTGTACTCACTACAGCGCAGCAGCGATTTGCTTGCCACCTCAATTGGTTCCAACACACTCATTGCTTCATATGACGAAGGCAATAACCACCTCTTCCTGATCCCAGACTCGGTTTTGCCGAATGCCTTTGCCACCATAATTCTTCACACCAAGTTTGGTTGGCACCATGTCTGATCAAAGCGTTCAGCTTGCGCTTGCCACTCAGCTTTGAAGACTTCCCAACAGGTCGTATGTTTAAAGATTCCATGTTAACACTGCCGCCCACATGAGGACACCATCCACAATCTGCGACCAGACATGTTGTCATGTTGCGATTTGGCTGTCATGGCCCACCTTGGACACCAAACAATTGTAAAAATGGTTGGCTTACCCCCTCGTGAACAGGCAAGGTTCCACAATCTCAAACCTCGCATGGCTAAACCATGGATTTTAATACCCAATACGGGCATGGGTCAAAGGCATGTAGCCAGCAGGGCCTTGACCCGCAAAACAAAATGCAAGTTTTTGTTGGAAGAAACGCCCCCAACATCCTCAATGCATAGCTGGATGAGACAACTAGAACAATCAGAAAACATGGTGTTGCAATCACAAAACCACCCCACATGAGAAATAGTGGTAGTCACACTAATGATAAAGACCTTAGCTATACAAAACGAAGGAATACATCCAATACGTACACAGAGAACCCGCGGTGTCCGAGACATATTGACCAACCGCCACTCAACTTTGACATCTGAGAGTCTCCTACAATGTGAGGCCGCCCAGTGATGTTTGTTGGTTTAGATTCGCCCCAGTAACTATAGTTATAAATACCATAAACCATAGTTATTGGACTTATAAACCAACTGAACGCTATCGTATCTTGGGGGCCTCACATTGTAAGACTAAAAAGCAAACCCTACTCGGATCATCCCTGAAACCAGCAAACGTCGGGCCATGTGGCCATGCAATCTGTGCAATTGGAACGCAGGGCTGGTATTCCCGCTTTGGTTGATTAACATCTAATGTTTAAAATATCTTTGGCCTGTGAAATCAACTCAGAATTTCAACTATATTGGAAATAGTGTATGTGTTTTCAACATTGAGAATATGCGAACCTAAAAAAAATAACAATCATCCTGAAATGGAACCGATGGGACCTGCCTCTGACTGATCATGGCAAACCATCGCTAGTTTTAAGGTGGTGCCCACCAACGGAATGCCTGTTGATTTACAACCCCCGTGAATTTAATTGTTAAACAAACCATATCTACAAACCATAGAATTCACCAGCTTATGTTCACTAATCTAGCTATCTACATCCCATTGAATCACCACTAAAATCCCAGCTTGGTGGTTGAGCCACCCCTCTGAAAAATATGAGTTCGTCAGTTGGGATTATGACATTCCCAACTGAATGGAAAAAATCATGTTCCAAACCACCAACCAAATCCTATTTGAATCCCACCAAAACTTGGCTGGCCAAGCTGGCCTGCCCGAGGTCGGCTAGAAGGGAGCCAATGTTCTCTGTGCAAACGTAACGCTCGTAGCTCGTGGGATATTCCTGGCAGTTATGGCCCGAAATACCACGTATAAATGATTATAACATATTATAACCAGAAACTGGTTCATTTCTATGGGATTATACATTCCATAAATGGGGTTATAAGCACTTATAACTGGTAAAGGGCCATACCTTGGGTGGCAAACTGAAGGACCGGCGGTCAAATTGGAGTCAAAAAACTGTAATTGGGGACAGAAATCGAATTTTCATCGAGACAAGGTTATGACTACTTGTGGTTTTAACTGACAACATGAGTGTATGTATAAACCATAAAGATGAAGAAAGGTGGGGAGGGAACTTACCATAGAACTTGGGAGAGAACCACAAAAAAAAACATAGGATTCATGATTCTCCCACCATCATGTGCTGGTTGTCTCCCATGGAGTCCCCTGACCACTCCATTGAGGAGCAGCTCATCACTGTAGAGTGGGACTGCACGCAAATTCCTTTTTTGGGGGTTCGCAATTTTGAAAATCAAACTGATGGTTTACATAATGTATATATATCATAATATATATGTATATATATATAATATCATAATATATATATATATTAAGAAATAATAAAAGTCAAGTATGTAAATACATGGAGGATGAGATGAACCCAGTCGATTATTCGATTATTCAGTTTCAAACCTGGCAGAGTCATGGGGATGATTCTCACCTATGCTCTGTAAGAACTACTAAGATAAAATGGGACACAAACCATGAAACAAATGGAACACCAACCAGCAGATCAGGGGTGGATTAGTTCTATCTGATGAAGAGGGATTCTTCAATCCATACAAATAATGTCAAGCCTGGATAAATAAACATCAAACAGCTGTTGAATTGGGGGGATACCATTTATATCATTGATGTACCAGATTATGACTATTTGGAGAGTACCCCATTAATCACCCTCTGGTAATTTAACATAGCTATTGAAAATGGCCATAGAAATAGTGGATTTACCCATGAAAAATGGTGGTTTTCCATAGTTATGTTAGTTTACCAGAGGGTAATAAACCATAGTTTATTAATCCGGGGTTGACATTAAAGCCATCGTGGTTCATCAGGGTAGGCATTAAGTTCAACCGAGATTCTGTGGCTCCCCATGGCCCATGTCCCAACATCCCAACATGAAATGTGAAAAACCCTTTCAATCAGATCCGCTTGTATCCAAAGTAAGTAAATACAGTAGATGTTGTAATTTACTTATATAAAATTCCGACTGGTTTATCTACAAATCAATGATAAGATGTATAGATAAATGCAGAACCCGATACACACACACACAAACCCACGCACGCACGCACGTACACACGCACGCACGCACACACGCACGCACGTATGTATCAATATATATATATTCAATACATTATTATCATATATACTCCACACCTATGTAGGTAAAAATACATATGTTGAATTTATTAAGTGTAACCTGTATTATGTACATACATAGTACTACATAGTTGTATAGGTAGTTGCCTAATATCGCCCTGATTTTTGGGATTCCATCATATTTCATCCCAACAAGCGCTGCCGTGTTGCAGGACAAACTCCAGGGGCTGTGGCCAAATCATTCAGCTGATATCCAATCTGCCCGTGTGTTCGGAGCGGATGGTCCCCCCGCAGATGTGTTCGTTGCTTGGTAAAACCCCCATTTACTACAGTTATCGCCATGGCTATTGGTGAAATAACTGGTGATTTCTGTGGGATTCTACATTCCAGAAATGGGACTAGAAGTCTAAGCCAACTGGTAAAGGGCCGTAACTATACTTATCATCCTTATAAACCAATTAGATAAGCAGGGATGAGACTGACCATTCCAATTCACCGCTGACCTTCAATAAAATCCAAAAATCTACCTATTGACTAGGCAAAACCAAGAGTCAAGGGTCTTTGTATAATCCCATCTAAAGAACCATAAAAATCATTGGTCTTTCAGGCTTTAACTGCGCCTATTCTGGGCCCCATTTAAATCATTTTAGATCCATCCCCTGACCTTTTTTCACCCCCAAGAAATTAAACCGAAAAAAAACGCCCCTTCGCCTTGCCGATGTAGCTGAGGGCTTGCCCGATGTTGTTCAGACACGCCGCCAGCAGAATATCTTCGCGGCCCGGCTTCACGGCTTTGGAGTAGGGAACGTCGCCCATGGTGGGGTCCCGACCTGTAGATGGGAGGTGTTGGTGGGTATCAGAAGTATTGGGTGACCAAAACATTGGGAATTCATGGGATTTAAGGGTGATTTCATGGAGGTTCATGGGATTTAGCAGGATTTGATGAGATTGAATGGTGTTTTAATGGGATTCAATGGTCATTTAATAGGATTTCGTTGGCTAAGTTGTTGAACATAAATTCAGGGTTTATGGTACAACGCTATAGTTCAAGGTGTGAAACTAAACCAAAACATACTAAAACGCATCAAAACTGCGGGGGGCACCTTCGGTGGGATAACAATGAAGGCGGGTAGTAGCCAAAACATGTTTGAAACACCATCAACTACCAGCTGACAAGCAAGAATTTACATCGGCTATGTCGGCTAAGCATAGGCTATGTCTATAGATGGGTTTTCTCATTGTCAGAAGCCATTTTTTTTTCAACAACGCAATTGTATTCACTGGATTGGTTTAAGGGAAAATTTACAGGAAACCATTGTTTTTACCATCAAATATAGGGCTTTCCTGTAAATTTTCCCATCATCCAATTCTATGATGTATGTGTTCCCAAAAAAAACATGGTTTCACAGGAACATCTTGATGAACCCCGGATTCGGTGATACCGAACCATTAGTACAAAAACCCATTTTTTTTGGTTGGCGACAGATTCTGCACACTCGACTCGAAGTTCTCAAATTCCAGAGAAATGATCAATTAAATTATATTAAATCACCATGACTCACCACATATCTTCATCCATTTCTTGATGGTTACAGCCTATTTATACCATACTTATCCCATGATATACCGCTCTCATGGGCACGTCTCCGAAGAAAAATCGTCGCGATTCCAAGCCACATTCCACGGCGATGTCACTCAAAGCTGCCGCAGATTTCTCCACGCCAGAGGTCAAAACACTGATGCTCATGCCTCGGCATGGGGGGGCTGGTTGACTTCTTATATATATATATACATATATAATCATATATATATATTCAATGAATGTGGTAAACCCAATCATAAAGCATCACCATTTTTTATCATTAGAGCTTGGTAGTATAAACCATCCAAAATCTGATGTGTGTTATTGGCTTTACAATATTCTATCACAATCAATTGGTTGATCTTATACTCCCCCATTTTGTTGGTAAAAGAAATGGTAAAAGCACAACTTATTGCCACTGTCGGGCTGATGAATGTTGATATCGAGGTGCTGGTGGCAGCTTGCGAATGGATTTCTGAGCTAATTACCAAGCAGTTACAATACCCTTCATAGATATGTTCAGACAAAGCCAGAAGGGGACGGTCAAAACAGCTTCGCAAAAAACAATCTATATTCCCTATGGATCCAAACACTGTTTGAGAAGGTACTTATATAAGCCTCCAAATTAGAGTAAATTATACCCCAGTCCCACTTCCTTTCAGAAGGTACAATTGGATCCATAGGGATTGGTATGGGTCTAAACCTACCCTGGTGACCACCTGCAGGTGGCGGATGTTCATCCCCATGGGTGGCAGGGACGCAAATGTTTTTACCTTATCTGAAGCCTTATCTGACAAGGGCAGCACTGGCAAGTTAAACCTGTTTTAAGTGGCCATTCCCGCCCTTAAACCGTTGGGCGACAAATAATGGCCATCCTGCGGGAAGTGATTCCTCCTAATATAATAAAATGTTTATTGGTTCATGTTCACCACCACTACTTCGAGATGTTCACCATAAACCCATCAGGAAAACCATGTTGTTATATTACCCATGACGGATCCTAACGGTGCTGATATATTAATGCTAACATGACTGGGGGTATATTGATGGTAAATGTTACAAAAAATCTAGCATACATGGATCCTATGGGTTATGTGATATAGGAATTTAGCGATCTCAATCCAATGAAAAAATCCAATTGCGTGAATCCCATTGCATCCCTCTACTAATCCGACGAGTGGCTGCACTTGGCTTGATATTCAGATTTCACCTCAGCTGTGAGCTGAACACCTTGGTATCCTTGGTAGTTGAATGGCTGGTCGATTTCAAGAACCTATGGTATGACCGGAAATAGCAGTTATGTTTGTCACTGAAATAACCTCATTTATAAAGTGTAATATAATATATGTATAATCCCATTATATATCCTAATTATAACCAGTAATACTTAATAAATGGCCATCACTGTAAAGAGTTGAGCACGATTGTTGACATGGAGGTTCCTAAAATATGGGTGCTGCACCTTCAAATCATGCAAGTCCTTAGGCCACTGTCGTCTGTTGAAACCTAAAACAATTCGGAGATCCCCCATTTTTAAGAAACTCCCAGTTTCGACCAACCAGGAATTGATGAAAACCATTCTTGAACTAGTTTTCCACCAATGGCTTGTTGGCCTAATGTGGCTGGCTGGGACTATTGTTTTCTATGTTATCCTCGGGAAAAAACATGTGGAAACCCATGAGGAGAATAATCTACAAATGGTGGCTTTTGCACAGATGTTAGTTTACAGGAGGGTACCAGCCAAAACTATGTTTGCAACTCCTCTTCCCCTAACGATAATTCACCTATCATTCCCCTCGGGTTGCCAAGAAAATAGTCTATCATCAGTGGCTAGAATACAATACTACAGCCCAAAATTCTTCACTGGTCATAGGGGTTTGTCGAAAAAATTGGACAGGCCAAAATTTAATGTCTGATGGTCATTTTCCCCTAAAGTGGTCTATACACGATGTTGGACAACTATCTCATGATGCGGGCAAAAAGCTTGCCAAGAGCGTGTTGTGCAGAAATGTCTCAAGTTATGATGTATCTCCAGCATTGGTGACATGTCAAGGAATTATTCAGGTAGGCTAAGTACTCTTACAGTGAATCCCCAATTGTTCCATATATGTGATATTCACAATGTTTATTATCTTGGATTTGCTTAAGGAACCTCGAAAAAGGGGAAAACAAACTAATATAGATTCCATCGGGAAAATAAAACATAATCTTCAGCAAATCCACGTTAAATATAGTTAAATTATGTAATATACCTTACTTTTCCAGGTGATGTTCCCAATTACAAATAAGCAATGTTAAGTCACATGTCATCCTCTAGTAAATCAATATTGATATTGGGAAAATCCTGCTGGAATCCATTATGTGTAGATGTCTGTTTCTATTCTATACGTGGAATATCCCTATGTTTTGCAGGTGGAATTCCAAGTTATTGCCACTTATTCTGAAGATATGTTGAGATACAAGTACCCTCCCGTAATCAAACATGGCAATAGAAAATCCCCCCATTTATAGATGATGTTCCCATTAAAACCTCCGTTTATACAGTACGGGATTTCCCCAGCCACGTTGGAATTCCGAAGGCTAAGGCTACGTCATTTTCGTTCACTTCACTCGTGGATTCGGCTCCTGTTGACTGCGTCTCCATTAGTTTGCGCCCAGTCGCATTCTGTGGTGCGGGGCAGGTATAGACTGAGTCTGAGACGTATTGACTCACCTGACTGGCTGGGATGGGAAAAGTTCGCTCAGGCCCCTGTTGTATTGGCTGGTGTATATGTGTTCCCGTACTGGGTCATAATCCCCCGGGTAGCTAGCCCAACTCATGCCCAGAAAACTACCAGCTGGCACTCAAGTTCTTCATGATGCATGGGGGACATCCAAGCGTAGTTGAAACTCAAACGCAAGGCCCTATGAAGGTGCCTGGCGTAGCCCTTCCTACACATCTTCAGAACAGAAATTTACCGAGGGAATCCGGTGGGAAGATTTTACCCAATGCCACCGGACGTGAGGGAACCAAACATGAAAAGAGGATTCCTATAAACGACTAAAGCCATGATTCCTCGTACTTGCAACGGGAAATATGCTATGGAATCAACATCTGTGACATTTCCGACAGATTTTTGTGGATCTTTCCTATGGTTGTACACCAAATCAACCAATTAACTCATTCAACCGTTTTAGTATTGAAACCTATGGGGATCCCCCATTCAGCACTGAGCCCCAATCAATCCAGTCGCTCGTGGGTCATTGACCTCGAAGTCGGAAGTCAAACATGGAACTGGACACCATGTCTGTGCGAAAATCACTAGGGGTTGTCCAAACATGACCCCAAAATCTAGTGCTTTATGATATTGTTTATTGGTGGCCATATTTCTCTTAAAATTTCCACCCCCCAAAATATTGCGCATCCACAACTCGCCACTTTTCGATCTGGAGGGGCGGAACGCCGATTTTCATGCGCCAGAAATGATGAAAGGCAGCTTGGGTTTCCTCGGACTCATTCCTCGATTGATGATAAGTCGGGTGACACAAGACTTTGGAAGCCACGCCGTCGAACGCAGCCAGCTGCAATCTTTTATGTCGAGAAGATCGTATCCGTCTAGCGTTCCGAAACACAACGACGGCAAGCTAGTCTTCAAGTCATCCGAATAATACACATATGCTCCATGTATGGAATATTTTCCAATATTTACCCTGAAAATCACCCAAATGTAGGTAAATATACCATACATGGAGCATACAGTATGGGATAATTACACACTTTCCAGCAAGACCGTAGCAATGAGATATGCCAATGTGGACCGGCGGCATCCGACAATGCGATATCCGAAAATATTTTTTTCAATCTCCAGTAGTGAGACTCATCCATAGAAACAACATCAAGCAGATATACCCTCTGGTAAACTAACATAGCTATTGAAAATGGCCATTGAAATAGTGGATTTACCCATTAAGAATGGTGATTTTCCATAGCTATGTAAATGTTTACCAGAGGGTAACTCTCGAACATATTGTGCGCCTATTCTTGTGCGCTCACTGGTACCCCATGTTTCAACGATAGCCACATGTTTGGCTATGAATGTTCCATGTTCTCATTAATGTGGGCCCTCTCTAACCATAAGTTAGATTATAAACCCAACTAACTATAAAAATGCGAGCCATAAAGTTGGGCTGGCCTAGTTAGATGGCTAGGCGCATACTTAGCCACCAACTAGTCAAATATGATGTATCTGCCATAAAGCTTGGTTAGCCTAGGGTATGTCAACCAACGTAGCTAATTCAACTAGAAAGCCTACCTTTTTGTTGGTTAAATCTCATTGTTTGTTGATTGAAATATATTAAAAGTAGATCAACGCTTTGGCCTTCTCTTCCGTGGAGCGGAGAAATGGCTTTCGGTCTTTTTTCGCTTGCAGCGGATGTCATTACCACATCCACATGTTCGTTGGATAAATCCCGATGTTTGGGCTAATTTCTCAGGCTGAAATGTTGGTTCAATCTAATTCATTGTTGGTTGAATCAACATTTTTGCTGGCCGAATCAGGCTGAATCCCCACAGTTATGGCCATGGCTATTAGTCATAACTGGTTATTTCTATGGTTATTTCTATGGTTATTTCTATGGGATTCGACGTTTTGTAACTGGGGTTAACACCACTAGGGCCGAGTCGCTGCCAGAACACTGGAGATGATGCCATTGATCTGTGACGCACAGGACCTCCCAAAAAGGTGGTGCCCAGTCGGTTGCTGGTCAATAATGATTGGGTTTATTTCATGGAAAATCCTACTAAAATGGATGATTTGGGGGTACCCATATGACTTAGGAAACCCCCAGAAATATCAATAATAGCAATAAATAACACCTGGTTGGTGGTTTTAACCATCTTGAAAAATATGAAAGTCAATGGGAAGGAGGATCCCATATAATATGAAATGGAAAATAAACCATGTTCCAAACCACCAGCCAGATTGGGTGTTTTCTGCAGTGATGGCCAAGGCTATTAGTGAAATAACTGGTTATAACTGGGAATATACATTCTATAAATGGGATAAGTTCAGTAGTTATAAGTGGTAAATGGCCATAACTGTGGTGGATAGCCAACATGGAGCCCCCAAAATGCTAGGTTGGTGAACATCACTCCCATAACTATAGGATATATATTGTGATATAGATATCAAAAAAAATATCACCTCCACATCGCCAAGCAACATCCGTGCTTCCTCAAGACTTTTATTCTGCACGCTTGCAGAGGGCACGTTGAACGCCAATCGACGTGCGTTAGCAGACCCATCGCCACCAGGGACGTCACCTGTCATCAAAAGTAGGGACTTGACCAGCAAAAATGGAGAGTTACCATGAGCTACCTTCTGGTAAACAAACAGTTTGCTAGTGAAAATGGCCATTGAAATAGTAGATTTACACATTAAACATGTTGAATTTCCATAGTTTTTTGTATGTTTACCAAAGGGTACCCAATAGAAATGGGTGATTTCACAGAGCAATTCATGGGATTTCGCTATGGACCGATAAGTTCTGAAAATCATATGTTTATCTAATTGGAAAATAACAGTCATCAACCAACAGTTCTTCATGATGATGCGTTCAACTAATGCCGTGAACGCCAGCTAAGTTAGATGTTCTCCATAAATGGGCCATGGGATTAGCCTTTTCTGGTTAGTAACTAGATTACTCAAACATGAATGTTAACATGTATAAACCACTATATATATATCCATCCATCCATCCATCCATCCACCCACCCACCCACCCAGCCAGCCAGCCATCCATCCATCCATCCATCCATCTATATAGACCATAAACTATTTCCCAACTACTTCACTAACTCCATGGCCCTGATCCTGGCCTCCAATTTCAACACACTTCGTTGTGAGTTGTTTTTTCCATGTCTAAAATTGATGAGGGTTGCAACTACCATGGTTATTATGGTTCCTTAATTGTATATTTGTGTTTCCATGATTATAGTATTATGTTACATAAGTTATGTTTGTTTACTTATTTATTGTATATTTTTCAATGAGTATGGTTTGGTCGAAGCAGTCCCTAAAAGTCAAAGATCCAGTCAAAAAGCTAAACTTCAAACCACCGGTACCTTGACTGCAAGCCCAAAACCTGGGAATTATCCTCTAACATCCACCATTTCTAGTTGATCTCCCATGAAATAGTCTCCATTTATAGCGTAAGTTTGATTGTCGTACGGTAAGTTTTTTTTAGCTGATTTTCCTGATGAAAATGGCCATATCCGCGGGATCGTCCTCCAAGCAAGCCCCCCTCTTTCCTCAACTCCACCCGGTGTCGATGGACCTGTCTTAGATGTCTCAATCTCCTTCGAAGCGAGGCGGCGATTTCCCGCCCAAACCCCTTCGAACTCCTGACGCGCAGCAAACATCGTGAGATTTAACCCGTAAAAATTGGCATTCAATATCATATGTATACCTGGAACCTCAAAAGGACAGAAATAAGTGTACGTGATGAAAAGTGCACGTTTTGCAGAATACTGCTCGAATGATAAAATACTGTACTTTCTGAATTGGGTAGACTCACAAGACTTTATAAAATCCAATGGGCTGATCTACAATTCCTTAAGTTAACCTTGACTGCCCCAGCTACAGCCTCTTTGTGCACCACAAGCTCGAAACTGTCACTCAACAGCCGGGCATCTCAGTTGGCACAAATTCTGCGCCACTGGTTGCGGTAATGAATAAACTCTTTTGAATTGTGCTAATTGGCAATTGTATGCCATGTGTTTTGCGTGCCACACGGGCTACTCGTCCTATGTAATCCTCATCGCTCCAGCACGACATGCCTAAGTGCTCCCATCAAATCACGTTGATATATTGGAATATCTGATGTGGAAAGTATTGCATGCAACATTTGTCATCCAGACTCCCCTCAGGTAATTCTAATATAGCCATGGAAATTTTAAATCGCTACAGGTGATTGGAAATTAGATTGCTAACTGACATGGCTATGTTAGATTACCGGAGGGTAAGTATCTTAGCTTCTGGCAATGGGGATTTAATATCCAGCTGGCGTTTTGTTGAAGAGGATACCGCATTTGCAGCCTTAAATGAAAGCTGGCCGGTGTGAGATGGCCCATGCATTGCTGTTTTAAGGCTATTAATGGCCATGACCTTCCAACAGTGGATCAATTGCAGTCTCGGGGCAGCACATGTTCAAACATGTGTACTTTCGGGCGCAAATACCATAAGGCCCAACCTTGGCCTGCACTGATTTGGCCACAGGCTCCATATGCTTCCTTAGTTTTTGAATAGATGGCCACATGGTAGGAAACAACAGGGCAGGCAAAAATGCAGTTTTCTGAGAAAAAAAACATGGAGTTTTCATCACAGACACTTATTTCTGTAATTGTTTTTGGGGTAAATAGCTTGGGGATTTGCACCCGGAAGGATGTGGCACTAGAATGTCCCAAGGTTATGTTAAATGATTTTGAAGGGACGCAAATTAGCTAAGATACTGTAAAGGCAAACCCGCTTTGGATTGCTTCCGCCGCTTCCAAAGGGTTCAGCCACAGTTTCCCCTTGTAGATGATCTTGAAGAAAGTAGAGATTCCGCGGTGTCCCCATTTCAAGACTCGGAAAAGATCCCTGCAATTCTCCTTGGCCAAACTACAGGTCCCAATTAACATTCAGGGAGTTTCATTTCGGTTTTTGGAAAAGAACCATAATAATTGGAGGAGCCCATCTTTACCCTGAAATAAAATTGTTTATGCGTTCCATCCCCAGAAGCTGGAATGGAATCAACATCCATTTGATCCAGAATGGTCTCAAGCCAACCGCTGACCAAGGCCGCATCTGATCCCTTCCCCAATCCACGAGGATAGCACTGAAGCCTGAGCTGTCACAGGCCACAAGCGGGTGAGGAATCACAAGGGGACAAAAATTATAAGTAAAGGTAGTTGCAGGGGAAAGATGCAAACAATCATTGAAGAAATCAAGAAGCGAAGTGATTTTGAGCTCTGTTTTGTCAAATTCCCTGATGGTCGTATACTTTCCGTTGTCAACACACCACTGGCTGAATGATGCAAATGCCCTTTTCAGCTGTTCTTCAAATCGCGCATAACCCCAAAAGGCACATCTCACAGAAATGAACACAATTGAAGAAGCCAAATGATCCTTCCCAAAACCTGCAATGGCACATATGTGAGCCAGGTCGGTCTTAATGAAGTTGGGATTGTCACCCACAAACCGGATGGTCCGAAGGGGTGATACTACCCCTCGATGGTATGGACTGGGTGCAACGCCATTGCTTGGCCATGAGCATGTAGGTCCATTGGCACTCAAATCCCACCAGTCCTTAGTTGAAAACATTTTGAAGGTTTCGGAGGTCTAGAGCTCAGAAATAACACCATCCCAAAGCTACAAAATGTTTCCTCATCTTTGGTTCAGGTTCTGTGCTCGGACAAAGGTGACACTTTCTTTTTGATTGATAGCCTGTACTAAGACGATAAGCAGATTTCAGAAAAGGCCAATCGCCTTTTGTTCCGCAAAACTGCAAATAGAACTTCTGCGTTGATTCCCCCATGGGTACCTGCAACAGGGAACCAGTTCATATCAAAATATTATAATATTAGCCCTGTGGAAGTAGTGGGGGATATTGGAGGGTTCTGCATGGCCATCACATATCAAAATCCAAATAATTGTTTCTCAAAACCATAATGTTGCCCCAGAGATTTGATGATCCTATATTTATACCCAAACAAAATTCATAAGAATCCTGTAGTCCACCATGTTACTTAAATTTTGGGGTCCCCTTTTAGTCCCACGACCTCAATGCCACGTTCACTCAGCATGTTGAAATCATCCACCACCGCCCTCAACACCGTCTGCATCGTAGCACCATTTGCTGCGTAGTGCTGGGCAGGAATGACCGTCAACAACAACCTCGTGGTCCACGTGCTCCTCAAATCACTGAGCATGGAGACTCAGGAGTGAAGCCATGACCATGTGGCTTCTAGATTTTTTGGGAGCCTGTTAGAAAAATAGTAGGGTTTCCGAAAATCAAGGGCCCCCAAATGATTTCAAATTTGACACCACTGATTTGGGTTTCACCAATTTTGATAAAAGCTTATATGGAACCAAGATTCTTTCGGCTATTTACACATTCTTCACCATGCCATCCAAGTATAGGTTGGGCTGCTAGTACCAATACTGGTCTATGGCACTGTCCCCTTCCTTCATCTCCGTGAAGGAAGAAGGGGAAAGTGATTTCCGGGTTTTCTGGCATGATTGGTTCCACTGCTTGGTAGCGATCCCAGAAGCGTCGCAGTGTAGCTTTGACTAGATCCAACTCATCAGGTTTGTGACCAGCAAGCCAGAAAAATCCATTGTAAGGTGGCTCAAAAGCTGCCTTCATCCAATCACTTAGAAAGAGAATTGGCCATGCTTTTTGCTGTTCTATATGCTTTTGACGGCTTTTCCCCCGAACAGGTACTGTAATTGATGAGATGGTGATTGGGAGGGTCTTGTTCTTCTTGTGGATAAAAGAGAAGATGTTCCGACTCCCGTTCTTGCGCTTCAAGTCATTGATGCCTCCCTTTGCCATCTCTGCAATTTTGTCGTCATAGACACCTAGGGGCCCACAGCTGGTCAGACTCCACCACTAGTGTTGGGGTTTTCAGGCCGATACCATATGATATAGAAGATTGTTTCACATGTTGATTCGGTATATGCTGTCGGAAACACCTCCTGAACAAAGATGACTTCTAAACCTCCAATCCCAGATAGAAGTTAATTCCACCAAAGGACCATGGCGCTGAAGTAACTTGTGAGTCTTGACAGCCTCATCCATGACATCTTTTGCGGATGCCTTGGTTTCCCACGTCACTTAGACAAATTGCAAGATAGATTCAATTTTGACTTAAAGTGTGCAAGCATGCCTTGGTTAAAGGATTGCATGGGAAATGTCTTGGGATGTGATGGGGTCACTCTCATTAGACCTCGAAACATAGTCGCAAAATTGGTGATCTTTGAGACAAAAGAACATGCAATATTCAGAATCCCAGCAGCTCCCTTGGCAAAGTTTTCGATCCACGTATCCCGGAGTTCACAGTCATCACTGTCGGAGGAAGGTTCACCTAAGGATTTCACATAGACCAATCATAAACTAAAGCAGAATGATATGATAAAACCACCAATCATTCTCAACATTTTTTTTGATACCTCGCCTGCAATCACCTGGGCTATTAGTTCATATAAGTTCATATTACAAGAACCCTCAATTCAGAATAACATATCAAATCGTGTGGCTGATGTCAGGATGCCAGCAAGTCACCTCTCACAAGTTCATCATCGCAATGACCTGGCAGAGGCGGCATTGAATCATATGCATGACTGTGCATGGATGATGATCCCCCTGGTTCAACATGTGCGAAGATTTTTTTCCCCAAATGCGATTTGCCATTTCTCTGCGCAAGATTTCAAGAAGCCAAGCAGCCAAAATAAATCAAATTGAAACAGCTGTTCACTTGAATATACTTGAACCATGGACCATGGCATATCATATGGCTGTCATGGCTGCAGCACCCCACATGTATTGTGGTAGAGGCTTTGGTCTCCTATGGGAAGACGTGTCAACACAAACACGACCCCTTCCAAGGCTCACACCAAAGATCACAAACGGTGAAAAAAGAAACCTAAGAGGTTTGGTGTTTTTTGGTCTTAGCCGTCTTGGCCTTACCCTTACTCTTAGCCGCAGCATCACCCTTGCTGGGCTTGGTCGATTTTGGTTTGGCACCGCCCTCACTTCCAACCGCTGAGCCAGGCCCTCCAGTCTTGATGGACCTGAGCGAGGCGAGGCTTTGGGATGTGGGCCAGAATGATAAAAACATCAATCAGGTTCAGTGAAGTAGTGTAAATGGCTTGATATGATCTAGTGAGCATATAATATCTCTTGCTGGCTAGATGGCTTTGTACGCTGCATCAATGCACTCATGGACACGTCCAGCTTTGTGCACAGCACAAATTCGGATTGGATGCCTTGACGGGATGTCCTCAAATGGCAAATGGGATGAGTTGGATGGTGATGATTGTGATATATTGTGATAACCCCTAATAGAATCACTTGTGCAGCTGTTTACTTGACGCACCTGTGTTGAAATGGACAAGGCTCTCATCAACCGATTCTGGAGCCACGGTGGCCTGTGACAGGTGCTGGGCTAAGTTCTCATTGCACTTCTCCATCTTCTGCAAGATGTCCTTCGCTTGAGCATGGAGCCTCAAAATCATTCACTGTGACAGGGCCGCAGGACACCAACACATATTGAAGATAGTGGTTGCAATTTTAAATGTGCTGGTGTTTTTTATTATTTAGAAGTTGTACCACAAACTAGCCCCAATAGTTATAATTATCAATCCAAGAAACGTTTTGGCTGTCGTGGTACCAACTTGGCTGATGCGATCCTGCACTTCAAAAATTTGACTTGCTCCATGTCCTGATTTTCATGACTAATGTTGCCACTTCACAAACAACCGGTCCAGTTCTGACTGCACTTTGTCCACTTTGCGTCCAAGCACATCAACGAACTGGGGCAGTACTTGAAGTGGGGTGGTCGTTGCTGTCACTGTCGGGAACGTCAACCTAATGAGATTGCTCAAATTTCCCAGAAAGAAATGCAGATGATTCAACAGTTACATCGGCTATTTTTTGCAAAGTTCCGACTTTGTACTGTAACAGTATCAATCCAAGAAGCTTGAAACTTGAGACCACGCTTGTGTTCCCAAGCCAACTGAGGGTCTGGAACTTTGCTGAGCTGGAAGTGCTGGAAGTGCGGCCGAAGGCTGGCCCATGTCAGGGATGTCAGAGTCAAAGAGTGTGCCTGCATCGTCCTGATCAAGTCTTGGACATGTAGATCCCGTTAACTTGACACCCTTTCATGACATTATTCTTGTACGGACAGTTTGGAATCACCACACCTGAACTTCGACGGTACCTGATTGCTCGGACTGTTCAGTGTACGTCTTTTCCTTTTTGAATGTCTCTTCCAAGACAATCTGTATCTCCCATTCTCCGTGAATCTCATTCTTGCGTTTTCGGCCATGACGCTCTGCCTAAGCAAATGCATTTGCCACCATTTGCCTGGGTGGAATTAACATTTTTAAAATGGTGAAGGGAATAGAAAAATTGTTTGTACATCCAACTTCTTCTGGGCCCTTGGCTTATTCCACTTTTTCTCCGTCTTCAAGTACGTCTCTGTCACCCAGCCACCACCCTCTGTTTCGGATTGCGTCTTCTGGTGAATCTTTTTCAGTTGAATTTCCATGGCAGCAAAAGATCCGTTCTCTGCAAACATTTGCTTGATTTGCTTACCTAAGTCAAACAGACAAGCAGCTTAATTTGGTGAAGATTTTGCTTGATCACATGCTGCATTGTGACATAGTGTTAGTGACTAGACACACCCTTCAGTAGTGCCCCACAGCTTCAAAGCCTCTGGAGAACACTTGAGCTCACCGTCAGCCTTGGGGGTAAAATACCTCCGTAACCTTGGAATCAAGGAAATGGGATTAGATGTGATCAACATATATGATAACACATGCTTTACATGTTCAAAATCTCCCCATATGATTTGGGACAGGATGGCCAAGAAACTTCCAGTAGTTGGGATCACGTTTGCTATGTTCACCATGGGGGGCAACAGATGCAGACTCACCCAGATCAGACTCCAACTCCTGTGCATCAACCTCTGAAGGCTCCTTCCTGGCGGGTGCTGTGCTGCGATCAGCGGTGGCCTCAGGAAGTTCCTGACAGGAAAACCCCTTGGGCAAGGGACATTCAATGTCATCTCTTGGCTGAGCATCGGTCCACAAGTCTTGGGTATTAGGCTGAAAGCTGTCACCAGGGTTCTGGGGAGTCGAGTCGACCACGACAGTGTCTGGGATAGTGTCAGTATTGCCAGCGCAGAATTTTCCACTGCTCTGAGACAGGCACATGGCACCTCATGTTCGTGCATGTGCGTGCAAATGGCTAGTTCTCAAAATGGGTGATGCTTGAAAATAATTAAACCCTGTTAGGTCCCCTTGGAAAAGTATTTTCAAGCATCCCCCATTTTGCGAATACCCACATGTACCATGGCTACTATTTGCCACAAAATAATGCAATCATAATGCGTTCCATAGCACCAGCAACTGGAGGAGGCTTAGGTGTATCCAACCCAGCTTGGTTACTTCTCTGCCTGCGAAGCTTCTCCAATCGATCTCTCGATTCCTAAGTTTCGGATGTTATAGAAAGCATATGGCATATAGGGCATGAAAGAAAACTTCTACACCAGCACCAAAGAGACTCTCAATATATACAAGGCTCTTGGATCTTCTGTTCAAGTTCACGCTTTCGGGATGAACTAGTGGAAGCAACTAAAGACATTCCGTCCACCAAAGTGTTAGTGGAATGGAGACGACTGAGCATCCTCAATTCCTGTTTTGATCCCAAAATGCTAGCAAATTACTGAGGATCACCTATTTCAACTACTAAGACAGAATGTTCAATCTCAAGGGTGCCATTCAGTGCCAAGAATCTGTAAAAAGTGTTCAATCCAAAAATCCAAAAAGTACACTTTTTCAAATCGCGCTCGTGTGCGCATAATTGCGCTCGTGTGCGCCGAATTGCGCTCGTTGTGCGGCCTCTATTTTGGCCACCATTTTTGCTAAAACCACCGAAAAACTCTTAAACCAGAGTTGACCTGGTGAATTGATGTAAATTGACTGAATTATGCACTTTTTGGCATCACTCCTATGTACCCTGTTCAAACCTGTGAGCTGGAACTGGCCGCCCCCACATGTTGCTGCTTCATCAGCTCTGAAAGCAGGGTCATGTCACCCATCACCTGAGCCATGGTCAGAGAGGAATGGAATCTATAATAACGGGAATGGCAAGGATATATGCATGCATGCACGCACATGCTGTTAAAGCAAAGTAACACGGGACCGGTATTCATCATAGAAGCTGTGCATAGCATCATGCCACATTGCAGGGATCCTGGAGGTTCTAGGTTGACAGAACCACGGATTTTTGTTTTTGACCTGGTAGAGCCACAAATACCCATCATTCTACTTTTTGATATTTGGGGTTTGGGGTTAGCAAAATGTTTCCAACAGTTCAAAGCAGACCTACAGATTTCAAAAGGAGAATTCATTCAGTCCTGACACGCTTCGAGGTCATGAGATAGTCCAGCAGCTCTAGCATGTTAGCATCTTCCCACGGGTCATCAAGTCCCAATTTTTCAAACTGCTCCATCTCTGTCAAGTGTTGGTTTTTCTGTGGCTTAAACCGCAAGTCACGCCTACCTGCACCCTTGCCAAGGTGGGATTCCACTGCTTCCAGCATCTTGCGAGCGAAGCCCAGTGGGTATGCCCTGAAGCCAAGTGTCGGGGTGGTAAATAAACCATATATTTAAGGACCAAAGAATTCAAATGGAAAGGGGTTTGGTGGGGCCAATTTGATACCAAAGAACGCACTTTTTGACAATCCAGGTGTGCCAACAAACCTCGCGACCCCCTTGGAATCCACATAGCGTCCTTAGGTCTATTGGGAACAAAACTGGTGCACACCTTATAAATCTGATGTTGAATCAATTGAATGCAGTTAAGGGTCTGGTTGTCTGGAGTGTGGTGCGAGACTCTTTCTCTTTGCGGGAAAGCTTGCCCAAATCTAGCATGGAAATTTCCGGGATATTTGACCAGCAAGTTGTTGGCTTTGAGCTGGGGTGTCCCAGTAACATCATCCAAAAGGATGCACTGAATACCTTGGCTACATGATCTAAAGGCCAGACATGACGATTTCTTCAAGAATTGGAAACTGTACAGCGACACCAAGCTACAAAGCACACATGGTTCACCAGCCAATTGAATCGTTTGTGGTGGGCCAAAAGTGATTGGCGTGGTTGTTCAAGAACCCAAATGCAATGGTTCGCCAACAAGATCAAGATCACAAGGACCAACCTTGGTTTCCAAATCATGTTTCAATAGCCCCGGATAATTGTCAGTCATGTGTTGGAAAAATCTTGCAAAAGAATCCTGGATGCAAACAAAACTCCTAGATATCATTTGAGTACCTCCACGTACCCAAGGAGAAAATAGATTGCCCCATATCTTGATCTCACTTCGTAGACTTGATCCTCTTGCCGGCAACCCCCAGCTTCCGCAGTCGGGTCCAAGCATTCCCAAGGCGTTGGTGGTCATGTTCATGGCGATCCATATGGCAAGCCTGGGATCCAGCAAGGCCAGGTTTGGTTGTTGGGGAATGCATGGGGCCAAGGATGTCCAAGGGATAGTTTGACATATCAACCAAGCAGCGCAAAGCCTGGTGCTGAATTGAAGTTCATTGTTCTGCCATCCAAATCCCGATCATAACTGGCAACTTTGTAGCCGTTTTCTGACCTATAGCTATCAGGATCCAGTTCAACACAACATGAATCTTTAACTTGAAATGCAATAAGATACTGCATTGCACAAGTTTGCACTAACGCTTTTGAGGTCAAAACCACACTTTGGAAAAGGCCTTTTGACCACAGAAAAGATCCAAAAGATCAAAGTCGGTTTGGTGAAGATGCTCGGGGATGTCCATCCACCCAATGAGTAGGACCTCACTCGGTTGGGGCCCCCGGCAAATCAAATCAAAATACTAAGAACATGCCTATCATTCCCTTTTTGAAAGTTTCAGAAGTTAGGCACGGACACATGCTATCAGCACCTGCGGGTCAGGGCACATGACAACGGGACACATGTCACACATGTAACTTAAAAGCCAGACCTTCGGAGCCTGTACATGTTGAAGCTTCGCCACAGGATTCGTCAGAGGCATGGCTAAGCCACAGGGATACGTTTTGATTTGCAAAAACCTGCAGGTTGATCAGTCCATGGCATGCATGCATCACTGAAAATATTTGGACATTTTGTTTGATAATCATGCATGCGAAATATGTTGGACCCCACATGAACCACCAGGTGATCCATCCTCCCGGTGCGCAACAGAATTTAGCCAGGTTGGCCAAACATCATCGCCCTCCGTGCCCAGCCATCTGAATCGGAGACCATCGCTCAAGTGGGGCCTCCCAGGTTTCAATCATGGGCTGAAGTAGGAATGTTTCAAGCTCATGGTGCGAAAGAAGTAAATACCAAGAAACAGATCTCGATGTATTGATATGTATTGGCATTGTTGTTCACACTGTTCTGCTAAAGAGTTGATAAAAGTTAATGCATCCCTGGATGTCTATAGGATCTAGAAAAAGCATGACGCCATCCAGTCGCATGCATGCAATCCTTTTGGACCTCTTGACCGCATTCACACAAGTTGGGATTGTGGCAAAAGCGCTTGCCCACTGCCCATGTCTACCAAAGATAATAGACTTGGGAACTCATATGGTAATCACTTCACTGCTGAAGTGTTCAGGCTTGCTTTGCAAGCGACCCCCCTTCAAAAGACTTGGCTCCAAACCAAGATTGTCACCGCGTAGCTGCATAGGCCTGCAGGCTGATGAATATCCCGATTCGCATATGATAAATGATTTGTGCCATCAATATAGCAGCATGCATGCACTAAATCATATAAGGTGCTTTTTTTTTAATAGGGTGCCCTGCCTTCTTCCCGACTGCGCATGCCTCCTCCTCTGACATGCCTTCCTTCATTGCCTTCTTTTTAGCTACATGGTATGCACTTGATTTCCTGGAAGCAAGTGCTTTCTTGGCTTTGATCTCTGCCGACATGTTGGGATCCTGTGGAGCCCTGGAACCCCTCTCTTCCCCTGACGGGCCCGAGGACCTGGAGACACGCCCCAATCCCGAAGACCTTGAAGACCTGGTTCGTCGTGTAGCCCCTGTGGGCCTGGCTGTCATGCTGCTTGCTGCTGCAGTAGTGCGCTTGGCTTTGCTCCTGCGTGCTGAAGAGGTAGTGATCGTGGAAGTGGCGTCCACAGTGCTGCCTCCAGACTCTGCTGCCACTGTGCTTGCAACATCCTTGGACTTGTCCTTGGACTTGCCTGACTTGCGTTTGGATGCCTTTGGTGCCTGCCTGGACTTTGGGACCCTGGTGGCCTTGCAACTTGGTGCTTTGTCATTCTTTGCTGAATCAACCTTCTTGCTCTTTGCCTTGGCCTTTGCCTTTGCTTTCGGTTTGTCACCCCCAACATCAGCCACTGACCCAGTAGACCGGTTCGACTTCCTTTTCTTTGGGGGTGGGCAGCTTGATCCACGGGCATCTGGATCATGGTAATCAGACTCTTCATCTTCATCTGAAGTGCTTTTTGTGCTAGGCTTGGAAGCTGCCTTCCCTCGACCTTTGCCTTTGCCCCTGCCCTTACCTTTGCCCCTGCCCTTACCTTTGCGACCTCGGCCCCTCCCTCGACCCCGACCTCTGCCCTTCTTGTTCTCAGACAGGTCCTGGTCATCATCATCGGCATCAGCTCCGGCATCATTAAACCTGGAACGCTGCTCGGCTGGTGAGATGGGATGGCCACACCCAGAAAGCACATCATTTGGGCGAGGGTTGGACTTCTCCATGGCATCATCCACCTGGGGATGCAGTGAATCAACTTAGATACATGGAAGAATAAAAGCATGTATGTACTACTTGCTAGGTATTGAAAAAGGGTGTCATACATGTTTCCGAAATAGTTTGACCTTCTTTACAAGCTCTTGGTAGTCCACGGTGTCCTTCCTTGAAACCTTCGGTGAACGAGATTCTTCTGGGTCAGATGCCTCTGGGTCAGACTCACCAAGAATAAGAGTTCTTTTGCGACACAACTCCACAGCCTCTGGATCAAGGGTGTTCTCTACCCCTTTCTTTCCCAACCACCCCTTGAACTCATCTCCCCCCACGCTAGTAGTAGGGCTGTCTTCCGAAGACAGTGACTTTGCGATCTCGTCCATCTCCAGTGTGTCAGTGGGAAGTGTGTCAGTCTGGTCAGTACCTGGGCGAAAGGGCTGGGTGCATCATAGAACTTGTCTTGTTGAGCCCAAGTTCCCCGATTATTGCAGGTTGTAGGGTACAAACTTGGGTATTATATCAGTGCCTAGAGAGTGGAGGCTCAAACTACATCCAATGAACTAAGGGAAGATTTTCAAGGTAAAGACCTAATCTGAGTCAAGTTGCACTCTGGGGCCACAGTGGTTGGAGCTGGTTTCTTTAGCTTCTTCTTTGGCAACGGTGGCGGAGGCATGCTAGATTGACATGGAGTGGCAGGCATGCGCTTTTTGGTGCATGTGGACTTGGCGGCATGCTCTCGGGTTTGCTCTTCCTGCTTTGCCTGGTGTTCCTCTTGCTGGGTTCTTTTGCTGGCTAAACCCAATGCTTTCTCGCAATCACCCTTTGACGCATGAACTGCCCATGTGGCAACCTTTTCACTGTACCCCTTGGTAGTCAAATGAGAAACCATTTTTTCCATGTTCTTGTTGGTTTCATCGGCCTTCATGGTTGCTTCTTGCTGCGTCAATTCCGCTAGGAGTGCTTCTTCCGCTTCAATGGCTGACAACAACTCCATTTCTTCTTCCATGAGTTTCAAAGCCATCAATTCATCTTCCAAAGCTTGTTCACGTGCAGCTAGAAGCTCATCCTCCAAAGCTTGCTTGGTGGTATCTTTGCTTTCAATCACTGGTTTGCGAATTGGTTTCTCATCTTCATCATCATCGTCAAAGTTGGGGTGGCTACCATACTTGGGGCAATCTTCTTTCTCCAAGCTCTCCCGGCTCTCCCCAGACTTGCGGCAGCAGAGGCATTGAAACCCAACCCATACTTCTTGGACTTAGCCAATTGGTGAGGATGTTCTGGACCACTCTCACCTACGCATGGATGACTGATAGGACTCCCATAAGACCTGTTGGGTCGGATCTTCCAAAGTCAATGGCGTTAATTTTTGAAGAGTCCCATAGGACACACTGGGTGAAATCTTCCAAAGCCATTGGCTGTACATTGTGAGCATATCAACTTGTTGTAATGTCAATTCAAATGGTGCCCCCATTATAGTATACATCTTTTGAAACGTGGTTGGATATCATAAAGATGGAAAAAGAACCAAATTGCCGTGCTTTCCACTTCAACAGTTTGACCGACCACAGGTTACACAGAGCCATTGGTGGAGCCTTCCGCAGCTGCAGGTGCCGGATCAGCTGCGGGGTGTGACTCCTGGCAGAGGATGTGCGGATGGCACTAGATGGGGAAAACCTTTTAGTGTCTTTTTGGGTGAACCACTTTGAACATTTGAAAAGAACATGAAAAGATAACTCCACTCCTCATCATCATCAGGGGAATCCTCAGGCTCTGTGGGGGTAATTGGTTCATCCTCTCCCGCATCGAAATTGGGCTCAGCAAGTCCATCCGGACGGACTGGGTCACCTTCCCCACCATTGTCCTCAACGACCGGATCATCATCCCCAGCCTCACTCTCCTCACCCTCCGAGTCACCAGCTTCCTCATCATCACTCTCATCCCCTTGTGGGTCATCATGGCTTCCACTTGTGCCTGGGTCACACATGGTGAAACTAATGGGAAACCTATTGGCTGAAAAGGTGAAGATTAGATTTAAATAGATTTAAATCCATCATGTACCCCTCCACTCATTTTACCATAACTTTTGGTTTAAACAAAAATCAAAACAAATCAGGGGAAGCTACTACGTCCTCTGGGCTCTGGAATGGGTAGATTGGCAGCACCCATCAAGCTTCTAAGTGCCTCTTCCCGGGGCCGGTGACCCCTCTTTGCCAAACGGGCAAAAAGAAAGATGAGCCTTTTCAGGATCCAGCTTTCGACCTTGATCACATGACCTGAGACGGGATGTCAGAATATGTGGTGCCCCTTTTTTGGCTTCAAACATGTATGATTTAAAGGAAAAAGGGCACCTTATTTTGAGACATCCCATTTGGGTGTTTTCTCATGACTGGTCCTAGTATGTCCTAGTATGTCCTAGCCCTTATCAACTCCAGTGATATTCATCAATAAGTGATACCGAGATCAGATCGACTGGGTACCCCACGAGAAGGAAGGGCTCTTCCACGGCTCCGGGCGTAGTGAAGGAACATCTCAACAGCCTCCATGATGTTCCCCAAGGACGGCCGAAGACCTTACAAGCAGGACACTCCCCAGTACTGGGATATGTTTTTATTCCAATCCAAGACTGTCTGTTGGCCCTATTTGTTGAAATAATTCATGTAATTAATATCCTGTATGATCATGTTTCTAGTTGAATCAGGAGCTAAGCCACAAGAGAGAGAGAGTGAGAGAAGGAGCGAGAGTAATATCCAATCAAGGCACCCAAGTGGCGAATCACAGGCGCTAGGATGTGAGCATTGTGTGCCCCCTCTAGGCGGTTCAACTTCTTCCTTTTCCCAATGTTGGCCATGAATCCACGTGACGCACGGCCACAAAGTACATCATCAGCCCGCCATTCACTAAAGATTTCCCCAACTGCAGGGTGACTAGCTGCTTGCATGACACTGCAGCCACTAGCTAGCACTTTAGGTCGTTTGGGCCAGAGATCTACCAACCGAAAACCTCATTTTTCTCTGTGCAGGTGCCATCAACAAAGTCAACAACATTGTGGCTGCGAATATCTCAATGCGCGCACAAACATCACACGTCACAAGATCCCCAGGCCCAGCCTCAAGGGATCAAGCATTTGTGGGCAATTCCCACAGTTTTGGGCACTATCAGCTGTGAAGCTGCGGATGGGAGGTCTTAGGCAATGGCACCTGGTTTAAATTTAGATATAGACCATTACAACCCACACATGGCAGCACAACGCTCGATTTGCATAAAAGTGCTCGAAGTATGAGAAAGTGTATCGAAACTCCATTTGAGCACTTTTTTTTGTGCGTTTGAAGACCTAGGTATATATATATATATATGGTTGGTTAACATCTCCTGTAAACATGCGGTAAATCCGATAATAATGAGATATTGGATATATGTTCAAAGGATAATATGGATTGATATAGGATAGTGAACAAACATTGGGATCTAACCAAACAATAAACGGTACTTAAGCATAAACATCATAGACTATAGGGGAAATCAACTCGCCGGGCGGGCCATCTTGTAGATGGCAATCATCTACTTCTGACTCGAAAAAAATGTGGGTTAAATACGGTTAAATGATGTTTAAGGACAAATCGAAAGTGATGGGTTTGACTCCGCGAAGTGCCTTGACTCCGCGAAGTGCCTTGACTCCTTGACTCCGGCAGCATCACTTGATGTGTCGTCTCCAGCACAAGCTCAAGTAGCTCGTCGACGCAAGCTCAATGTTGAAAAAAAAATCTGGCGGGAAAACAGCGCAGAAGATTGCAAAAAATGTGTCATTTTTAGGGACATAGATGGCTCAACTGACCTGTTTTGAATGGGAGTTGAGCCATCTATCCCCCGCATTGACATAGGTGGCGCAACTCAAGATTCTGAGCCATCTACTTTGAGTGACGAGTACATAGATTGCACTTCAACAAAATCCTGACATCATGACATGTCTTCATTGCATTCAAGGAACGCATCGAGACGCTTTTGCTTCTCTGTGCCACCGGTGCCCCGCAGCTGGATGATCCGATCGAGGAAGTTCATTGGGCACGATGATAGCTGCTCGGCCTGCTCCTCACGGCGGCGCTTCAAGGATTGATCCGCTGTACTGCGCGTCATGAATTCGTCCTCCGACAGTCGTACCAAGCCACATGGCGAGCCGCCAGGTTCGGCGAATCAAACGGGTACCTTGGGAATCCTTGGCCCCCGTTCGTTGACTGATAATCCAAAAACTACTTGGGTTAGGGTTCCCAGTTATAAGTGGATTAAGCCTACTTATCCCACTTATAACTGTTTTGTTTCAGCCACAAAAACGATTCGTGGGATGAGCCACCAAGTATGGTTTATCATGGTTTATTATAACTAGAGGGGAACCCACCTTGTATTTATATGGCAAACATATTCAATATAGACGGCAAATTGCTTTCTGTATATCATGTTCTTGGATGATTTCCCTCGGCCTGATACGATTCTCATCATTTTGGGTGACCGGACCGTTGTGAGGTCGCGCCATTTTTTTTGTTGATAAAATCACAGCAACGTTTGGTGCTTAAATTCCGGTCTTGGCTAAATCCAAGTGTCCCGTGGGGAATATCCCATGGTGGTAAAATCACAGTTGTTGGTGATAAATCATAGGTTGAGTTAAATGGCCATTTCAGGGACCTAAATGGAGCTGGTTGGTGGTTTCAACCATCTTGAAAAATATGAAAGTCAATGGCCAGGATTATCCCATATATTATGGAAAATAAAAAATGATTGAACCACCAACCAGGCAGTAGATTAAACTATCTATACACACATTGTAAGGTCTATGTAAGGGCTATGCAAGGCGATGTACCCCCACAGTACCTCGAAAATAAAGGCTCCGGCAATTCCCATTTTTTTCTACAATGTGCCGGGCCCCCCAGTTATAAGTTGGTTTATAAACCCCATTAACTATAATAGTTATACAGTTATACGTATCATAGTCCCTATTGGAGTTATAAACCAACTGCACGCTATCGTAAACGGGGGCCCACATTGTAGTTGTGGATCCCAGGTAAAGTACCCTGAAGCATCCGCTGCTGGTCCTTGACCGAAGGTGTACTTGCCATTTCCGGAAAGGGGAGGTTGCACACGTGAATCGAGGCCTGGAATGGTACCCCAGGAATCGTGGGTTGTAGCTTGGGGGGTGCAGCCTAAGGGTTATGAATGGAATTTACTGGATATGACTATGGGATATTATGGGATATTATGGAATTTACTGGATATGACTATGGGATATTATGGGATATTATGGGATATTGTGGGATTCTACCATAAGTTGGGATATAATGCCCACAACATCCCACAACTATGGTGACATCCGTAAGTTATCACCTCAATAACTGGACTGACACCACTAACCCCACGTCGCATTCGCGGCTATCACAGTTTCATTTACAAGTCCAAAGGTGATCATTCCAATGCATTTGCTTCCAATCATTGGAGATACCCTCTGGTAATGACTAACATAGCTATTGAAAATGGCCATTTATAGTGAGTTTTCCCATAAAAAATTGTGATTTTCCATAGCTATGTTAAATTACCAGAGGGTATTCAATCAGCCAAAATGGTGATTTAATATCATTCAATATTATGATTATATGACAACTGAATGGTGATTTAATAATCATTTAATATACCGGATTGAATACCATTGGCTGATTTAATATCATTCAATATCATTCATGTATCGGTGGCTGTACTTGTATATGATTATATGACAGTTGTACAGGAATGCAGACATAGGTTCGTCCCAAAACTTGATTTAACATTGGGAATGCGCGTGTCTTGCAGGTTTAAGAACAACATGAAAAAAACTACAGTCAGTTATGGTCATTTATCAGATATACGTACGTACTTACAACCTAATTTCTGGAATGCATAATCCCATTTTAAACCAGTTAAAAATATTATAAGTTATCAGCAATAAACGTCCATAACTGTAAACATTAACACACGACACCCTTCAATGCCTTTGAGGAAACCCAGCCCACACAAAAAAAAGGTCGCAGGCGAACAGTCACTGTAAGACATAAAACAACATGTTCAAACATGTTCAGCTTTTTCTACCAACACATACTTGAATCATACTTGCGATTGTGTGTAGCATGTGACATCCTCCATGAAAATTCATGGATGAGGTTCAAAAAAAAATATAAAAAACATACCAAACAGAACATCCAGGTCCTGACTATTTTTGTAGGCGCCTCCAGCGACAGCAGTGCAGCCATCATCTTCAGACAAATCAAAGAAACATCACCTGAGAAGCATTGAGAAGCTGTGACCAGGTTGTGTTGCCAACCCGCAGAGACAACATGGAAAAAGACAATGCCAATAACTATGCCAATTGGGTGCTGCGAATGATTCCGTTCAGAATTTGGCGGTTGCACAGGGCCGGTACGGTGACCAAACATGGGGGGTACCCATTGGCTTTGCTCTCCCTGGCCATTCTTTAAGAAATATATGAGGCAAGCTCTGGAAATGATTTCACAAGCACCTCGGACGCCTCAGCCCCGGCCCTGTGTTCTCGTCTGTCTGGATGACTTGTGAGAGGGCTGCTAATTGCCCCTGCGCATGGGTCGATGCAGAGACGTGATTGCAAATTCCTCACAGAAGTCTCAAAACATCCGAACGGTCTCTGTCAGTCTCGAATTGCTTGGCTGAGCACCACATGAGGGCTGAGCACCACATGCACATGAGGCTCTCATCTGAGAACACTCCCTTAAACTCCTGGAGAGAATGGGCCAAGTTCCCCACGGGTCCTTGGAATGGCTCGCCGATCGGCCGGTATCCCCGGCGAACTCCATTCAGCCCCGTCAGCCGTGAGGCTTGCGAGCTTGCAACCAAACTCCTCCCTAGATAGGCACCCGTCACCAGTGAAGGATTTGACTGGTCGCACAACACAGCATGTGTTTTGCTATGCAAGTGGCGGACTTCCGAGAAGGACAAAGTGGGTTTCTTGAATACCAAACCTCAATGAAAGATAAATCATGAAGTAGCTGGACGAGCCACCCGTCTCCAAACTGAGTCATCACATGTCATGTCAATGTGGGGTACCATCAAACGAGATCAAACATATCAAACATATGTTGATGATTACAGATTCCACAAATCCCAATATTTCTTGGTACAAAAAAATATCATCTCCCGACAGTTCTTGGTATAGAACCCTCGAAGGTCTTGAAACAAAAAAGACCCCATGACCAAAAAGCACAACTCATCATTTACAGTACAGCCATGTACAACCTACTTGGGGGGTGCATCCCAGCTAGTAAGTGCTTACACAATAAGCCTTGAATCTAGCTCGACTCTATAGATCTTAATGATCTAACTAGGTTGTTTCAGACGGTGATTACAAAAGTTATTACCCACAATTCAGACTCCTGGGAGGTGTACTGGTAGTTAAAGATGGCAATGGACAATTCCGCATTCATTTATCTGGGTAAATTATAATATTTCACTAACCTGAATTAAGGCCACTTGGGGATGATTTCCCTTATTAACCATGATTCCAGTGAGGGAGAACAGTGAGGTCGTTATAATTTACCCAGATTTATGGATGAGTTTCCCAGTAAAAAAAAACATTGAAATCGGATTTCCCAGCCACCTTTGACAAGGTGGGCATCCCACGCCAGGCGGCGCCAAGTCATCCCGTGTATCTCTAGGTTGCATGCGGCTGAAAACACATATCACACACATACATGTTGGTTACAACCAGCTATCCGACTCAGTCGAACCTAATGATTCAAACACTTCTTAAGACGAAGCAATTTAGCCAAAGGTCGATCCCTCAAAATCCAATCGTAAACCTCAGATCTTGTCAGCTGTTTTTAAGCGCTAACAGAAATCACCGGCAGGCAAGGCACACCAACATTTGCTGACTCGCACAAAGACGTCTCTACCTGGGCATCCACGGCTCCATTGGGATGTCGCTTCCAATTCGGGTGCTCCAGGATCTATAATTGGACAATCCTCTATATAAATGAAGGTTTTAGTATAGGAACATCCTCTATGAATTGTGGTTTTAATAGGACAATCATCAAAAAATGGAGGTATTAATGGGAAAACTATCAATATTGTAAAGGCTTCAAGAACCTGTGCACACTTGGTGTTTTCTTTTTTCCACCCAAGAATGGGGGCTCAATCATTTCGAACCACAACATTGAATACTAAATGAATTGATCGAACAACTTTTCCAACATGATTATTTTTGAGTTCGAACATAGACTTCACAGCTGGCAACAGGACCGTTCCACCCTCAGAGAACATGGCAATGTGACACTTTCCACCTACATTGAATTGCCGGAGGGAGAGTATCGTGTGAGTAAAAAAACGTAAAAAAAAATATTAGAATTTTGAGAGTTCATTTCTATATCATGTTCAACTTCATATCCGTTGACGGAGAAATCAGCCCAAAGTTTGGACAACAATCAATCAGTCCATGCTTTGGATTGTGCACTTTTTGGGGATTGTGTTCCAGGCCCTGCCCTGGCATCCTAAGCCAGAACTGGATACAAACACAAAAAATCAAGGGGCGATCTTGCTCAAATCGGTATAGTTTCTAGTAATTTCTTACAGTTTGCAAACAGAGAGTCATCTATCAATGCAGCCCCTGATGATTTACAGTTTGTTTTTTGTTGCATCGATATCTAGTTTTAACCCTGAAAATCAGCATTTTCAAGTGCGGTAAATCTTGGAACACGGAGACAAGGCAGCTGCATAAGGAAGTCCCAAACATGGCGGCTGGGCACATCACCAAAACATGGCCAAGATTCAGTAGGAGTACCCTGCGAAATGGTAAAAAAAATACCCAGAATCCCCATTTATGATCATATCATCCCCACATGTAGCAAATTAATATCCATCAATAGTAGAAGAGTCCCCTTTTTTAAAGTGGCCCATCTTTCTTGATCGTTGATACTATTGATCGTTGACAAATCCGCACTATATTTACTATAGACATATTATATATATATATATAATATATATATATATATGTACAGACATACGGATCATTACACATCTAATATATAGGTTATGAGTCATTGCTGATACATAATCCGAGTATATGATAATCCTTCCTATAGACCAAATATTCCCATAACTTTTCTTACGAACACTATAAAGGTAATGAACCAACATATTCTATAGACCAAATGTATGGCTCATGGCTTATGGCTTCTGGCTTTTATACATCTCACATTTACCATAAATTACAACTAACTAAGGCTTCATAAATCATCCAACTATATATATATATATATACATACACTATATATATATGATAATTAATAATCTTACTATATGACTTATATGACCATATATTCCATATTATATATATACTTATTCATATAACATATAATTAACCCATCCATTTTCCCATGACCTCCACCCCAACAAAAAAACACAAACATCGAGCGACTGGACTCCCGGGTGATCTCAAGGGAGCCATCCGACAGCTTCGTTTTGTAACCCAACTGGCGCTCCAAAAGGTGTAGCTCCTGGGACTCATCTCCAAATTTACAGAAAATGGCCCCAGTCATACCAGTTATAAGTTATGTTTGTCATGTGTTTATGAAAACCAACATGACATGTTTAATCCCATAGAAATAACCATTTAAAACTAATAAATGGCCAAAACTGGTAGAACGGTAGAACTATAACCATCAAGCCATATGGCTGGCTTGATACCATGAAAACTCATGAAAAACTATGGTTTAAATGCGGTTGTATAAGTATAAACCATCAATCCATATGGCTGGCTTTTGGCTTAGTAACCTTCGTGTTTACAGTTTACCAACTGTATAAGGCAATCCATTGAGATATCCCATCTTTATCCCATGAGTAGATATCCCAGGAATATACATTAATCAATCAATATCTATATATATAAATAATACTATATATCAATGACAGCTATTGGTTTGACATACCATGTAATTTCATTGGCTGTGCCTATTGTTTGTTTATAAGAGAGGTAACCCTTCTATTAACCAAACAACCCAGTAGGCTTGATACACTCTACAAAGTGGGCTCCCTGATGTTAGTTAGTTTATAAAGCATACAAATGCCATAGTTTTTGGCGTTATACACCTAGCTATCTTGGTGACCCACCGACCAACCAAGTAGGAATCCACTGAAGAGCAGTGTTCAGTGCACATTTGGTGGCTTTCTTGAATGTCATCAAGCTAGTGTATCTATTTTTACAGTTATGGCAATTTATAGCCCCATTTATGGAATGTCTAATACCATTTATAACCAGTTATAACAAATAACTATGGCCATAACTGTAACCTACCCTTTATATTGAGGATCATGAACTGGGAATCCAATTCTGAACCAACCATGATTAAATAGAATGACACTGGGTTTTGAACACGATTCATTTGAAACAGTGTTTTGTATACGGGAAATCACCTCAAAAAATGGTTGATGTCCAATTTCAAGAAATTGGTCTGTCAACTTTAATTGGAGTCGGGCATCACAACATTTAAAATAAATATTTTTTTTCATCGGGGCAATGAAGATAAACCACAGGATATAAGCTACCCTATTTTCAGATACACCTATGCTGGAATCGGCAAATGGTATAATCTGCAGAACTACAGTACCAGTCTTGACACCAGTCTTAGCACCAGTCTGTCTAATATGTATATACTCAAATGATACTCCCAAACATTGGAGTACATATAAATATAAATATCCGAATTGATACTCCCATTTTTATATCATATACTCATATATATATATACTTTCTAGGATTGATATGAAATCCCCCAATTTTGTCATGTCCCAAGTTCTTCGGCTGCTCCTCATGTTGCCAAAATTCAGGACCAAATGCTGGCAATGCGACCTGGGCCGATGAGTCATGGCCCTGGAGTGAAAAACATGAATTGAAGCGTACAGTTCTGGCCATTTACCAGTTATAACTACTTATAACATCTTATAAAATGGTGGCAGCGTTCAGACTCCGGACTGTACAGTTATGGCGGAAAAAAACAGTTATAAGTCACTGAACTAACCCTATTTATAGAATGTTTAATCCCAGTGAAATAACCAGTTATAACTAATAGCCATGGCCATCACTGTAGTGAGTGCTATAATCAGCGCTGCTAGGTGGTACCTAACCCATATAGTATCAATACTCATGGTTATGATGGGTTCAACATCAACAAACACAAAACTACGAGGTGATGTTACTAGCTTTGTTTTGGGTAGATGTACATTTACAGAAAATTTGGATATATACCAAGAAATAGCAGATTTAAGCTGGTTAAATCCTCAAGATACCCCGTTTTTAGATATTATCTAACTTGATCTAACTTGTATACTACTCGATATATATATATATATATACACATCATTAATCATCAGTGAATATACCATAATATCCAACACTTTGTTGGTGAATTTCAAGATTAAATATAGATATTGTTGCTTCCCCGGCCAATCAGTTGATCCACAGTTGTGACTCTTTACCAGTTATAAGTACTTATAACCCCATTTATAGAATTGTATAATCCCATTGAAATAACCAGTTATAACATGTTATCACTCATAGCCATGGCCATAACTGTGTGACTTCATTTCCATAGTGGCCTCATCTAAATCCCAACATGGATATTGTTTTCCATATATTTTTTCCCATCCCGTAGTGATGGTTGGTTTATAATAAACCCCATGCTATTCTGGTTGGTGGTTGACCTACCCCTCTGAAAAATATGAGTTCGTCAGTTGGGATGATTATTCCCAATATATGGAAAAAAACACCAACCAGTATATATACCTTGAACCTGACATATGCCTCGTTTGATCGAAATGCTGTGTTTCGGGCGTTGTCAAAACGCTGAATATCAAAGTACGGCCTTTCGTCAAAAGTACGGCCTTTTGATTTTTAGAGGAAATTCCACATACAGTGTTCCCCCCCTCTTCACACCACATTCCCATCTTTCCACCAAAGCGGAGCGCAGACCAACCCAAGAATCCAGTGATTGCGACTGATTTCACCAGACAATTGTTTAATCAGTCCATATTTGGTCCATGGTTTGAGGTAGCCAAGGAAATCTGTCACAAATCTGGGTATGAATCCATGCCGCGTTCATCAAGCGCAGCTTCCTGCAAACAGAACTGAATTTTAATCAAACTTCTCCAAATTACAGATCTATGGGCTTGCCTTATATTGGTGGAACGTGAAACTTTGGAAGGCTTCCCTATGAAGTCTTCCGCCTGTTGGCATGCTGTTGCCAATGGCGACAGCACAGCGGTGTGACAAACCATGTGAGACTTTGGGTAAACAGGATACCGTGCTTTCCCAGCAGCCAACGTCAGGCTCGCCAACATGGCATAGTGTGCCAAAAACCCAAAAAGCCATGCCGATAGCCTTCTTGCCTGAACATCTCTCAGCCAAAGCCCATTCCGGTACAAGAAGGTCACTGCAACGTTCATTGCCTTTGCGCAGGCAGCCTCAGCAAGCCACAGGGGGTGGAAAAAAACAATTCGCATGAGGAACCCAAAGGGTATGCAAGTTATATGGAACAAGATGAAACAAGGAACCTAGTGCCAAAGCAAGTCTGCCAAAGAACGATGGATTTCATGATGGGGTCATCAGAATTGGGCAGAAACTGGACTGCAAACCAATCAATGAATCGCAGGATTTCCGTCGATGCCATGCCCTTGTTCCACTTGGCAGCTGGGCATGTCGAAGACATCGGCCAACAGACCAAATCTCTGGACAGCTCTGAAACCCATGGTTTCTTGCCTCGGTCCCTAAAGTATTGCTGGTACATGGTTGAAAGTCGGTCAAACTTCTTGTCTACCGACCCCAAACCTTCAAAACATGGCAAAGGAGGGTTGGCCTCAACCAAGCTCACTAAGGCGCTGGAGCAGAAACTCTTGAGTACTCCCAAGTGGACGTTGTGGAAAAAATCGCTCTGAAAGAATTTGGTTGCCCTTGAATCATCCAAATCCAAACCTTCTAGGATTGAAGGTCTTTCTTCCCAAGCAACTTCCTGACAGATTGTACCTTCCCAAATGGGGTTGGACGACACATCCTCGAAAGGAAACACTGGGCGATGGTTGCGGTCATCCTTTTCTTGACCTGCAAGGCATTTCCAGCAAATTCCTCGGGATGGCTTTTTTGATTTCGAAGCTCTGGGGGCATGACCAAAAGTACGAGTGAAACGGGCAATTTTGGCAAGTGCCGGGAGGTCACCCTTGCTCCCCAAATGGATGAACCAAAATCTGTCCATGCCACTGCCGAGTCCCTCATGCAGCAAAGACCTACAATCCGCCGCAAAGCCAGACATCAGTGCTGACAAAGTTTCTGGAGTAGTCACATTTTTCATCATTGTCGCAATCAGAAAATGTGTTGACCATGTGTTCCCAACATAATTGAGGCCCTGGGAATTTTCAGCCACTGGAGCACGATGCTTGTTACCCTTCAGGTATGCAACTGTGCCACGGCCAATGACGCCATGAATGTTCAAAACGAACAAAGGAGCATCTCGAAATGTCCGGCCCTCATCCGAATGACTGTAGAATGGAATCAGCCGATCTAAAGAAAGGACGCCTGCATTTTGCAAGCTGTACACAGGATGCCCATCATCTAAGCACCGGTATCTATCCCAAAACTCTTGAAGCACACCTCTCATTTTCTGCAGTGTTGAAACTCCAACCAGTTGTCGCTGCAAAGCACCGATGTCGAGGAGGTGTTGAAACCAACTGGCTGGTTTTAACCATGGAAATTTTTTCATATCTCTAGAATCACCCAAATCAAGGGTAGAAAGTTCAACAGGGGCCGACAGCCCATGTTTCACCAAAACACGCCGAGCTCCAATCTCAGCATCAGCTTCTCTGATGGCAGAAAACTCTCTCATCGCTTGGCTAGCGCGCGGGTTCGACTCAACCTCTCTCTGGGCAATCTGCACAACGTGCTTGCAGCAGGCCTAAGTAGCGCAAAGCCATGCAGAAACTGTTGTGAAGTCAAAATGCATCGATGAAACTTGATGGTGGTGTTTTGAAAGGATACTACAGCAAGTACTATCTGTGCACTTTGCCATGCATGCCCTGCAAAGAGCTGATCGAACCATGGTGGTCAGCACATTTTTTCAGACCTTCGCGGTTGACCATGTTGTCATCCTACCCTGCGAGATTGGTCAGCGCGACCCCCCGTGACATACAGAAAGTATGGGGGTGGGGTCTTTTGTTTTTTGTTTAAGGCACCCTCACCCCCTGAACCTTCTTTGTTCCTGCAGCCCACATGCTTGTTGAACTCACTGACTAGGGCAGCTTCAAGCATGTGAATTAAATCCAAGCTGGGTGAAACAGAAATAACCCACATCGAAGTAAAGCCTTGGTCAAGATAGGCATGGTACCTTGTAATGGGATTTGCCGTCACACCCACTTTGAAAACACAAACTCTGATTCCCATACGTTCACGGAAGGAAGTAACTTTGTCCTTGGCCCAGGCTAAAATTTTGCCACATGTGGGTTGGCCGGTTCGTGGCTCCGGAGCACAGCGGTTCAACAGGCCAAATGGCTTTGTCAAGTTCCAATCAAATGTGGCAGCGTCAAAACTGTCACCAAGTAACTTCAACTTGTTGTAGTCATCCTTGGCTGGCAGTGTTGGTACTTTGGGAGCATAAGGCAATTTAAAAAGAACAATGGTTATGAGGGAATCCATGCACATACATCCCCAAACTAATGTAGATAAAATATAAAAAATTCTGAGTGGCCATCATCAACCAAACAAAACTGTTTTCTTTTAGTTACAACATCCCATGAGCTGAGAAGCAGCGCTGATGGGTGGCAACTTCTCACCAGGACTGTTTTCAGTGATTGATCGAGCAGGTGGTTTTTCACATGACCTTGTTGGGGCGTCCCTTGTGAAATACTCCATGAACATAGCATCACCCACATTTTCCGGAGATGTTGAAGATCGGCTCTGACCATCAGAAGGAATCTCACTTTGTTTTTTCCTAAGCTGTGAAGAAACACAAACAGATTAATTAATCATTGTGAACCCCAACAAAAACATATCCCTGCCATAGATTTGAAAGATTTTGGCAGGTTTGCCAAGACACACTGTGTATAGTTGGCCATCCTCACAGCCAGCTATTCGTTTCCGTCCAGTAAAAGGGCACTGGTAGGAGAGAAGATCCATGAGTTCATCCATGGCTCAATCCACGATGAAGGGAAACAAAATGTTGAGGGGTATTGTTTTTTTTGTAAAATGGATTGTTGTTCTGCCATATCTAAAGTCTTGGGTGTTAAGCCCGTAATACATAAGGGGTAAACAACAGATCCAGATTTCAACTTACCTGCTACCTAGGACCTTCCAAATAATGACACATGTGTTGTACATGTATGAGCTTCCTTACTGGGCCAATGAGTTGCACAAGAAAGAAATGTTGAGAACCCGTCAAAGTTTAATCTCGATTTTGGATTGGCCCTTCTTGCAGGACTAAAGATACAAGGCCCTGGCTCCATCAGCGATGAGCTTTGCAAAGCCTTGTAGCACGGGATCCAAGTCATTTGGGCCTGGCATGTTGGCGATGTTGCCCTTGGGAGACTTTGGGCTTTGGGCCCAGGAGCTGAATGGGGAATACTCTGCACATGCATGTAATAGTTTTTTGTTCCATCAAGCGCCATTGGTATCCCCAAAGTTTCCATTGTCACATGCCGCTATGTTGCAGGCACGGATGCATCCGGTCCGATTGTCCATAGACAGGGGCGGTCAAAACCACCATTTCAGCTTTGCTGCAGCAAGCAAGTTTGGAAAACATAGGAGCTGTTTTGTTGTTCTTTTGAAATTTATTGACATTCAAAAAATATCCATATCTTGGGTTGAAAAACATATTGCAAGACTTTACCAGCTGCTGCAGGTAACCCCAAATCACAACTTCACCAGGCCACATGTTCTGCACATGGCTGCCCACAAAATTAGACTCATAGGAGTCCCAAGAACACACGCCCATGATTCACATGGGCCGGCCAAGGCTCACAGATCTCATGACTCATTGGCTTTCTTCAAAGCCCGCAAGATGTTCCTGGGGCCGTTTGGGGAGATGATCATTATTTATCAGCATGCATGTCCAACAATCATAGGATATGCATGGGCTTTCCCAGTCCAACCCAGAAGTATAAATAGGGCCAATAGGGAAATGAATTGAACATAAATCTGAAAGAAGATTGTCATGTATATAACAAATATTAATACAGCTCAGTTTCTTGCTGCACCCTGGGCTATAGCAGTAATGCAGTCGAGTTTCTTTGCCCCAACCTCCGCAGTTGTCACTGTGGCCAACCTTGTGAAATTGGAATGGGAACCAGCAGTCACAGCAATGAGGCCAGAAGCGCAGCGAGATTAATGCAGTAAAGGCACGCAACGGTAGACTCCCGGATCTGTTTGGACATCTTGTTCTGCAACCTCAAGAGCTGTCAAAGTTGTGGGACACCATGGACCCCCTTGGAAATCCGTGTCTAGTATTGCATGCATATTTTTTTCTCATGATATATACCCTCAACAATGAGGGTCCATTTAGAAGCCAATGGTCTTCCAACTTTTTTGGTAGGAAATTATCTTGGCTTTAGTGGCATCTAAATGTAATGAAGGTAAGAAACGTGAAGGCAAGATACGAGTCTGACTCCGCCATGGGGGTCTTCTCATCCCGCAGAGGGGCTGCATCCAACTTCAAGATCTCGCAGGTTGCAAACTCTTTGTTGAGAAGCTCGATGGCGCTCTCCAAGTTGTGCACGCACCTGAGCAAGTAGGGCATTGGTAGAAACCAGGGGGCGGTGGAGAATTTGGGATGATGTTCAAACCTATGTGCACACATGAGTACACACCCAACATGCTAAGACAAACTGGGATGAGAACTTAGCCACACGTTTTCCATCAGTGCTGTCAGCAGCTTTGTCACCAAGCTCTGATTCCAATTGCCCAATCAAATCAGACAATTTAGAGGACCGAGACAGCAGGGATGAAGTAAAGGTCACAAACTTCTGGTACTCCTCCAAACAAATGCGCTGATCTCCCAATATTGATTTTTCAGAATCAGAGTTACCTAAGCAATCCTGGGTCCTAAGTATGCCGACAAATTATACACACATAGTTACCATTTATTGTGGATACTTTCAGAAAGTGAAGGAGATCTCCTAATATGTGTGGGTTTCCTAAAATGGGGGTACACCTAAATCATCCATTTTATTCAGATTATCATTTAAAACCATCCATTTTGGGGAACCCATGTGTGTGTGTAACAAGTGTAAGGGGACAAATGTACTCTGCCCCAATCCTTGGCTGCAGTGTTCACCGCTTCTGCCTTTTTCTCCTGTTCGTCATCCTCATCCGAATCGGGTTCCATGAAGCCCGCCTCTTCACCAACTCTCTGGAATTGCACGGCCTCCTTCGCCTGAGGTTGGAATGGAGTGAAGGATTGTGATGGCAGAGGCCGGGCCAGTAGGGGGCCAGTGTTGTGTACCTAATTGGGCCAGGTCACCTCACCAGTTTCATGTTGCTGATGCATCTCCTCATTCTCGGAGATGTCATCATCTTCTTCACCATATACAACATAGTACTTTCTCAACTTCTTATTGTACCGATCCTTCCTCAGGAGAAGGAAAAACCAAACAAAGCAAACATGTTCTGAATATGGTGTTTGGTAATATTATATACTATATACTATATACTATAAATTGTATACTAAATACTATGTACTATATACTATATACTATATATTATATTATATATGTGTGGTTGTGGTATGCACTGGATTCCCTACAATTATGAGAATCAATGTCGGAGAGATACAAGGATATATGGCACCCCATGTCCCAGGTTCCCTTGATAGTTGCAAGGAAGCATCTTCCACAGTCGCTCATTGCCAGGCTTCTCACAGTACTCGATGGCGCACTTGATGTACGACCTTGCGTTGCAGAATGGACAAGGCAAGACAAATTGGATGAACGCTGGGGTGTGGTATTACAATCTAGGATCTAAGAAAACGACAAACTCCATCCCAAGGAGTGCTGCATCTGCTCTTTGGTGAACCAACCTCTCTTCTGTTTTCGCTGCAAAGTTTTCTTCTGGGAAATGGTCTTGGTGATTCGGCTGACAAACAAACCCTGCAACAAGGTAGGAAAGGTAGAGGTCTCCCCCAAGGTTGAAGAAACTTGGATTTGAAAAATTGATGCAAGAATGGTTTGACAAATATGTGTTTTACTCGTCCCTGTCCTTACTCCAGTTCACTGACTCTAGCTCGTCAATCATTGCTTCCTTTTCCTGCTTGTTTGACTTAAGCCATTTTTCGTGAACTGCGGCTGGGACATTGCAACGGCCTGAAGGCTTTTTCTCACACAATCGGCGAAGCCGATTCAACTTTGCACCTTCAGTTGCCGGAGCAGGTCGCTCCGGGGGTGGGTTCACAGAGGTTTTGCCCGACCCTGAACTGGGATTCTTTCCTGGCGAAGGGGCAGCCACCTTTGGGGGCGGAGTCGTGTAGGCAGATCCTTTGGACTTGGTTGGCTTAGAAGTTTGGGCTCGTAGCTTCATCATCTCCTCTTCCATCTTTTTGTTGGCCTCCCCCAAAACGCAAGTTAAGGAATGAGAAAACTACATAGATAAAAGGGTCATCGTATACATGTGGAACTTTTGTTTTTTTTGAGCATATTGGGAACAATGATGGGAAAATCACCACATAATGAAGAGCCTCCTGCAACTGCTGGATAATCTTCAACGGATCATCTGAGTTGGGCTGCTTCCCTTTCAGTCGCTTAGTAGGTGCTGGGTTGGGAGACGGCTGGCCAGGTGACGGCTTCGGTGATGATGGCTTCACCGGAGGTGCAGTCACCGACTTGGCTGCCGCTTTCACTGGTGGTTTCCTTTTGGGTCGCTTAGAAGCTTCTAGCTCATCCGCAGTAGCCTCATTTGAAAATGCCATTGAATGTATAACAACACAAGATGAATGAAGGCTGCTGGAACTGTAGACTGATTTATTTGTATTGGTTCACATGATTCTACATGGTATCAACCCCCCAAGTTTAAAGGCAAAAACAAGTATCTGGTTGCGTCTCATCTTCGGGAGAGGCATGTCCTCCAGCAGCAGCATCGCCTTGACTAGAAGCCTCAGTCCAGGAGCTTCCCCGAGCTGGTATACTTGAAACAATTCCAAACATCATGATATTCACAGGGATATCCGTTATCAGTTCATATGATATCATCTTGATGAGTACCCTAATGAATCATTAATAAGCATCTTGAAGTAGCACAGACATTTTTCACAGAGAAACCCATGTCACTTAATCCAAGAAACTTGAAGCGCCGCAGACTTCATCTTGGCCAATTCTTTCTCATACTCCTATCAAGAAGGCATCAAACTGGGCGACCACCAGTAAACTTGGTAGTGGCAATGGGGTTCAAGAAGGCATATGGGGAAGACCTTTACCTTTAAACATCCTACATACACCACCACATGCCATATGACATAAATGGGTTCCTTGATCTTCGATTCAAGGTCATCCTCGGGCTCCCGCTTAACAGCAGTTAACTTCTGCTCGCCATCTTTAAGCTCACTGCATGACCATTGCTTTGAGGGTACCGCACCCCTTTTGCTGACTGGCATGGCCAGCTTTGTGCAGGTTCACGCCCGAGGAATGTTGAGCCGAGACCCTCAGAGGGCGGACTGGGCTGAAAAGATGGCAACACCCTCAGGATATTCCCAAAAACCACTCATTTTGTCCAAAAATTTGGCAAATCACCTGAAAATTGCCTATTTCACCAAAAGAGGGAATAAACCCGGGTTCGGAAAAAGTACGTATTTTTGTACGCAAAAATACGGCCTTATACGGGCAAAATACGGCCTTTGTACGGGTCAGATCCTGGGTACGTACCCGGTTCGTACTTTGTCCCTACTTGGTACGTATTCCAAGGGTTTCCCCAAAAACAAACAAAAACAAGATAGATTATGATAAATCATTATATAAATTATGATAAATCATGATAACTTATCATAAATTATAATAAATCATGATAAAATACAATGCATTTTGATAAATCATGATATAGACCAGAAAATTATTGGATCAAGAAGAATACCCATTGAGGATTGTCAAACCAAGTTAGTGTAAATTCCAAAATCCTGAAGTTAACCAAATGTTGGGATGAAACCTTTCAAATCCAAATGCTAGAACAATATGGGCCATTATATAGTTTGGGTAGAGCGGGGAACACTAGCAACCGCTTGTGGAAGGAACCCTTTGAAAAGAATACTTGGGACAGCATACCCCAATAGCACCCGCTAGCCCTCATATGTTATGTGGATAATTTGGAAACCATTTGCCCTATCACCATATGTCCCATGGGTATTCTTGGATGAATCTGACACAACCTTATCAACCATTTGAGGGTTTTGATTTCCCAGGCAGATGGGTGGCCCCAGTGTCATCAACATCCGCTATCACCTCCCCAGCTATCAACATTTTTGCAGGCTCGGTCCTTCAGTTTGGGATCCCTGAATTTTTACCTAAATGGGAAAACCCACGCCATGTGGCAGGTTGCAAGCACCACAAAACAGTTTCCATAAATTAGATATGGGTAGGGAGATAATTTCTCCATTCCCCAAGTTCTAAATCGGTGGAACCACGTAAATATGCAAACACGGTTTTCATGTTTGCACAATCCCACCAGTCATCCCATTCCACTTGGCTGAACACAAAGAACCCATCTTGGATTGGTTCGGTGAAAGCGATCTCTGGTAGAGCCTCCTTCTTGGCAATGAAACGGGGAAACAGCTGGACCATTCGTTTTCCAAATTTTGGAGGGTAGGTCCTTAGATGGCGCTGGGCCCCCAGAACACATTGATTTCCAAAACTTCCCTAATAACATACAATTTAAAAAAAAAACATAGGAAAACCATAATTAATAATTGACAGGGAATCCCCGTACGTTTCAGAAACTTTGTGCCATGGTAGGCCTTTCGGCCAGATTTGCTTCTATAGGTACGAGCTGATTTGGCTCCATGGCGGAAATGCTTCTCTTGGTACTCTTTTGCCATGACTCCAAGGTCTAAGCAATTTACAGTACAGCAATTCGACCATGCTATGTGGCGTTTCATGGTCAGGCTTCCATAGTGCCCCATCCACCACACTGCTTGGAATACCTGGGGGGCATGCATAGGGAATGTTTGAACGTCATTGTTGGAAATCGATTGGATGGGACACCTAGGGTTTAAAACTCGATCCATATCCAGCTATATAAAACAAGGGTTCTAATGGCCAAACATTGCCGACAATATAGTTTCAGACCACAAAGAAATAAAGAATGGGGTGCAATGGGGAAGCTTACTGGGTAACATGGAGGGTGAAAGTTCCATTAGTATACCCCAAAGTGCCTAATCCCAAATTTGCGGGGCCGCAATTATGATGCTCGAAACCTTTTGATTTTAGGCGTGTTCTAGAAATTTCGAGCATCATAATTGCGGCATATGGCATATTGTTTTGCTTTGAGACCTTTTATTCTGAAGTAAAAAAACACCATAACAGAACATCACAGCTCTTACCCAGCTATCCCACCTTTGGGACCAACCGAAAGAGTTGCAGCACCCTGGGGTGCCAAGGCAAGACTGACGACCGTGGCTGCTCCAAGAGCCAGGCGCCGTCCATGGCAGAAACGGCAAATAGAAGAAGCATAGTCCTGGGCCGGGCCGGTGAGCCCAACACTTTATCTTCAAGGATGGCCAACAATTAATTTCAATGGTGTAACAATGGAAAAACAAACAAACTAATGATGTCTTGTCACCATGAAACCATATTTCATAATTTGTTTGAATTGATCCAAGGCATTTGAAAACTTTTTGACGGAATCCAAATGGGAATTGATTGTCGACAACCATACACCTACATTTTTTTCCATTTTACAACCCTGGGTTGGCACGGAGGCCACAGGGTTTGTAAACGATTCTTTTCACTTAAAACCTTTTGATCTCAAGATTTCCTGAGAGGTTCCCATTGCATTGTAAGTATGGGACAATTTATAAACAGATATGGGGGATACTGCAAATATGATTTCAATCCCAGAGTCCGGCTAGCGAGAGCGTTTCCAAGATCCACCATTGGAACACCAATCCGCCCAAGTGGATTGCTAGGGGTGCGCATGTGCGTTCCAGCTGAAATGCTTACGAAGCTAGAACAAAGAAGACCAGCAACACATAGGAAGGCTCCCATCTTTCCATTCAAAATCGTGAGCAACGCTAACCTTACAGTAAAGCAAGGGATCAGCAACATGGGGGAAACACATGCATTAACATTAACAATTCTCATTTGGAAGAACTAAGCAACAATAATTTTTGACAATGAATATGGGAAGATGTTTGCTAATGTTTATAGTAACTGTACTCTTGCACATACAAGCAGCGAGAAGCCAGGATCCGACAACAAGTCCATGGCATCTTGTTTTCCCGGAAGTGGGTTCCCATAAATCACATCCAGAGCTGCAGTGGGATGACCTTGATGTTTCATGCATCTAGCCACCCATGCTTGCCCTGCAAACAGCTCCACGTAGGAGTACTTCTGGGCAGGGGAACATGCTCGTATGGTGATTTTTCCCAATCGATTTTTCCATTGAACCCAAAGGATGGGCACCCTGTTGAACCAGCTATCTACTCAAAACTGTTCATGTTTTCGCCCCCCCAAAAATACCAATCTACTGTACCATTAAAAATGTGCTGGGTTGCAACAAAGAAGTACCACACATGCCATCAACACCTGCAGGGGCAGCTTTAACAAATCCAACTATACCAACATGTGCACATACCAACACTTTACGAACCAACATGTTGCTTTCTATAACTATAATGGTAAGAGCCCCAAAATTGCAAAAACAAACCCCTGCCTTAGGTGCTTTCAAATGATGGAGCCGATGTAAGACAGTGTCCAGTTTGGCTTTACGGTCTTGCTTCATGGCTGGAAATGGACCCTCTAGGACTGGTTTGGTTGGATCAAAAAGGCTCTGGGATGCAAAGCACTGGCAACACACTTAAGAAGCTTGAATCAATCTGCAAGGGGCAGGAAATGAAACATGCCCCATATGCACCACCCAAGCGATGCCAGGCCAGCGGATCTCCTCTTCTCTGCGCCGCTTGCTCATTTGAGAGGCAGCCTGGCGATGGGAAAGAGACCAGCTGGGAAATGAGAAGTGGGGGCACTGCTAGATCTGCGAGGTTATACTTCTCCCAATGGTTCCTGGTGATCAAATATGTTGACCTTGAAGGAAAATTTGGAATAATGGTGAGAATATAATTCACCTTCAGGAATTTCACCGCTCCAGCACATATTATGAAGCTAACCTCGTCAATACTTAGCCAACAGTGATAAGGTTTCAAATACGTATTTACCTTTGATTTCTGATATCCAACAGTTTGGGAATGAATAGTGCTAGATTCACAATGATCGGGGGGGCCCTGTGTCAGTGGATCAATATGGCTAAAGAAATGCATATCCTAATCTGAACCCGGGTGTTTTGCCACATTTTTTCTCCAAGCGCATCTTCCTCAATGCTAGCGGCAACAGTGTTGAATCTTGTTGCAGGGACAAGGCAAGATGTGGCCATTCACTGGAACCTGCTGGATAGAACATGTGAAATCTAAGTGGCTAGCATCCACCAATCCTCGACATGTAATCGACATCGCTATTCAGAACAAAGTAAGTAATACAGTTTTGGAAGCATAATTGCACAAATATATTTACTGTAATCATCACTGCTGGTTCCTTCCCTGGTGAACCATGGCACTGTTGCAAGAGCTTGGGGAAGCTAAGCGCAATGAGTTCCCCCACGATTTGGATAAATGTTCCGAGCATTCTTTTTTAAGATGCTAGCGCACCAGTTCTGAGATCTCAGCCACCTTTCCTATATTAAAACACATGTGGCAATCCCCTGGCTTGAAATGAAAACATGTCCAAACACTTGTGTTTTTTCCCCTGTGGCAGGCTCAGCCGACTGGAAAGCCCTCACTCGATTTCTGCCAGATACCCAGCAGCTGCATGCTGGGAGAGGTCATCCACATTGTCCTCGGTGACATCCGTCTCCTTCCAAAGGTTGGTAGAGTACTTCCAGAACTTGTCCTGGCAGGGCCCAATAATTGGAGAGATACATATTCAATGGGGGAACATGGACATAGCCAATGAGATATATTAGTTTACTGTATATAAGCTAGTGTAAGGTACGAATATGGATTATATATATAATAAGATGTTGGCTATATATATTATATAATATTTTACTGTAGGATTGACATTGGGAGCTAGTGGGTTGGGATCTTAGTTCAATCCAACCTTGGTATTTTCCACCCAACCTTGATCCCAATCTGGTTCTTAAGATATTGGAAGGGGCCCAAGAACCAACCGTTTAGCATATTTTAGCATTACATTGATCGATCTATGTACATGATGCCCAGCAAAACAAATGTAACATATATTTGATGTTGAAACCATTTTACCTCCAAACGCACAGACAAAACAAAAACCACAAAACTTGGAAAGGTCCGGGATGCAGAAGGAAAAGGCAAACAAACAAGATAAACATTTCAGAGCCGGTGATAATTGACCTTGGACTCCTTGGGTGCTGAACCAAAATATCTCTAAAATGACTTGCAAACAGATTTAAAACACAGCTCCTCATGAGCCGAGAAAAAATTCACCCTGGGCTTGATGTGCTGGTTGAAAGCTTTCCTCAAAGCTAGCCACTTTGCCTTGCCAACCGTGCTGCTTGGCTGAACCCTGCGAGCGAAGGTCTGGGCTTCTCCGGGGGCTGCTCTTTTCTTGGCTTTCATCTTGGGTTCAGCAGAAGGTGTCACTGCTTCACCCTTGTGACCATCACCATTCCCAGTGTCAGGGGCAGGGGCTGCAGTGCTGGGGTTTGCTGATGTTGCCTCATGTGCAGGTGCCACTTTGGTCTGATCCTTCTTCTTCTTTTTGTTTTCATTCTTGGCAAGCTCATTGCCTACTGAATCACCTTGCTTTGGGTCTGCCTGTGCGACCTTTCGCTTTCGAGTTACCTTTGGTTTCGCCTGGTGATCACCTGGTGTTTCATCAGGCTTGTTGGCATCCATACCCAACCCCTTGTGATTCTTGTCTGGGTCAGTTTCATCCTTTGAGTCAGTAGGCTCAGCAGGCTTTGTTTCAGGCTCCAAAGCTGTATCCGTGAGATGGGGAGCATCCAAGGCACTGGATTCCATTTCATCAGGGATCTCATCCTTTTTGCGTTCATCTGAGTTTTCCTTTGTGTCGTGATTCTTTCTCTTGGCACTTGTTTTTGCTTTCGCCTTTGCCTTTGCCTTTCCTTTCGCCTTTCCTCGAGGTCGCCCCCTGGCTTTTGGTTTAGGGTTTGCTCCATCCCCAGGTGCGGCTGCTGTCCCATCCCCAGACTCGGCAGTCTCAACTTCCCTCAACGCAAATTGCGCCCGGCGTAGGACCTCAGCTGGCAGGCCACTAAGTATATGGGAAAGGGTATATAAGAAAGTGATAAAAGGTCACCTCGGGAAGGAACAATCTATCTCAAACAAGTTGGGACTACCAAACGGTCTGGAACAGCAAAAGGAATACCAATCCCACAGTCGCCCTTAAAAATAATTTCATCTAGAAACAAGAGGGGGTGGAGATGGGAATTCAGGCTCCTCGGCATCGAAGCTCTCTGCCAAACTGTCCAGTTCATGGGGGGCGAGAGGTAAGGTGTCACCAGTGTCCGCTCCATAGGGCAAACTGTCCATGACAACAACCGGGTTCTTGGTGGCCTCCAAATTCTGCTTGGCTTTCCTTAGCTTCTTTGTGTTAATTACAAACGAATGGGAAAACAAATAGGGAGAGAGAGAGAGAGAGGGAGAGAGGAGTTGGCTTGGGAGGACGCATCTACCTTTGAAAGGGTCAAAGCTGAAGGTAAAGTATTGCTTTATATAACTCAAAGCTGAATGTCTGGGCCATTTGTTCCCTTTTGGCACTGGCCAAAGCCTTTTGAATGCGGAGGATTTCCATGTTAAGCTCATCAGCCGTCATGGTTGTCGCTTTTTCGGGGGTGTCGTCGATCACAACACATTTGTCCTCCTTCACCATCTCAAGGTTCTTGGAATCAACCTTTGGGGAATGCATGGGTGACTCTGGTTGGGAAAGGGGCACTTTCTCATCATCTTCATGGCTGGGCGAGAGGTTCTGGGAGTCAAAGATGTCAAAGCTTGCGTGGGCAGGCGTCATGGGAGACTTGGGTTCATCCTCAAGCATGCATTGGAACATCTCATGGGGTTGAAGGATGTCTTCACCTTCATCACTGTCAGGGTCAACATCAGAGCCGATGTCATCCATGTCCATACCATCGTCACAGTCAGGTCCACTGTCGGCAGCAGGTTCGTCAGTCATGGTTATGTCAGTGTCCTAGGGTTTTGAAACTAAGTCTCACAAAACCTGATCCCTAATAGAATCTAAATAAGCACAGTTGAAACAAATTGAAACTCCTGTGTTTGCTTGATTCTTACAACCCTGTCCTCAAAGCTAGTCTCAGGGTGAAAAACCAGAGTCATCAACTTTTGAAAAAGTTTGCTTCTGCAAAGTACATCGCGGTTCAACTTTTTCTTGACCAAAACCATGAAACCTTTGGCGAGCTTTGCCTCCTTCTGGATATCCCTCTTGACAGGACATGGAAGCTTCATCCTGATGTAGAGCTGTTTGATCCTTAAATTTGGCAAGGAATGAATGGTGGCGGGGATGTTTGGGGAACCAATGACAATTGAACTTATCATGGAAAGAACCATGTGAAAAGCAACAACGAAGTTAACAACTCAAAAACCAAACCAAGAAAGAACGACAAAGTACCAAATTTGAGAGAAAACTCTGTTTCGCAACTGCAGGAACTGTGACCTGGCTAACCTCATCGTTGGGTAAACGAAGTCGCTTAACTAAAGGAACCAAAACCTCGTAGTTGCGCTCCCCACAGCTCACTGTGAGCTCTGGCACCGCACAGCGCAGTGCAGGGGCAAACAAACAACCCTTGACCCTCATGTGCTCCCTGACCATGTCACATGCGTCCCATTCAGCGGCAATGCCATCTAGATTTGGCGCATCCGCCATGCCCAAACTAAGATGAGACCCACGTGTTCTGGCTACCGGCTTGGGCTGAAAGATATGGCCATGCAGGTTTTCAGGCGGATATAGAAAATAAACAACAACGAGGTCAAAAAATAAGTTGAGTAGCCAATGGATATAGCACACCACAAACAAAATTGTTTACATTGAGCTGCCCACATAGTTCTTTTTTTCCGATAACTGGCTTGGAACCATATGCCCCAAAGATTTTTTAGTTTGGCGGCCTTTTTAGAAAACATGCATTGGGTTTGACATCCTCAAATAACCTTATTTCTAAATATTCATCCTGTGGTGGTATGACTTGTTGGGGTTATGAATCAATCTGATATATAGATTAAAGATGTTGCCTACCCATAGTTCACACATCCTTTTACTATCTCTTTAATTGGTTTGCTCTATAATGGTGCCATCCTATTTTGGGATGATCAATATGATGATCTAGCTACTCCGAGTTTAGGGTGTGGAACCCAATGGGTTATCCCAGAAATATTAGTTGACCACCGGTGCCCAGGTCCTGGCCTTCAGTTGGCAAAATGCCAGCGTAGATCCATCACCACTTCGATGGCATGGTCAAAATTCCGCTTGAGAAGAAGCGGCAGGGGTGATGATGGGGATATTAAGGGATGGAAAGATTAAACTCATCGCATTCTAATTTGTTGGGATGATGAAATATCAAATAAACCTTAGATAACATCATGTGGGGAGATGTTGCTATATATCCATATTCAAAATACGGCCTTTTGCAAAATACGGCCTTTGGTTAAAAAGAGCCTCTTTTGGCCCCAGGGATGTATTCTGAAAAGGGTATCTAAATCGAGGGTCATCTGGGGTAGAGGGTATATATCTAGTTCCAAACCACCAACCAGTATTGTTGCTTCCCCAATCAGTTGACCCACTCCCCACGCAATACCAGCGGCCACATCAATCTGATGTTTTTTCATCTCCTCGTCGCTCAGAGTCTTCAGCTGTCGCACCTTCCTGTGGCAACTGCGACGTCCACGAACGAAGGGGGCGGGAACAAATAGAAATGCCATTGAGTGATTTATGTAGGATTTGTATGGGATCTATTGGTGATTTATACGGTGAATCATTTGTATGCTGATTTATTGAATGGTTTATATGGGATTTTAATGGAATCTAGATGGGATTTCAATGTACAAGTAGGGCTAATACTAAGTATACGGGTTTAAAACCACATCTTTGCAACAGTTTGGAACAGGGCTTGTTTTTCAAAATCTCAGCGTCTGGTAGAGCACCATTTGCTCCAGAACTTTCGCCGTTTTCCGCCAGGTCGATGTTTCCGACGTCGCAGCTGGCCGCCACCTCTGACCTGGAGTCGACATGGGGAAATGGTGAGTCCATGGCGATTTAGTCGGACGACTAAAGGGATCATAAGGATTGTTTTAAGGGGATTCAATGATTGAAAAAATGGAAATTGGAAACCATATGCAAGCTGGTGCCCCAGTTAGCTAAGTTGGTTTATATAACTTCAATAACTAGTAACTAGGGTTTATGATAAACATATCTAGAGTTAATTGGGAATATAAACCAAAACCAAAACCAATTTGTAACTGGAGGGAACCACCTTGAAGTCGTTGACTTGTAGGTAAATGGAATCCAAACGGTGTCAAATGATGTTGATGATCAACAATGTAAACTAAATATTGATCAAGAAAAACATGATAGAAGAAAAAACAAACACTTGGCTGAATGATTTCTAGGAAATGGATGGAACCAGCCCGAATGGGCTGGGCATCAAGCGGTGCCAAAGAAGCGTTCTAGTGTTTGTCCAGGCTTAATCAATCCCTGCTTTGTCAATCAGGGTTACCAATTTTAACAAATGGGTCCCTATAAGTGGAACTAAGTGGGTATAGACAACCAATGTTCAAGGTCACCAAACTGCTGCCAGGTTGCGATAAGCGGTGCCAGCCACGAAAAGTCTCACTAAACACAACCTTGCAGTGTCATGAATTGGCCCAGGAAAGTGCGTAAACAAAGATTGTAAACGTGTATCTTAAACCGGTTTTAGTGGGGGTTGATTATGGTTGATTGAGGGTCTAGCTACACGCAGATGGGAAAGAAGAGCATATTCAAAAAAAAAAGAAAAAACATAAAAAAACAAAAACATGTAGAACGGAGCCAACAAACATGCGTCAACATTGTTTTGCATACTACCAGGTTATAAACAGGTAAAACCCGAACTACCAGCTATTTTGAATATCGTTACAAATGGGGTGTCCACCAGGTGTGGAGTTGGTCCAGGCGGTCCCAGTGTTTGGCTGATGGGTTCCTGCACAGCTTGGTCTCCCGGATCTGGACATTCAAACTTTCCCAGTCATTGTTCCACATGGCCAAGACCCATACCCTCTGGTAAATTAACGTAACTATGGAAAATCACCATTTTTCATGGGAAAACTCACTATAAATGGCCATTTTCAATAGCTATGTTAATTTACCAGAGTGTACCATCTTGGCTCGCCTGTATTGTAAGATTAGCATTGGAGTGGGACTTGACTTTGGGAGCCGCAGTTCCCTGAAATCCCCAAAGGTCGGTGCTTGGACAAGTCTTGCAGATGGTTCCCAAACGCAAAGCTCCTTTGACCCTGCTGGAAGCTGGATGGCTGTCAGTAAGGAAATTTATCACTGCATGTTATCTGAACCATACATTGTAAACCAACTCGTTGGTGCTTAAAATCAGCTGTGAATTCATACCTCTTTAGTAGAATTGGTGACACATACTCCCAAGTGTTAAATTGTCCTGAATTCTACTTTTGGAATATGAATACTTTTGGAATATGAATTTCCAATTTTGTTATTTTGATTTTATTCATCTTTTGAATTTCCAATCCAAAATCACAAAAATCAAGCCCAACATGACATTTTTGGGGCACAGAAAAAAGTGACCACAATTCTTTGACAAACCTTCTGTCAGCGAGCTGGCCATCACAAGTCATACGGGTGGCTTCATAAAATGGGGGTGGCTTCAAAATGGAGGTTTCCAAAAATGGAGGTACCCCAAAATGGATGGCTTATAATGGAAAATCCTACTATCTTCAATTTTGGATGATTTGGGGGTATACCTATTTTAGGAAACCTCCATAGAACGCCAGTTTCTGTGGGACCAAAGTGAACGAACCCGACCCTAGAGCATAGTACAAGGTGGACCAACCCCAACTCATAGTGATATACACAACAGACACATGTGAAACATGATTATTTTTGAAAACACGTAAATAACTATAATTATATATATATATATACATATTTGTATATGTACATACACGTTATCATATGTATATACAGTTGTATTATAAAGATATACTTACTTCATTCACCATTATATGGGCATGTGTGTATACTTGGCGGTTCACTCCAGTATTAACTCGGGTGACGTCTGCCACACGTTCTTATACAAACCCATATGCCAAATGATCACTTATGATACAGTATAAAGATATAAACAGCACGTATATAATATAATATATATATAATATATAATATAATATATATATACTGTAATCATATATAATATGTATATATATATATATAATATTATACAATATTATACACATATGTTACCCCACAAAAGATAGAACAGCCTCAAACAATTAATATTTTAGGATTTTACCAAGTTCCATCTTCGGATTATCAGGTCCTCTGTCAAGCAACGCCAAGCCGAAGCCTCGGGGCCACCGGTTGACCTGCAGACGCCGGTGGCGTCTTCGTGCTGTAAGAAGAGGGACCTTTGTTGGGCTAATACTGAGACACAAAATACGGAACATTACGGACAAAAAGCTGATAAGACTGGTGATTTTTTGTGATTGTAATATTGTAATCATAATTTATGTTGATTTATTTTAGCAACTAGCGCGGAAGATGTAATGTGTATGTTCACCCACTTGCTAGCTAGCTAAGCACAAAAAAAATGCCGATCTATGTAGGGACTTTCCGACGACAATACAAGGTGGTGCCCGCCCAATTATGCTTGTCCGCTTTTAAACCATAGTAAAATCATAGATATGGTTAGCATAAACCCAAACGTGAAATTGGACTTATGTGGCCCCCAACTTTGCGATTTGCTTCACTGGGGCACCACCTTCATGAAATCCCCATTAAAACCCGTGAAATCACCATGAATTTTCAGAATAGTTCCACTGAATTCCAATAAAATCACATGAAATCCCCATTAATCCCCATTAATCCCCATTAATCACCATTAATCCCCATAAAATCCCCATGAAATTGCCATGAAATCCCGGCATCCACCTTTGACTCGGCGTCGCTCCCGATGCTGCCGTTGCGAGGGTCGCTCTCCTCGGGGCGAGACTGCCGTTCTGCGTTCTGGGAAAGACGGCCCGAAAGGGCCCGAAATACCAATTCTTAAGGGTGATGAATAGGGGTTAATAAGGGTTAGGCCAGATAAATGGTTACAACTGGATATCTACAGTTCTGGCCATTTATTAGTTACAACTGGTTATAAATCGGATTATATAAAATGTTGTTTTTCCTTTTTAATGGGATTGTAAGTATTTAAAACTGGTAAAGGGCCATGACTGCACCAATAATAAATGATTATTTCTATGGGATTATACATAAATGGGGTTAATAAGTCACTGAAACAAGCCAATTTGTGAAATGTATACCACTGTAAAATCCCATATGACATAACCATTTATAGTTAATAAAGGGACATAACTATAGAGTATCATGGATCTACAATGGGACGAATAATGAATAACCATTGCTGCATAGCGAAGCCATGGCCCATAGATTCCATAGATGATAAGAGTGGTGATTTTCTGGTCACCGCTATGTGAAACAACCAGGTTGGGTAACATGTCTGGTAACCCCACAGATGCCAACTCAAAAAGGTGGGTCGATATGAAGAAATATGAAGTATATAAATACTGTTCGGCATCTTTTTGGGGGTGGCAGCTACAAGATATGTAAAACAGAAATGAGTGTGTATATATATAATTATATATATATATGATATATATATAAACAGCTGGATAAGCTAAACATTGTATATCAACATGATTGTGGATTGAAAGGCTTTGCGGTTGAGTGCTGAAATTGATAGATGTTGAAATTGACACATGCACTATTGATACTTGTTGATACAAATAGTGCATTTGCATTAGGCATTTATGCATGTAAATGCACGTATCCAATCACATATATATATATATATATATATACATGAATATATACACATATGCATAGGTACGCCAAGCACACTTGCCTAGTATCATACTATACATATACATACATACATGCATATATATATGTATGTATGTATGTATGTATGCTTATGTGCTTGTATCGTTTCATGCATACATGTAAGTGCATCATGACATAGACCAAAGTATTCATTACATCCAAACACACATTCACACGCAGGTTTCAAAACAAGACAAACTACAATAAACAACATCGTGTAATCTTCATATGTAAAAGGAAATGGAACACTTGCTATTTTACTATGTGTATACTGTGTACATAAGTATAAATATACATATATATTTATTTACATACACGACATGTTTTAGATATACGTACACCAACATCTGATTATATCATCGCTGATAGACTTTGTGACATGTACCTTACTAAAGGTGTAGCAACATATTTCATCGTACAAGTACAGTCAAAACTACATACAAGTAGGTGGTGACTCGTTGGGTCCAGAAGTGTGTTGGTAGTTCTAGGCGCAGGGACTAGTTTAAGTTATATACTAGTATACCAAGCATGTGATTCTATGTGACTGCTCCTACATCCATGTTGGTTCATAAATATGTCTTGAACCTTGAACATCAACAAAAATCAACATGAAAAATGTCAGTAAAATAACAACGAGTTCCTCCGGCAATCTGAGATGGGTATACAGGATTCGCACTTTATAGATTACCAGAGGGATCCAAAGGGTATGTTTTATAGCGACATCCCTCAAAGCACTATGACGCTATGAGTATATGTCCCTACATAACTGGTTGGTGGTTTCATCCCCTCTGAAAAATATGAGTTCGTCAGCTGGGATGATGACATTCCCAACTGAATGGAAAGTCATAAAATTCATGCTCCAAACCACTATAACCAGTGATTATTAACCATTATTAACCATTATTAACCATCATTAACCATCATTAAAAGCCATGTTCCAAACCACCAACCAGATAACAGTTCATCCAAACTTGGATCATTGACAGTTCGTGGGCCGAAACTTGGGGATGATTTGGCCAAATGGCCATCAAAAATCCCACCACAACGATAGATTCCCACAGTCCAACTGTGGACTTCCCGCAAAATTCGCCACATCGTCAGCAAAACCAAGTATAATCTGTTGGTTTTATCATATATCATAATTTTCCCCATTCAGATTGCCATAAATAAATTAAGTCCAATGTTTAGTCTAAGATGTTAGTCCAATGATAGCTGGTAACATTCAATAACACTAACTTTGGCAAATCCACCATTTGTTTCTTCCCACCATGGTATCGGGATGGCTAACGGGCGCTCCTTCAACATGGATGTTTCCATGTGGGCTTCAGGATCTTTTGGCTCCATGGGCCAAAACTATTGGAACAAGAACTTGGAGAAAAAGGGAAAGAAAATGCGGAAATTATGGGAAAATTGTGGGACAATTATGGTTTGTAACATCATATACTGGAATTTCCAATAATCATCTACAGTTATGGTCATTTACCAGTTATGACTACTAACACCACCCCATTTATAGAACCTATAATCCCAGTGAAATAACCAGTTATACCTAATAGTCATGGCCATCACTGCAGTTTTTTTTAGCGAAAAACCATCCTGGAACATCCCTATCAGGCTCCATGGGCCTGATGGGAAGGACACCCTTCTGGCCAAAGCCAAATAGAGTCACTTGCTTGAAAATCCACTTGGTGGCTCATCCCATTTAGTAAGTGAGTTATAACCCCAGTTACAAGTGCATTAACCCTACTTATCCCATTTATAACTGGGGTTATAACTCACTTACTAAGTGGGATGAGCCACCAAGTAGACACCTACATCTACAAAAATACAGAGTCAAGGTTGAGTCAAGGTTCCAAAAGCTGATGGTAAGTTGTGGCCGAATTACATGCGGTTATTCTAGGTAAACCACCAAAGTGATCCCATCAACGCCAAGTAAAACACCCGTTTTTTTTACATGTCTTTATGAATAGTTGCGTACATAAGAATTTTCATGGGTATGCCTCTGGGCCGCAGATTTACTCACCCATGTTCACTTAAGTGATCGTCCATAAGATTTTCCGGGATCTCCCAGGATCGCGCCCTGCGATGTTGGAAAGCTCAGCCGAAAACTACGGTTCCGAAAACTACGCAAATCCCATATGCGAACCATGGTGCTGGAATATTTACCTACATTTCAGCTATTTTGGGGCTAAATGTAGGTACATATTCCAGCACCATGGTTTGCATCTGAGAATGTGATCCATCATGTTCCAGACCTTATGTGGCTTACAAAATTGTGGCTTACAAAACGAAGCCCCTAAATGTTACTGGACAAAATCCAACGATGACCATAATGTTCCAGATCAAGTCCGCTACAGTTGTGGCCCAAAATACCAGTTATAAGATGTTATAAGATGTTATAAGATGTTATAAGATGTTATAAGTCATTTTTGAACCCCAGTGATGAAATGTATAACACCATTTACAACCATTTATAACTAATAAATGGCCATAAACCCAACATAAACCCAAACAGTATTGGAGTTTAACAAAACACTTGGCTATTTAAGAGGCTCCACCCACCGGTGATATCATGGTTGGGGAAATGAAGACGTTCAGTACAAGTTTTAAAGCATGTTAAGTTGTTTGACAGGTTAAACAACCTGAATGCATCAGCAAACACGCTTGTTTTGCTTGAGCCATAACAACACAGGTATAAGAGTAATATACAATGTATGTACAGTGAGACCCCTAAACAACACCCCCCGCCGCCCCGCAGTTTCACGGAGAGCGGAGTGTGCACGCCTGCCAGAAGTGACCTGAGAGCAGGCGGAAGATCATCACTGGCAACTTAATTACTCTACTGGTGTTGCTTTGGTCTATGCTCAACGGATGCATGAGGCAAAAAGGTAATCGGATGTTTTTGGCGATCCTGGGCATGGCGCGTGCTTGGAAATAGCAAAAGCGACATCGGCCTGGCTTCCGCCAAGGCATAGGAGCATTACCACTCCTTTCATTGCCTCGGAAACTTGAAAGCTACTGTATCAGGCCTATGTACACGGCTATATACACGCAAAACTACCACTAAGGATCGGATGCTGGTGTCGTTTTCTTTTGAAGCAATTGGGAAACCTTTCAAGTTAATCAAGTTGGAATTTCAAGTTTTGAAGATGTGTGCATTTCGATTGAACTGAATGACCATGGGTCAGCTTTCATCCAATCGGCCAAACCTTCCGGTAGGCATAAAATCATGGCATAAGATGTGAAACATCTACCAAGACTCAAACTCTATAGTATACCGTCCCGTCATTGTAGGTGCGCTTGAAGTGCGGCTGGCCGTTGATCTCGCAGTACTCCTCAGCAATCACGAGCGGCATCCTCGGCACTTGCTGTGGAGGCTCTGCTGCAGGAGCTGATCCAGAGGCTGCTTGGGCAGGGTCGCCAGCAGCAGGAATTGTGTCAGGCACAGGCGTCGCTGTTGAAGGTGGCCGCACTGGTTCCGGAGGAGCTGCTGAGGAGCTTGATGCTGTAGATCTTCCCCAAGGATCAGCAGTCCATCCTCTGCCAGAGTAGCCCTGATTCCAATTCCAGCTTTGCCATTGGGCCTGCCCTCCCGAGCGGCTTGAGTAAGATCCATACGAACCCCACTGTTGCCCTCGGTTCCATCCACTGCGGCACTCAAAGGATTTGTGGCCATACTGACCGCACTTCCAGCACTCAATAGCCTGCTGAAAGATTGGTCGCTGTTGTTGACCATAGCCCTTGCCTTTGCCCTTGGCCGGCTTGTGAATCGGGTCAAAATGACGCCGGTATCCTTCTCGCCCTTCGCCAGTACCCGTCTTGGAGGACCTTGCCAATGGAAAATCAGCCACATCTGATGCAGTGGCTTCATCCACGAAGGAGTGTTCTTCACCTTTGATGTTGTTGTATTGTTCCTTCCACTGCCTCTTCGCGAAATCGACGAGGTCGAAGAAACAATCTTGGGCTGACCCTTGATCCACAGGCATCATTGAGCCAGACCAACCAAATAACATCGGCGTGGGTTCCCCCCTCGCTTTCAGCAAGTCCGCAGCAAGAACAGCAAATTGTGGGAGTGTAAAAACTCGTGCATGATGTGCAACCATGGCTTCCTTTGTAACGTCCAACGGGAGTCGGATGTCTCTGTTGAAGTCTGGCATGAAAATCAAACGAGTGCTGACACCTGTTCCCAGCTGCTTTTCTCGCTTCTCTCGGGTACGGCCGACATCAGGGGCAATGCATTTTGCTAAGTCCTCCAAAAATTGGCAACAGTCGGGAGTGATCTGGCCGACCGCATTGTTGAACAAATAAAATGGGTCCTTCTCCATGCGGTCCTGGATCGACTTGAAGCCGAGCTTCGTGTATCTTCCCGCATGCGTCTGAGCAGCGTCCTTGAGATTTCCGAAATTGCTTCGTCCAGCTCGACGTTGATCTGCTCGGGTGCGGTCGGAGACTCGCTGAGCTCGAGGCTGCTTCTCAAAATCGATTTTGTCCAGAGAAAATACCTTGTTGGTTTTCTTGGCCGAGATTTCCATCCGGCATACCTCTGTCGCAATTCTTCCATCCGACCAAGCAATCAGCCATTTGAAGCACGACTGACATTTGTGGGTGCCCTCAATGTTCTGTTCGCCGCAGAAGTGGCATCGGACCTGTTGCATCTCAATCTTTGAGCTGTAGATGTACTGAGACCACAAAATGCAAATATTTGCACTTTAGGCACTTAATGAATTTATAAGTATACTATAAGTTACTATTATCCTTCTAATATCTTGTTCAAATTGTTTATTCAAAAATATTTTGTTATAAGTTCCACTAAATTTTTAGGTGAACTTATAACATAATAAGGAAAATATAAGCAAATATAGTAGAATATTAGTCAAAAATAAGCCAAAATAAGCGAAAAGAAGTGATAAGAAGTGAAATTTGATTTTTATGTGTGTTTGATAGATTCGCAGGAATGTTGATTTTCGACGAAACAATATTGTCTCAGAGCACTACTTTTCTGACGAAAACTTCCTGAACAGGAACATGCTGCTAAAGAACAATTCTCTGAAGGCGCCTATTTGGAAAAAAAATGGTAGGAAAAAAAATGTAGGGACAATTTCTCTGCAGGATACTTCCTGAAAAGGAAAAATTGTGTGGGGAATAGTTCTCTGCAGGATACTTCCTGGAAAGGAAAAAAAATGTAGGGAATAGTTCTCTGCAGGATACTTCCTGGAAAGGAAAAAAAATGTAGGGAATAGTTCTCTGCAGGATACTTCCTGGAAAGGAAAAAAAGGGAATAGTTCTCTGCAGGATACTTCCTGGAAAGGAATTTGTAGGGAATAGTTCTCTGCAGGATACTTCCTGGAAAGGAAAAAAATGTAGGGAATAGTTCTCTGCAGGATACTTCCTGGAAAGGAAAAATTTGTAGGGAATAGTTCTCTGCAGGATACTTCCTGGAAAGGAAAAAAATTGTAGGGAATAGTTCTCTGCAGGATACTTCCTGGAAAGGAAAAATTTGTAGGGAATAGTTCTCTGCAGGATACTTCCTGGAAAGGAAAACTTTTGTAGGGAATAGTTCTCTGCAGGATACTTCCTGGAAAGGAAAAAGGGAATAGTTCTCTGCAGGATACTTCCTGGAAAGGAAAAATAGTTCTCTGCAGGATACTTCCTGGAAAGGAAAAAAATTGTAGGGAATAGTTCTCTGCAGGATACTTCCTGGAAAGGAAAATTTAGAAAATTCAGAAAATTCAGAAAAAATCAGAAAATTCAGAAAACTCAGAAATTTCAGACATTTCCGAAAATTCAGAAAATTCCGAAAATTCAGAAAATTCAGAAATTTCAGAAAATTCAGAAAATTCAGAAAATTCAAAAATTTCAGAAAATTCAGAAAACTCAGAAAATTCACAAAATTCAGAAAATTCAGAAAATTCAGAAAATTCAGAAAAGTCAGAAAATTCAGAAAATTCAGAAACCCAGAAAATTCAGAAAATTCAGAATTTACAATTTAAATTAAAAGGAAAACAATTCAGAAAATTCAGAAAATTCAGAAACCCAGAAAATTCAGAAAATTCAGAAAATTCAGAAAATTCAGGAAATTCAGAAAATTCAGAAAATTCAGAAAATTCAGAAATTTCAGAAAATTCAGAAAATTCAGAAAATTCAGAAAATTCAGAAAATTCAGAAATCAGAAATTCAGAAATTTCAGAAAATTCAGAAAATTCAGAAAATTCAGAAAATTCAGAAAATTCAGAAATTTCAGAAAATTCAGAAATTTCAGAAAATTCAGGAAATATTTATAGAGAAAAAAAAGGATAAGTAAGTATTTATAATAATGTCAAGTTAGGATTAATAATTCCCTGCGATTAATCAACCACCAAAATCTCAGCAAAAAAACCGTATGAACAAAGTATGCGAAATCAAAAGAAAGTAAATTGTAGAACAATATGAACAATAAAACATAAATAGCAATTATAGAAAATACATTTTCAAAACAAAAAGCAAGCCAGCTAGCTTTAAATCTTTTACCAACAAAAAAATATAATAGAATATTTTCCAAATTAGGTATCCATCTTCATCCCTGAATTATGTAGTTTGGAAGTAGTAACCGAAGCCTCATGTTGTGAAAGATCTCATTCTGGG